TGCCCCACTGGATGCATACATAAATGCAACATGGCTTTCCAAATGTAAACACTGTGTGCAAAATAAGAGAACAACTTCAACTTTCATTGTATTAATACTGAAAAGAGCGCTAATGCTAAGCGCTGGCTAAGCGCTAGCTTTGGTTAATGTGTTTAATTGTATTATGCACCTGAAGGAGTGCTAATGTAAATTCTAAACCAATTGTTAGTTTGGTTAAGGAACAGCTCATAGCAGGGTCAAATATTTAAGGTGCATTGCATTTATTTTGTGTTAATAAATTAAATCATTCAGCTTTAAATTGTTAGTTGTCGGTTAGCAACCAACCAGTCTAGCTGGTAGCTGTTGTTGTTGTTATACGTCATCTAGCGCGCGCCGGTAAACGTCCCATGCTGCGTTCATGCAGGCTCAGAAATGCTGAAGCCTACAGAACAAACATCGGTTCTAAAAACCCGATACCGATAATTCCCGATATTACATTTTTTAGTGAATATTGGCCGATAATATCGGAGGGCCGATATTATCGGACATCCCTACTAAAAACTTTTAGCAATGCTACTTTAGCAATTGTATGAGCAACTTTACATTTTATTCCTGTAATACTCAAAATGTTAAGATTAAAACCAGACTCCGTCAGATGGTTTAGAGGGAAAACATTTTCCATCAAGTCTCTCCAGTTCTGATATAATTGATGCTAGTTGCATCTACGCTAACCTCTTTAGCAGCCGCCATTGTTGACACACCTAGCGTTAAAACACGCCCGTATCTCATGCTGTGGCTGTCAGTAGTTTTTCACAGGATGCTGATTCGTCAGAACCACTGTGGCTGGACACAAGCAAATAGATTGAAACCTGGCAAGATGGATTCTCACATGATCTCACGGGTCCAGCAGCCTCACATGGTCTAAACTGGCAGTGTAATCACAATAATGATAACATTTAATATACAGAACATACATATTATGCATTTATAAGAACATGTAGAGATGAACAGAGACATGTCAACCCCATTTGAAGCCAATGAGTGATTTTTACCCCATTACTGCTACTTGCCTCCCCCATAACATTAGCTCCTGCTGGCTGACGAAGTTTAAGTTGGTGTTTGTCCTTCATTCTCCATCATATCAATCCCACTGGTCAACCAAATCACAATTTTGGGGCTTTTTAAAGAAACGTTGGACACTCAGCTGCGGTGATATTTTGCGATAGCTCGGCTAATGATGGCTAAAGCCAGCTACACAGTGAGGTCATGCATGTGGATTACTGCGACTGCTAATTAATATGAAGGCTGGTCACCAACTGCACAGGGTTATACAGGCTATACTACAGGTGGTCTGCATTTGGTTATTGACAGTGTTGCATGTGAATAACATTATTAACGTTATGGTAGATTAACTGTTAAAATGATAGACGGCCTTCAGATTTATTTCCGTCATTGTTTAAACATTTCAGTCAGTGATTGAAAATGTTGGGTTAACCGGATCCCTTCTCCCAGGTACAAATATGAAACAGAGCCTTTGCTGGAATCCTCACCATGCTACCTCAGATGAATCGAAGTTAAATGAAAGGGCAACACTGAGGACAGAAAGGAATCGCTCAAAGTTTTCGGTCTGAACATCTACTAACACGAGTTTTGTGCTCAAGTCCACCGTGGTGTTGCTCTCTGGCAGCTCCAGACACACTGTAGCCATGAAACTGTCAGTGATTGGCTGGGCTCCTGGGACAGAGTTAAGTCCAAATTTACCTCTCATCTTCTATCAACACATGGAGTCCAGATGCCAGTGTCTCTGCTTCCACCTGCACACATCAAGTCAGTCTGTCTGCTTTGAAAAATAACACCTTTCCATCTGCGTTTCTGCCTACTGCTTTCTCACAGCGTACAGTAATTGGACTCAGACATTTTTATGACTTAGGAATGCAGCTCAGGGTTCATTGCAGACCTTTCATCGCATTATCAGAGCCCAGTCATGTGTGACTGGAGTCTGGTGGAGGAAGGATGAGAAGGACAAATGCACTGATTGATGAACTTGGTGTACAGGCAGACAGGTGACTAGCAGGTCCATCACCACACATACTTCGACTAAAAAAGATACTTGGCCATGACATTGCAGGGAGAACATTTATTAATGTGACTGTGTGATTACAGTTTTCCTATTATGAATCTGAACCATTGACTGCTGGGTTCAGTCCCTACATGCATTATTATTAAGTCTACTGTATGTAAGACAGATAGTGCTTTAAATTTTCATCATCCTCCCCATCACTCTGCTTATTAGGTAGGCCAAGCTGACATCCTCAAATGTCTTGTTTTGCCTACAACCCAAATATATTCAGTATACAGTCATAAATGACCAAAGAAAATATTCACATTGGAGAAGTTGAAATCAAATCAATTAAATTCAATTCAATTCAATTTTATTTATATAGCGCCAATTCATAACAGAAGTTATTTCAGGACACTTTTCAAATAGAGCAGGTCTAGACCGAACTCTTTATAACATTAAATCAGAGAATTTGTAAAAATGTTTTCTTAAAAAAGGACTCAAAATGATTAATCGATCAAAAGAGTTGTCGATTAATTTGGACTTTCACAGTGGCGGGGCTTCTTCTGCTCAGAGGAGAGACAGCGGTGGAGAGCTGACATAGCCACAATGAATGTAATGTATGCAATAGATTTACAGATGACAAAAATACACTCCTTCAGGTAACTCAGTCAAAGGCTACACCAAAGCAACAAACACTGGAAAGAGAAATTCAGCTACCATGCCAACATGATAACAGAGGATTTGTTATTTTATACTTTATTTTGTAAAAAAAAAAAAGAAAACGTATTAAGAAACAGCTTTGATGCAAGCATTTAATTTAATAATTTTCATTCAATGCAGAACTATTTAATTGTCAAGCATATACATAGAATTGATTTTAGGTATCTGATCGGGACTCTGTGTCGGCAGATACCTAATATTAAGTGACTCATGAGTATACTAAGCTTTCATACTAAAGACTGTAATGGCATTTTTTGAGAACTTATACAACCCTTTGACCTGGTTATTGTAAAACCATACACAACTGTTAAAGAGGCTGTAATATGCATATAACCTTTAGCCCTGTTTCTAACTAAACTCTATGTCCAAGTAAACAGCGGGATGTTGAGACTTCACTAAGAAGCCAAGGACATGATCATCGCACCACACTATCTGTCTGTTTACTGTCCCAGAACTCAGGAATGTGTTACTGTGTTAGGGTGATGCTCCAACAGGGATAAAACCATACTGCTTCTTCCAATCGGGGCTCTTTCGGACTCATGGATGACTTGAATAAAACCTTACAGAAAGACAAGATCATACTTTGTATGCCTTGTTAAACAAATTGCCACCACAAAACACTGTTTGTTCTTAGATTTCTGTCCTCAGTTGGACGTACATAGTATTTTGTCTTGTGGCTGATGGATCTCGGGGGGAGCTGAATTGTTACAGATAAATCTGTTGAAGTTCATGATATTATATACTGAGGTGGCTGGTAAAGGGACAACCAGCACAGCTCATTATTTTTATTTAGCTCCGGTCAGTTTCATTGCTGCAGGCTCTGCTGATCTTTTCACTAGCAATACATCCTTACCGCACTGCTGTGAAACTAGAAGCCAGTATCTGCTGGGGGCAGCTGCAGATGTTCTCTCAATTGAACATGTGTTCAATTCAGTCATCAGATCTCTGTTCACCTACTCTCTGAACTGACTGGTGATGAGTTCTTGGAAACTTCTCCGCTGGCTAAATGTATCCTGTCTCACGAATTTCCCAGTTTGCTTTATGTTCTGTGCTGCTGGCAACAACTTGTGGCAGTGTCCAGGATAAGAATTTGGCTTTAAAGCAGAACGGTCACGCCAACATATAGAGTCACTGATAACTGATGGACCTGTTTTCTCCATGTCCTCACTGCCAACAATGAAACAGATCTTTTTGACACTGCACACACAGTTACATGCTGTTTAGTCCTGCTGACTGTTGAACTATGGAGTTCTGAGCGGTAGCCATGCATGTGTTTCCTTTCTCCATGGTTGTTATAGTACTGCTGAGCTCTAGCTTATTCAGTGAGAAATGAATGGAAGCTGCTAAAACTTCATCAACCCCTACTATGTGTATTGAGTTTCATACCATGGTAAATAACTGCATCAGCTCTACAGCGCTGTGTAGCCAAAATTCAGGGGTTAGGCTCATACAACAATAAACACACACCAAGACTGTATGCATTTAAACATTTACAACATTTAGAATACTAACAGGGAATCTCTCTTCATGTGGTAGTTGGTTAGTCTTCCCAGGCTTCCATACTCAGTGTACGGGTAGAAACTGATTATATGAAATCGGGGTTATGTAATCAGGTTACAAAACTTAAATAACAATAATCTACCTGATTACCTTTTGAAAAGTTTGTAAAGTATACAGCAATTAAAAAAACAAAAATCATAATAACCAATGCTCTGTTAACCTTCAGTGGTCTATGGATCTTGATAGGGGAATGGGATCAATGTTTGAGATCAGAGCTGCCACACAGCGTCTAATCGCAAGTCAGGAACATAGCACCAGCCTACATCTCCCATCCCATCAGTCCATATCCCATGTCCAGACCCCTTAGATCCTCCGATCAGTTGATCCTGATCATCTCACCTTGCCAGTCAAAATGCATTGCAGCACTTAGACTGTCAGATCTTTCTCATCTATTGCCACAGTATAGGTAGTATAGCTGTATAGACATGTACAGACATCCTGATTATATTTTATAGTAGGAAAACCACAGATGTTACGAAATTTAACATTTGACTGCTAGAGAACAGAAGGACCACAAATACTGTTTCTGGCCACCTGAAAAATATACATCTAACATTCTCATCTTTGATCTCTAGTTTGGTCTCAAACAGCTCGTGAGAACATTCTCCATCTTTAACGCATCAGAAGCACCACTTAATCCACCATTTACCACTTCAGTGTTATTTTGGTTTCTCAACAGAGAAAGTGGATTTGTTACAGTGTTTCTCCAAGATGGTGGCCACCAATGTGTCCCTATCAGTGGACAGTCTGAGATGTCCAACTCTCCAAATCGGCCTTTATGACAATCTTATGATGGCTACACAGCAGGCTTTTGGATCAAGGTATTGTTGTTTTTCTGTGTGTGTCTGTGACAATGATGATGAGAATTAAAAATTTGAAGGAATAATTCAACAAAATATTCACTTTCTATCTATGAGTGAGATGAAAAGATGGATGTCAAACTCATGTTGGTGCCCAGGTACAGAGCTGCAGTCAGGACCTGGGTTGCATAAATGAGCATAAAGACTGGAAGCAGGGGAAAACAGCTAACCTTGATACATCCAAAGTTAAAAAATACACATATCCACACTTCTTAATGTTAGCCTTTTCGATCTTGTTGTTTTGTTTCTGTTTTTCTGAAGATTTTTTTTTAGATCTGAAACAATGAATCAATGAATCCATTTGTCCACTGAAACAGAATTAAGTTTGTCAAGCAAATATGATCGCCTTGGGCTCTGGGAAATTTCTGATGTTTGAATGATCAATTAATCAAGAAATTGGCTGGTTAATTGGTGATTGAAATAATAGTTAGTTACAGCCCTAAAGGTGTTGTTAGGTGTAGTTCTGAATTTTGGACTGAGCTAAGCTAGGCTAACCACATCCTGACTGCAGCTCTGTACTTAACACGCATAGGGATTTATATAGATTCTTCATATTTGGGTGTAAGTGTAGATGTTTTGCTGATTGTGTGTGTGTGTGTGTGTGTCTTTCCTGCAGGTTTTCTGATGAGTTCAGTATGCTGATGAGGCTGCGCAGCTCTCAGAAGGAGGAGAGCAGTGTGTTGACTCTATTAAACGCCCAGCATCACATCCACCTGCAGCTCCGTCTTAGCCCACATTCACTAACCTTTATTTCCACCCAACACAGAGAATACGAGTATGTCTGACCCCAAGCTAAACAGTTTTCTGCTGCACTATGATGTACACACTGCACAGACATGAATATAGCTAAAGAGCTAAAAACATGTTCCCATATCTCAGCAATTACTGTGCTTAGTGCAAAGTCATCATAACTGTAGGAAATGATGGCCAAAACTAAAAAGACCCACTTGTAATAAACAGGAATTTCCCTATGCAACCAGCACTCACTGATCTCCTGAATGTCCCCCCTCTCACTTCATCTACCCTCCCTCAATCAAATACAGGTTCCCAGTGGGGTCTCTGTGTGATGGCCAGTGGCACCAGGTATCACTGGGCGTCTCCCCGCTCTGGCTGGAGGTTTATGTGGATTGTTCTTTGGTGGAGAGGGTGAACTGGGCCTATCCTTGGCAGGGCATCTCTACTGATGGCCTGCTGATAATCGGAGGCAGCCTGGAGGGCTTTGAGACCCCCTTTGAAGTAAGGAAATGTATATGTGCTTAATGTAACAGACTTATGTGAGTGTTTGCTTGGTACTAATCAATGCTTGTGCAGAAGGCTGAATTGACTTTACCCATGCCCCCTGCTACTTGGGGGCAGTAGAGAAAGCTTGATTGTATTCTCTGTTTTACTCACTTAATTTCTAATTGTCAGGATCAAAGTGTGTGTATGACATCACAAAGAGTTTGAAAGTCAATTTTGAATGAGTAGATGATCTGAATATGAATTTCATTGTATATCCCTGCGTTGTAAATTAAAATAACCTTGAATCCAGTTTCATCAATAGCAGTGTGCAACTACTGCCCTAGGCACTTGTTCCGACCCAGAGCCATAAGTTAGTAGTTCAACAACAGGCATACGGGGTGAAGAGTGGGACAGACAGAGGCACCATTCACCCTATTACAAGTCAGTTACTTGTAGAGCGTCAACAGATGGACTATCAAAATAAAGTGTTCCCAGTGAGAGTAGCATCAAAATTATTTTAAGGCAGAAAAGTTACATAATGGGGCTTTCAGGAATGAATGACTCTGAAGCCTCCCACCTTGTCAAATGTTTATTTAATGAAGTGCAAAACTTTGCAAACAGAGCCTAGAGTCCATTTTATTTATTCTTTTGGTTATGTGGTTTTATTTGATTTATTTATTTAGGTAATTTTAATATTTTTTCCCATTCCAATGTCTGAATATTCTTTAGAATTCAAAGTTCATTGCTCTTTTAAAGGGTGTACTTGGATTATTATGCTTATTGTGAAATGAGTGGCATAAAATTGTTTTAAAATGACGGTATCATTAATCACAATTATTTTTGGGACAATATATCATCCAATTAAAGTAGTTATGGTGACAGGCCAAATGGCTCTCTTGATGTTTCATGATCCCTCTGCTCTTTTGGTGTTGCAGTGAAGAGTGAAAGTTATTTGACCTGACTGATAGCTGTGAGTGAGTGTTCCTCTACACTTTAATTGAGTCTAGAACAAGCAACCTGAGTGCTGTGTTGTCACTGTCTCACAGTCTGGATGCCATCCTCTGTCTTGCTGGCTGAATTCATCATATTGAATGATGTTTGTGAGCCAGACTCAAGTACACTGCTGTCCCAGCTGTGAGACTTAAAGTCGGGGTCTCAGTGACAGTATGGGAAGATTCCTACAGCAGTGATTTTGCATGGACATTGATCTATGTCCTCGCCTGGCCCTCTTGACCTCGACTTAAGTGTCAAGTGATAAGACGAGTGTATATGTGAGATGGGGGTTAAAGGTGGGGCTTCCTGTGCCTCTGGTGTACAAATGGATTACCTTTGACCTTTTCTTTCCATTGCTGTCCTCAGGGTGCTGTGAGACAAATGACCTTTGTGATGGGGGATCCAGATGCTGCCAGAGACCACTGTACTCTCCATCAGCCTGCCTGCAACCTAACAACCTCCAATGCACTCTGGGTAGGAGACTCAAAAGAAACCTTTTTTCTTTTCTTCTTTTTCATGTTTTTTAGGGAGGTAGGGGACATGAAATTGGTGAGACATTTAAAGGGTCACTGACTGATATGTCTGATGATATTGAATGCAAATCTGCAAAAATTAGAGCTGAAATAAACCTTCCTTAAACTGTGTAAAGCACGGTTAGGCAACCTGCAGCACCCCCACTTGTTCCCTGTGGCTTTGACAAAAAATGATTTGGAAATGTTATTGTTGAACATTTTCATTTATCATTGTTGTAGGCCTAAAGTGATTCTTACATTCTATATAAAAACTGATTAAATCAACTAAAATATATCATACATTACGTCCTGAGTCCTGACCTCACTCTATTTTTTGTGGAATCTCAGTAGTGGTGCTACTAGTCTTGGTCTCCCTAGCTAGGCCAGCTATTGATTCCAAATCCCAAATAGAATTTTGGATTAAAATAGAGAATTTAGTACCTTTAACCATTTAAGTAGAGTTTGCATTTTAAATTGTGAACTCTAAAGTATCACCAGACTTTGGAATAACCTGAGTAGGTGCTGCTTCAGTCAGCTTAAATCTATTGTTTCATTGTTGTAAACTTGTATCGCTTCTTCTATTTGCTCATTTAGAATGTGCATTCTGGCACCAGGCCCCATGAGTCATCTAACAGAGCAGAAGGACCTTTGCATGAGGAGTCCATACATCTGGTGAGTCCACATTAAGGAGTGTGTGCACTGTTGACAAGAATGGACTGCTTTCATTCACACAGACATTGGTTTAGGTTTTGATCCTGTTATCCCGTCTGAGTGATTGCTCATGTGGGGATGGTTCTGTGGTTCTGTTTTTGCTCACATAATGTGCTTCTACAGTACGTCTATTACGACAAACCTCAGCAAAATGGTGCACACAGTGAGGGCATAGAAGTGAGAAGTGACAAATGGATGGAACACTGAATGAATGGCTTTAAGTGTGTACTGGGAAGTTAATTTTATTTGACTGATTTGTAGTATGTCTTTGTAAAGCTCTGACAGTATTTCATTAGCAGCGGCTGTATCAGCACTTAGTACATCACAGCAGCATGTCATGTGTGTTCATGTGCAAATGCTGAAGGATGTGTTGGCTCTGATAAACACCCCCTCAGGGAGGATTATGGTTTGGCCCAGTGTTTATTCATTACCACTTCTTCTAGCTGCATCCCCAGTGCTGCCACTATCCACCCTCAAATGATATTTGCCAACTTTCCGCACTCAACAGAGGATGTACTTTTCAGGGTGGTGGGAGCCTAAAGGTTAGTGGTTCAGATGGCTATGTGGGTTGGGAAAATCTGCAGAGAGAAAGTGGATGATTAAAGATCTGCTTGCACTGATCTATTTTTTGCCCTTTAGCCTCACTGCATTTTGTACTCCCTTTTAAAACATGAATGCTTCATCTAAAGAGGTGTATTGAATTAGAAAATGAATTTTGCAGATTATTTGGAAATTGGGGTTCCTCCATACTGAGCTCCTACTGAATGCATCATTGTATCATTCTTTCTAATCAAATAAGAGTAAACAAAAACAATTTTTTAATAATGAAAAATGGAAGCGACCCTATCTAGAGCCAGTGTTTGTTTTGTCAGTACTGGGCTATGGTAGAAACTTAGTGGTTCAACATGATAGTCTCAATGGAAGGTGACACACGGCATCTGTAGATAAAAACAGCTTGTTCAGGTGATTATACACTAATGAAAACCTATGCATATTATTATACATAGGTATATTCCACTTCTGCCAATAGATCCTCTTAAATGTTATATACTGGACCTTTAAACAAGCAAGATATAATGTGTTAACTGTTAGTATAGACATGCTAGGTAACTTTGGACAGAGCCAGGCTAGCTGTTTCCTCTTGTTTCCAGCCCTTATGCTAAGCTAAGTTAACTGGCTGCTAGCTGAAGCTTCATATTGATCCCGTAATTTTACTCTGGGCAAGAAAGCAAATTGGCATGTTTCCCAAAATTTCAAGCTTTAGAAAGTGCTCGGCTCAGTTTCTTTTCATTTTCCAGATTTAAAGTCTGAAGCCTTGCTGGCCTGAAGAAAGTTCAGGAGATCACCAAAATAATTTGGCTGTCTACTGAAAAGCATCCATACCTTTCATTATCTGACTGTTTGCTTTTATACAGTACTGAATATAACTTGACAGCACTAAAAGTTATTATTTTTGTTAAACAGTGAAAATGTTGTTTTCATTATTGAGTTTGTCAGACCATTCACTATTTGAAGCAGCTGCCTTTTCTTTACCTGAATGGCCTCACTTTTAGGTGTGAGGCAGAAGCAGAAAATGTCACTTGGATGCAATTAATGAAAGCATGACATTGCTGACATGAAAAACTTTGAATGTGTTTTGGGAAATGCTCTGTGTCTACCGAAATATGGGTGGACTCGATATATGCAATCTAACACAACAGGGCCACAAATGAGAGCTTTAAAACTGAGTACAGAGTAGGATAAGCACCTCTCTTGAACATTTTATAAACCATTAAATGTGATGAATGGAATAGCGGTTTTAGTTGCAATAGTCAAAACAATTTCCACCATCTCCTTTACGAGGTCAGGGTGCATGACCTCTGTTTAGCTGTTAATATCTGTGTCTGTTGTAGTGATTTGTTGTTGAGACTTGCTGGTGCCCCTGGGCTACAACCCAACTGTTCAGAGGTCCGTCAGAATGACAGATGTGTTGTCAAGTCACAAGTTATTTCGGCCCACTGGATATTTCCTGTAACGGCCTGATACAGCCCTGAGCTCTCAGACTAACCCAAGCCTGAATCTTTACACCACAAAGCACCCTGATCCCAACCCAAAACCCAAAACCCAAAACCCAATATGAGTCAGGTTGCAAAACCCTACAGTAGTACCTTACAGTTCAGTCAGTTGGCCTCTGAGCAGCTACACTTTAGCCACATTAGTCCATTTATGTCCCCTTGGATCCCATTAGTTATCACTGTGTAGAGTTCCTAATGAGTGTAGGTACATGCATTGTAGTTTATTATAGTATGATGTGGTCTAGTTAAGTGGCTGCTGGATAGGAGCTCAGTCTAATAAAGCAAGTAACTGCTCAAGAGTTGTGAGCATACCTCCATGGGATTTTTCTTTTCTAATCCTCTGATTGTTTAATCTGAAAAGGTAAAACCAGAAGAAAAATGCAAAAAGCGTAAAAAAATCTAAATTTAAAAAGTTTGTTCTACTTGATCTGAATTTATTTTCTCTGGTATTTTTCTTTTGTCTTACCCTAATGATCTCGCTCCCCCTTGGACCAGTGATACTGAACTTGAGGCCAGTGCGCCAGATTTGGCATGTAGGTTACTGGGTGCCCCAACAACCATTTTCCAAATCACAAAGAAATAAATGATTCACAGTGGGAACTGTTTTGTTTGTTTGTACCAATTGGTAAATTGGCTGTTAGTTGGGAAGTTGTATCTTAGTCTATCAGCCTTGACCTGATTTCTGACCTGCACTTGGCTACTGTGACCATGCTACGGTTATGGCTCACGGGTTGTTGAAGGCAACTTTTATGCCTTTATTCTATGCTTAAATATGGAAAAGGCTTAAAATGAGTATTCAAGATATCAGGAAATTCTGTCCCATACTGCTTATAACAAAAAATATATCAGAATACAGTGGGAAAATGAATGTAAAGGAATAAAGACATTACAATCCCTGTCAAATAAACTGCCAGTCCCTAAAACTCACCATGCTCTTGGTGCCTTGCGAAGATTTGGTGTCAATATATTATATTTCTTTTGGTTAAAAGTTTTACAAGTAAAATGTCACTGTTATGCTGCTGGGGCTTTGGAGACTCCATTGCTGTCCAGGAAATAAAAATTAAATGTAGAAGCGTTTAGCTCAAAGCACCGCTGTGCATATGTTCCAGACAGGGGCCTGAAGGAGGAAAATAAGAATCGTTGGGGTATTGTTACCTTTTTAGAATGAGCTGTTTTTACCTACAGAGGGAGCGGGGAGCCATGTTGCCAAGAACGGACAAACCAAACACTGGCTCTAGATAGGGTCTTTCACAAGTTTCACAGCCACCATAGTTTCTCCTACACACTTGGAAGGCGAGTGGTATTCAAATGGTTGCAATCTGTAACTTCACCACTAGATGCCACTGAATCTTGCACACTGGTTCTTTGAACTGTTACAGTCTAAGAGTTAATCATTTTTTTTAAAATTTCAATACATTTAACATAATTGAGTCATCATAATGTTTCAGCAATGAGGGCAAATAAAGGCTAAACTGAAGCCTTCCATTGTGACTGTAGCCAAAGAAATGCAGAGCAGAAAGATAAAGAACCCCACACAAATGTAGTGCAAATCTGTTAGCATATGTACGGTGGTATGAGTGCCGCTGCTTGGCAGAGGACATGTGCAACAGAGCGTAGGTTGAAAGTGGGCTGTACTTGTACCATATCCCAGATGTCTGTGCTCTTTTCAGTTGGCAGCCCTTATCTGTCATCTCAGACCTCAGATCATACTCCGGCCTGTAATTTGGTGAAACTAACTTCAGCTGAATACAGAGAGTGAGACAAGAAACATCACTACCACGTTACCAGTACATATAATCTGACTCTGTGTCCTTTTCACACTTGACGTAAACCTTCCCTGAGAAAAACAATCATGTCCTAACCCCGCACTGTAATAGAAAGCACATGTTGTATATATTGGACTTATGTATGGCTGCTGCTGACAGTTATTCTATAGAACTAGTGGCTCTGACATGGTTAGATTGTTTATTTGTCGTGGGATTTCACTCTTTTGCACAAAATATAGCAAACTGATGAATGCCTTATTCAAAAGAAACACTCTTAAAGGGATCGCCTCAGTCTTACTGTAGCTGATGTTGTGACCACAGCTCCTCCTTCTTATCTCTGATCCCACTGTATAAACCCACCCACCCACACAGTAGGCCTCCTTTGTAATTCTTCTCTGTGACATCATTAGCAGATTGTTGCTGTGGCGTTACACTAGGAAGCCTCATATTGCATGAAAGACGTCTGGAGACGCTTGATAATCACTGTGACAATATATCATCATGGACAATTGTCCTAATTATCTTTGACAACAGCTAATGTGGTGAAACTTTCTGACAGCGTATAGCGTCAGTATGGCTTCCATCTAGAAAATTAGGGAAGAAGTGGTAAGAATATCCTTGGTGCTTGAAACTTTTCAAAACTTGAAATAAAGAAATTTTGGTCTTAATTTAATGTGTAATTTCGAAATGGTGACTGGGTGTGACTGTCTCATATTTGGTTCATATGATGAACAGTTACATCAAGTAAAGTATGGAGACTTTGATCCAGCATTGTACAGTGTATAGTAAAGCAACTACAATCATAGGTTTGTGTGTACAGTCTAACTTTACTTCGTAACTAGTTTGTTTTACACTTAATTCACCACTTTGTTCTGTTGCACCGACTCCACTTGCACTACAGTTGAACAAGTCAACCATCCACACAACATGGCTGCAGAGAGTGACATTTCATCAAGTGCATCATTCAGGTAAAGTGGGAAAGAAAGCCACTACTAATTGGGAAAGTGATGTTTTTATACAATCAAGAAGGTCATACAGCTCCTGGTGGTCAGAATGTTCTGCAGCCCCATACCAACAGACTGCTCTGCACTGTGTGTTCTGACCCCTTTCTATCAGAACCAGCATTAACTGTTTCAGCAGTTTGAGCTACAGTAGCTCGTCTGTTGGATCAGACCACACGGGCCGACCTTCACTCCCCACGTGCATCAGTGAGCCTTGGCCCCCCATGACCCTGTCTCTGGTTCTTTTCCTTGGAGCACTTTTGATAGATACTGACCTCTGCAGACCGGGAACACCCCACAAGAGCTGCAGGTTTGGAGATGCTCTGACCCAGTCGTCTAGCCATCACAATGTGGCCCTTGGTCAGTCGCTCAGATCCTCACGCTGCCCATTTTTCCTGCTTCTAACACATCAACTCTGAGGACAAAATGTTCGCTTGCTGTCTAATATATCCCACCCACTGACAGGAGCCATGATAACCAGATAATCAGTGTTATTCACTTCACCAGTCAGTGCTCACAATCTTATGGCTGATCGGTATATTTCTGTAAGTTACGGTGTAACTCCCTCACAGCTTTGTCTGAACTTGGCTGCTGATCAAAAGTGATACATGTCATTTTTCCTTTATTTCTTTTTAAATTCAAGAGATCGCAATTTGACTCCACTTCATTGGCCAAGTATGAGTACGCATACACATAATCTGACTCCAGTTTTAATTTGCTCTTACTAGAGATGTGAATCTCTATCATCATCTGAGCCCAATGCAATATTCAGCTCAATGCATTGCCAGCGATCTGATATCTTAAAGATACACATAAAACAACTACTAATGTGATATGTACCATGCACCCCATTGCAATGCAGTGCGATTTGACACAATTTCACTCAACACAATATAATTCAGTAGGATACAATGCAAAAGAATATGATGCTATGCAATTGAATATGATACAGATAGTTTTTATTTCTTTGGTTCTTCTTAAGCAGCTTGAGAAACAGTTGAGGGAGGGGGAATCAATCTAAATATAAAATAATTGGTCACATCTATAAATAATAAAGGCATAGGGCCTAATGAAAATATATAATTATATTGTTGTATGTTTTCTTCATATTTTATTAATGCGTCACAAGAAGTATTTAGTTTTACTAAAGAGTATTTCATGTTTTGAGCAGTTTCATACAATACACATTCACAATGATTTCTTTGTCAGTATACTCCCATGACAGCTATTTACCAATAATTTTGTATAGTTCACACGTTTCATCCTGCAGTAATTAACACATTCTTGGATTAGACAGTTTTAATGGAATTCTCTTTAGGTACTCTGCCTTATATTCCATTTCTCTTTACCTTTTATGTCTTCACCTTTTGATCCTGCAGTGGGTCATGGATGATGATTTTAACACACATGGAAAGGTGCCAGTGGGGAAATATGTTTTAAAATTCCTCCACTTTATGGAGATAACAGTATGTCATGAGGCTTTGATGTGACAGCAGCAGTATCTTTCCTGTGTACTGCAGATAAGAATCCATCCTCCTCAGGGCTGAGTGAATAGCTCTGGGGTGTGGCAGCATATTGTGTAGTGTGTATGGCAGTCGTCCTGGGTGTGTCTCTGTTGGCTCTATGAGGGATAGCTGGAGGAGGGGAAAAGCCTGCAGCTCCTGCTCTGACAGGACCAGTGGACTGCATATGGGCTCTGGACTCTGCTTGACTCGAGCACAGCTGCAGTGAGTGAGGACATGCTGTAGACATGTGGATTACGTTAACTTGCGTGCTGGGCTGCCTTTGGCTGCTGGAACCCTCTCCACATGGGGCTGACAGTGGATGGGCAGCAGACAGACATGGTATGTACTATAAGGGATGGGTCAGAGCGTCATTGTTAACAGTATAGAGATGTAGGTTGAGGTAGTATGAAGAGACTCTCTGTGAACATACAATATCCTTCTTTTGTTTCCTTAGTTTTATGTTCTGACTGCTGCACTGGATCAAATCTAAAATGTCACTCTTGTTCTTACTATGTATGAGTTCATTTATTTATTTTGCAATGGTTCTTTGATACCCCAGCCAGTAGTAAACACCCTGTATTCGTAGAGGCCTGACTAAATAAATCCATATGAAGCATGTTGCTCTCCGCAATTCTATATGCAATGGTAAGCCTGTTTTTGCTCTCTGATCAGATGTTCTCTGATGTTCTTAAACGGCATGCACAGAACAAAAGCATGTGAGCTGATGTGTGAACTTGATGCTGGAAATTCACCGTCCAAGCAAAACAACAATGTGAGGGCAACTCGTAGACCTCAGATGCTGCTAACGCCTCTTGACCTTCCCGCTGACCTCCCTCTGAGCTCTTTACACACATCTCCTTGCTCAGCCCTTCTCCAGCAAAATCCTCAACATGGTGTTTCTGTAAAACCGCCCTGCTCGTTATTTATATCTCCAGATGATAGAATATGTTTTCCCAGTTGTGTAGTTCAGCAGAGATGATTTTCTCACTTAGAGATATAGACGGTATGATTTATTGTTGCTCATACATCATTTTTGTGATCAGGTTTTTGTCTTAAATGAAACTTAACTCTATATCTTGTATACACTGTCATTTTCCATAGTTTGTGAGAGACATCAGCCAATGTATAACTGTCAATTTTACACTGATTACCTACAGTCATTGTTCATTCACGATATAATGAGGTAGCTGCCAGGATACATACAGCTTTCCGACACAATTTGATTCAATACAGTGCAATGCAAAAGAACATGATGCTAGGTTCAAGGGTTAAAGGTTATTGTTTGTACCCATAGGTAGATTTGATTTGCACTTAAAGACGAGGCCTCTACTAATAATTTTCAACTTGAAGTGTGGTCATGGTCTTTATGCTCGTGTTGGTTTTGTATTTGCTTTGTTTTTGATTCTCAGTTATTTCATACAGTGGTCCCAGTACATCAGAGCAATAGTGATGAGCAGTGTGGAGATGATTAGCCTGACAAATAGGTTCAGGTGCAGAGCGATCAAGTGTCTGCTGGCTGGGAGAGCTGCAGCAACAATGGCAGCTTGTCCAGGATAAAGGGGCATTGTGTGCTGCTGAATAAGGGGAATTCGTGCCTGTATTGCCTCTGTATTCTGCCCCCTCTTCATGCCACTCAGCTGAGCATCGTTATCTTCTCATTTTTGTTTCAGGTGGTCTTTGAAGTCTATCAGCTCCAGACTTGTATTAGTGACCTACTTCGAAAGGCACGATTCTTACTTTCTAGAACATTCCACTTGAATTTGACCATTTGCTTTTAAACAGCATAAGCATCGATGTGCAAACTTTTCATATTTTTTCATGGGGTGTCCAAAAAAGTGTCCCTCGTCTGGAGCAGAGCCTGAAATGGGTCAATACCAGAGTACCATTCAGATTTTTGTCCACATGAGTACCCTTACTTCTTATTCCGTACTGCTCACTCCGGGTGAGTCTACTTACACTCTCCTAAATACTCACGTTTTTATTTTTCTCCCTCCCACTAGCATTCTGCAAAAACCCGCCTTTCTGTAACACGAGAGTTTTTGGTCCAATTCAGGCACAGATATGGAGAGATTTCATGACACACTGCCCAATATAGATTGATATTTCCTCTGTACATTTTTGGCCCAAAGATGAGAGGAAACGTCAGTGGATCACTAAAAAACATTTGTAATCCGCCTCTGGGGACCATGAATATCCACAGGTAATCTCAGGCACACATTACTATATGCTTTCAGTATATGTTTTCATGGGGAAATGTTTACCTGACAATACTGCTATGTAACCAAAATCCTTTAGTCTTCTGTGGACTATGAATTTCCATTGCAGGTTCTATGTCCATCTGACCAGTAGTTTTCTGGAAATCTTGCTGTAGATGAAATTGGGTAGACTTGAGAAACTGGGCTGTCAACTGGGAGGTTCCTGGTTCAAGCAGATGAAGTGTGTGGAGTGTGTCCCCATTTGACCTCTGTTTATAACCTCCCCTTTAATACGGAGGACCAGTTTACTGTACAGTCATTCAGTATTTACGGAACATGGCAGCAGACATTCTGGGCCCTTGTACTTGACTTTTTTGGCAGCACTGACACTGAGGCAATGACTAGAGAGCAATGTATTTAATTATAGTGAATGTAAGGGATGTTATACTACCCACCGACTGAATCTGCTCCTCCGCCTCCCCCCTTTTTGCTGTCTGTTTTACAGAATTGCACATGTAGTGCTTTTGAAAACACCCCTTGTGATTGGCCTTTTTTCTCTCCTCTCTCCTCTCAGGATCACCTGTTAGAGAGAAACCCTCTAGAATACACCCATCAAGATGCTGCTGGCCAAAGTCATGGCTTTATACTTGTCGATGAACCTCACATCACATTAGCCAATAACAATGAAGACAGAAGAGTTCAGGAGACAGAATCCTATCCAAACATCCAAATGTTACATGAAAATGCAGCAGACACAGGCTTATCTATTGTAGTCAACTTAGCCTCGTCTGATTCACTGACACAAATGTCTGAGGTAAAAGCTCCTAATGTTACTTTACTGATGGATGAGAACATGATACATTTGACAACATCTAAGAGAGAAACTAACAGTCTTTTAAGAAACAACAAGGAAGGGTGGCATTCCAGTCTGCAGCAAGGGGAGTCATTACCATCTGTACCTGCTATTGGAACAGGGAACATTATCTATGGATCTGACCAGAGGATCTACCGAATCCACAAAGGCCCCCCTGGTCCAAGGGGACCACAGGGAAGAAGAGTAAGCATCTCTTTTAAAATTGAATTAGATCCTAAACTAATATTATTAATCCTGCCTGTGGTACTGAAAAACATTTAATAAAATTTCAATTTTGTCAACAAAATCCCATGAAAAGCTCAAAACCAACAATGTGTTAGTCTGACTCTCAATACTTTTTGACTTCTCCACCCTGTCTGTGGCTCAAACTCACTGGCTCCTACTGAAGATGTAATTATTTTTAACAAATAACTGTGTGTGTGTTTTTCATGGTAATGAAGGAACATGTCGCCCAGTGGAGCTCTATGGCACAGAGGAAGAAGATATCAGGCTTTGATACAAACAATACTTGTTATTAGATACACTTATTGTTGGTTTTGGTCTGTGCATGTGTTTTGTTGATGATACGTTTGGTGATATTCTGTTTTTTAATTATATTTTACTTGCAAATGAATGTCCCCTCAAGTTGTAATCATAAGTGGGAGCTTTGAAAAACATACAGGCTTTTGACAAGCCTATCTGGACTGAAAGCTGGAATAATAAATGGAGTAAAATAATATAATCAGTGTAAATGTTGCCAAGCTAAAGAACAATCATCTTTTTGATCTTCCTAACATACTCTGTTTCCATGTTTTTGCACTTGAGCTTCCTACAAACATGTGAAGGTAAGATTATAATTTCTCTAACTGAGTTTATTTAATTCAGTGCAATTTCTTTCCAAGACTGAGGTGAAAGTATGAATATCAATATCAATCATGTCTGTAAGTTAAAGAACCAGTGTGTAGGATTTAGCGGCATCTAGCATTGAAGTTGCAAATTCCAATCAACTGAATACCACCCACCTTCCAGTTATGAAGGAGAAACTACAGTGGCTTCAAAAACTCTGAAAGGCCCTATGTAGGCTAGTGTTTAGTTCTGGGCTACTGTAGAAATCAGTTATTGATAGCTATAGGCGTTGAATGTTGATAGTATGCTGTTGTCCCACTCCACAGTGCACTAGCATGAGATTGATATTGATTTTCTCAAACCTCCCTTTGGGTGGTACCAAAATATCAGCAGCGGTATAAACTGTTTCTTTTTTCACTACAGCAAGGTTCCCCAGAGTGGCTTCTGTTATTCCCCAAATTACCTCTCTTTAATGGGCCTGTATTTTGGTTGTAAGTGGAGGGTATGGTTATTCTGTGCAAACATTGTGGTTGCATCAACCCACGTGAAATTGACTCATACTGGTTTTTATTCAATCTGTAAAATTGCAGGGTAGAGAGATTGCTTTCAAAACAAACTGCATTAATAAAGTCTTGGGGGGGACCACAGTGACCTTTTCTCTGTACGATCATCACACTGTAGATGATGCCAGACAGCAGGCCTGCCAGTTGTTGCCAATAAGTTGTGTACATAGGGTAAAAATAGCTCAATGCCATATTGTTCTTACAGGGCTGTGCTGGGAGAGAAGGCTATGTTGGATTTAACGGTGACAAGGTAAGATGTGAATGATCAATTTTGTGTTTTTTAAGTAATCATAATGAAACTATAATCAAATGAGAAGACATGTACCCTGCTTCAAGTAGCGAGTTTATGGAATGAACAGGATAATGGGTTAAAAATCCTCTGTACAGGTGTGCTCTAGATGTTACTCAACAAAGTTGAGCCTGTAAACTTCTGTTAACCTGCTTCATGGAAAAGGGCCGTGTGTTACTCCCATGTTTACATGCAGACATTGCAACACAACCTCAGAGTGTGTCATTGATGGGGACCAAACATGGCAGCTGTAGCTCAGAGGCAGAGCGGGTCGTCCACTAATCGGAAGGTTGTTGGTTCAATCCCATCCTTGAGCAAGATACTGAGCCCCGAATTGCTGAATGTGTATGAATGTTAGTTTCTGTTCGATGGGCTTTGTCATTACTGGAGGAATGTGGAATATACAAGTACAGGTCCATTTACCACTTACCAAACGAACAGGATGAAAATGAGGTGTCTTAAGTGTTAAGCCGACTTTCAGTGTGGGTTTGTAGGGATAGTTATCGTGTGGTTTTAACTCAGATTTAGAGGGGGACACAAGTGCAACTATTGACAGTATGTAATAAGTGCACAGAGCTTCTGAGGCTGGGAAGTAAAGCAGAAGTAACTTAAACCTGCATTCTTTCTAATGGACAGCAGGAGGCAGCTCCCTGGATGTGAATAGAAATGCGTTTGTGTTAACTGTAATTAAGAAATGACCCACTATTTTTTTCACTTGAGTTTATAATCTCAATCATTAGTTTCAAGTCTTCTTCTTCTTCATGATGTTCATTTGGTAAATGATGGTCCCATTTTAGAGTAAAATAGACCACAAAGCTGGGTATGCTTTAGGGCATGGCTACCTTTTGATTGACAGGTCATTCTCAGTTCTCCAGCTCAACACACCAAACTCAGATCAAACTAGAGTCACATTCTGTAAATGCATTTTTTATTTCTTTTATTGCTTAAAATTGCCTCACAATGATATTTCAGTGTACTGTTTATCTGGTGTGTGTGTGTGTGTGTGTGTGTGTGTGTGTGTGTGTGTGTGTGTGTGTGTGTGTCTGTGTGTGTCTGTCTGTGTGTGTGTGTGTCTGTGTGTGTGTGTGTGTGTGTCTGTGTGTGTGTGGCTCATGCTGATCGCTCCGCATCTACAGTGGTTTGGTTGGGTGTTTTATTATATATAGTATATAGTTTTCAGTTAGTTTAACAAAGGAACTGCTTATTATGAACTGTTACTGTAATTACTTTTCTGTTGGCTTTAACTTTAACTTTTTATCTTTGATCATGTTTCTATTCATGAAATATGTGTTTTACTTACTGCCTGTCCTCTTTTCTTTTCTCCTCTCTAGGGCTCTCAAGGCAATCGAGGCCTGAATGGGAGGAGAGGGAATCCAGGACCTCCGGGAGCTCCAGGACTTCCTACTCTCTACCTATGGAGGAACTCTGAGGAGGACTGGACTGCTTTTAGGGTAAGAGTAAATGCAAACACCCACATTACAATCAGTCTGGAACTGCACTGAACCCATGAGGATTTGGACCATGCTGTAGCACCAGTACAGAGTGCTCGTTAATGTCCTTTTTAGTTCATTTGTCCTCTTGAGGTCAACTCAGACCAGTGCCGTCAATGTCCTCACCACACTTTGTCTATTCCTGACTGCTAATGTCACCCTGTCTTAATACCACAATATTTCCAGCCAGCTTTCTATGATTGAAATCGCTTGTTTAGTTAATATAGTGACTGAATTTCTATATCGGTGCAGTTCATTGTACACATAGAAAACAACGTGGTGATGCCAATGCCACAGTGGCAGCAGTCTATAGGAAGGTCACAGCGACAGTCTCCAAAAGTCAGCCTCATTAAGAAGACTATAGTATTTGTGAAATGTGTCTCTAGTTTGTAGAAACTAAAAAAACTTGAAAATGACTTGTGTGTGCTTCGGGAATTGTCATATTATTATTTTTTTTGGGGGGGGGGCATCAGTTGTAAAAGTACAGATGTATTGTTAGCTTCATGTAGTAAAAGTACATGTTGTGCAGTAAAATATCTCCAGTGACTTGTATATGATTCTATAATTAGGGCATGAAAACACAAGCAATCACACAATCAGCCCAGGTTATCTAAACCATTAATCCATCTAACCCTAACCCATTATTTGGAGGTAAAACTGAAAATGAGTGCACCTGAAATATCTGGAATAATCTGTCACTGCACAGCAAGAGTTAAACCAGTTATTCAATTCAATTCAATTTTATTTGTATCGCGCCAATTCATAACAGAAGTTATCTCAGGACACTTTTCAAATAGAGCAGGTCTCTCTTTATAACATTATTTACAGAGACCCAACAGTACCACCATGAGCAAGCACTTGGCGACAGCGGCAAGTACAAAAATAAGATCCAAGATGTTACCTGGATGTATGTGAAAATATGAGAATGAAATCAGTCATGCAGTCTGATAACAGTGATGCAAGTACAGTGCTTATGCAGTGGTTGTATGTAGACAGTGATCACATAGGCAGAGCCGGGCTTCTATTTCAGGCAGGGCTGAGTAATCCTCTCCCAGTGTGTTGACAGTGTATTTAGATGGCCACAGCTCTCTGTGCTCTCTCAGTCTGTAATGAAAGCTGAAGTATCTGCCAAGCATTGTAGCTGGAGCCCATCCAGACCCTCATGCCGGGTCAGACCCTGCGCTTTGCATTTTGACCAGCTATACAAGCAGGGCTAAGCTGGCTGTGAAAGGCCTTAGTGTTGCCTCGCTCAGAGTACACTGAAGGCTCTGACTGCTGACACAATGAGACTTAAGGGAGGTCCAGGCCTTTCCGCCAGGCTGATTTTTACCTTGACAAGGTTGGCCAGGCTCCACTCCTACCCCCGCTGCAGCACCATCGCCAACACAAATAAGACCTGGAGCAGAAGAGCTGGGTGGTGGAATAAACCAGAAGGACTCCTGTGTGCTGAAGTTGACCGGCACTCCTCTTCACTTTCAAAGTGCAGTGACAGCAAGCTCTGTGCCGTATCGCTTAACAACCATCAGAGGACTGCAAATTGCACTGCATGGAACTCTCAGCACTTTGTCATGTCTCATGTCTTTTGGCTCCATCTGCAATCTCTCGTGTTATAAGACATGAAGTATGAAAGCCAAGTCCACAGACTGTGTGAAGTAGCAGTGTGCTCCCTCTCAGCTGGCTGACTTGAAATGCAAGTGATTTGTTTCCTGACCAGTTCTGAACATGTGCAGTGCCGCTCCTACAGTAAGGTTGAAAAGTACCACTGATGTCAAAAACCACAAAAGCCTGAATAAAAAGTTCCAAGTGCGGCAAAGCTGTTTTTTTTTTTTTTTGGCTTAACCACTCCTGTTCAGAACGAGTTTGAGTTTAAGTCTTGGTTTTAATTTTAAAAAGAAATCCCTAAACATTAAACAATCTAGCAACATCAGTCAGTCTGATAATATAATAAGTGTTGTTATCTCGAGCGAAATATCTTGACAGCTGCTGGATGGATTGCCATGAAACTTTGTTCATCCATGTTTTCCAGAAGGTAATTCCTAATGACTTTGGTGACCCCCTTACTTTTCATTTAGTGCCACCACCAGGTCACAATTTGTTTGTCTGATTATTTGATTTATGACCAAATACCTTCAAAAAGCCTTAGCTGTACTTTATGTTTAGTGCTAGCAAATGTTAGCATACTAACACACTAATCTAAAATGGTGAACATAATTGTAAACATAAGCATAATTTTCATAATGAGTAATCATGCACACATGTTAGCATACTGCTCAAAGCAATGGCCTTACAGCCTTTATTTTATTTTAAACTGTCTGTATTTTTACTATCTTGATTATCTTTTAAAAGTTCAGTGTGTAACATTTAGGAAGATCTAATGGCAGAAGTGGAATGGAACGCAAGCGGGATCCATTTGGTTTCAATCTGCAACTTCACTGCTAAATGCCACTAAATCCTACAGACTGGTCCTTTAATCATTGTCTTTACTATATTTATTGTTTTAATGGATCAATACCTAATAAATATATCACTTTCAATTCTAATTTTGACTGCTTATTTTTCCAGAGATCAGCTATCCATCAAATGCTCCGAGCTGGCTGGCCGGTGAGTACCTCAGCTTTTAGATTAGATCGGAGACGCTCAATCAAAGTAAGTCACTGATTTATGTTTCCTTGCTCTTAAGGTGACACCTGGCCCACCTGGAACCATGGGTGAAATGGGCAAACCTGGTCCTCCAGTGAGTTTATCATCGATCACGCCTACATAAGTAATTTTGCATGATGATGTTGTCCTTGATTTTTTTTTCTGCTTTTTCTCCTTTCCTCCTTTTTCTTTCCCATTTTGACCCTGCTTTACCTTGTCATAGTTAAATGAAAGTATTCTTAAAATTAAAATATATTTATCATTAAGGGTATTCCTGGAGATCCAGGGGACAGAGGGATACCAGGACAGACAGGAGACATGGTAAATGTTGAAATTGAAAATCCTTTTTGAAACATCAGTAGCTGCATTGTACCCGGTGACCAAACATCATGTGATTGTATGTGTGTGCCAGGGTAACTCTGGGCCAAAGGGCGTCTCTGGTAATCCAGGGAGGTGGGGCAGGAATGGCAGTCAAGGAGTAAATGGGCATCGTGGGCCACCAGGACTACCTGGGCTGCAGGTGAGAACCACTAGTACTCACATTTGGAGAAATGGTCACTCAGTAGCTTGTCAATGAGTAAGCTGTATCATTTGGTAACCGTTGTAGTCTTTTTTTCCCCTCTAGGGTCCCAGAGGTTTTAAAGGAGAAGGGGCTTCACCAGGGGAGAAAGGTGATGAGGTGAGAGTTTTAGCTAAATCAGGTTACCACTGAACTGCTGAAATGGTCAAGTTTGATGTGAAGTGAACATGGAGACTAAATTCACTGTTGGCTGTGATCCTCCAAGCTACTCTATATAGCAAAAACTGAGCGAGGTAATGGAATCTATGTTTACACTTAAGCAGCAGTTCACAAACTTTTCTGTCATGTACTGCTAGGATGAAGAAAAAATAAAACAAAATCCTATGCTCTATTCAACTGTATACTTGGCTTGACTTAGTGATTTTTTTTTTCTTATACTATTATTAGTATATGGACAACCCATTACTGTCTTAAGACTGACTTAAGTCCTGAAATAATACCAAAAATCCAATAATCTAAATTTTATGCCTTAAAATATGATTTACATGTTTTAAATAATGATTGGATTAATAAAGTTAATGTTTATTGTGAACATGTTTAAATGTGTTTTGGGGAAAAATGTATATTGCTCATGCCATAACAACTACAAAACCAAACTGACATGGAAACAGTACAGATTTTCCTTCATAGATTTTGTACTTTAATGGACATAAAATACGCAAAACAATGGTCTTAAATTTAACCAGTTGAATCCTGCTTCAAAAGCTTTACATTTTATCTTGTAATTTAACTGTAGTTCCACCCCTCTCCAGAGTTCGAGAACCACTGCACAGAGTTGAGTAAAAGCAGGCTACAAGCTAAGCCTACATTATGCTGTATGTACTGACTCACTAGTATTGCAAATATTACTGACTTGACTGACATGGCATATTATTTCAACTGCACCTAAGTCTGGCATTTTTGTGATTTGTGTTGTAAAAAGAAACTAGCGTTAGCATGGAGCACCAGGACAAGTAATCGATAGGGTATTGTTTCATTTTAGTCTTTGTTTTCTCATTAATACTAGAAAGGCACTCAGAGAGCACAGACCTGTGCCAAGGACAATACTCCAGTCTTCAGTGATATGTGAATCTACAAGTGCAACCAGTATACACCGATCAGCCATAAGATTGTGAGCACTGACTGGTGAAGTGAATAACACTGATTATCTGGTTATCATGGCTCCTGTCAGTGGGTGGGATATATAAGACAGCAAGTGAACATTTTGCCCTCAAGTTGATGTGTTAGAAGCAGGAAAAATGGGCAGCGTGAGGATTTGAGCGACTGACCAAGGGCCACATTGTGATGGATAGACGACTGGGTCAGAGCATCTCCAAACCTGCAGCTCTTGTGGGGTGTTCCCGGTCTGCAGAGGTCAGTACCTATCAAAAGTGCTCCAAGGAAGGAAAAGAACCAGAGACAGGGTCATGGGGGGCCATAGCTCATTGATGCACGTGGGGAGTGAACGCCGACCCGTGTGGTCTGATCCAACAGACGAGCTACTGTAGCTCAAACTGCTGAAACAGTTAATGCTGGTTCTGATAGAAAGGGGTCAGAACACACAGTGCAGAGCAGTTTGTTGGTATGGGGCTGTGTAGCTGCAGACCAGTCAGGGTGCACAGGTGGTCATAATGTTATGGCTGATCGTGTATACTCTGTTTGGATAATATTTCCAAAAGGTTTTAGAATGACAATATGTCAAAATATGGTGGTGCGTAGCTGAAGCCTCATCATCTCTGAAATCATCATCTGCATGATTGAAGTTGGTCATATCTCAAAATGTTGATGAAAGTGAAAGTTATTTGTGGATCCGCTTCAAATGTTCATGCTTCACCCTTCCAGTAAGTTTTATAACATGGAGCCAGTAGTTCTTTCCATAATCCTGCTGACAGAAAGACAAACAGCACCAAAAACATAACCTCCTTGGTGGAGCGTACTAATAGAAGTAAATTAATAAACTATTTACTATTCACCACACACAATTCTGTGTTGAGGTCTATATAGTATACCAGTTGGCAAAATTACCACAATAATGGCCATTTGTTTAATCCAGCCGCCACCTGAATGTTCCTTTATTCCTTATTACAATGCACGGGGTTCACATAGTTTTTGTGACGCATTGTGGGAACATTTGAGTCTGCTAGGGAGAAATAAGTTTAATTCAGACACACTACACAATGGCAATACAGTACATAGTAAATAATGAATGACCTCAGACACAGCCTTTTGTACTACTTTGAATGCAGTGATATTAGGTCAGAGGTCAATGTCAATAACTTACTACTGCCTCTCTGGAGCTCACTTTCTGTGGAGAACCACAAAGCTTACATTAGCCCTGGGGTTATTCAAGTCAGTTTGTAGCCAATACTTGCATCAATGCACCTATTTCCAAACCACTGCTCAGTGGCCAACAGACTGCACAGGGCACTCAATAAGTGCAAAGAAGGATGTTGCTGTAAGCATTACATTTAGTTTTCTCTGTGTCCCAAACTGTAGGGTTTCCCTGGTGAGCCTGGACCAAGTGGAGACAGAGGAGGAGCTGGAGAAAAGGTCAGTATAAAAAATAGATTTTGGTAAATATGCGCCTTTTCTGCTGTGATCCTCTGCTCCTTATGTGAGCTGTAGATGCAGCAGAGGTATGACTGCATCACCCTCTAGTGGCTGTAATCAAAGCTGCAGAAATTGAAACTAATTTAATCTATTGCTAGTTCTGCTGCTACTGTGTGCATGTCATTTTCTATTACAATGTAACATTCATTCGACATGTATTAAGACATATATACAAATAGTCTGCTTGGAACAGTGACATGTGTCTGAGATGTTATAAAAAAAAAAAATTTAATGAGCACAGATAAACTTTCCACTTTCAGCAGATGAATGTGAAAACATCCTTCTAGAGTCAAACTGCACAGACAGAATTCAAACAGCACACTGTAGGGACAGGAAGAAAAATACACATTTGACTGGAGAGGGAATTTAATGGTTTTACTGTTTCAGTATATATTAATATCAGAGTGGTTGGAAATATCATGGACCAACTGATTTGATTTGATGTTGTTTGTGTGCCCTTCAGGGATCTAAAGGGGAACCAGGAGAAGACGGACCTGTTGGCCCTCCTGTAAGTTCCATTTAAAGGGGTATCGCTGATTTTACACATTAAGTTGGGTTGTAATGGGAATACACTCTTTCAAGTTTGATAAAATAACCACAGAGCTTGAAATACATGGGCATTTATAGTCATTTATAACTACGGTCATGAAAGATGGTATCAACTTGCGTTATGGAAAGTGATCTAGCCTATTTGGCGCACTAAAGTCAATGTGTCTCCGCCTTTTTTTGAAACTGCCTATTATATCCCCAAACTTTATGAAGGTGGAGACCTTAATGTCTGGAGTCCCACTTCAACATGCAGTGTTGTCGATGTTATATTGACCCTTACCATATCTTACTGTACCATTTATTGGCTTATTTAATAATAGGAATGATAATACTAATAATAATGGATGACAGTAAAGACATTTTCACCTTTACCCAATATCCACAGTAAAATGATTACCCGGTAACATCCACATTTTCCCAGTATCTAGTGTTTAGATAAACATTCTGTATCAACTTGGTCCATCTCTTTATATACATATGATGTTTACACTGTAAGAGACATATTTAAACCAAGACTCCAAACTTTTTAGTTTCTGAATGTTTTGCTGCACAGCATAGGTTTGACTGACCCACAGAAGCATGAGTGTCTCAATTCCTTTCATCACTAAATCATCCCTGTTAACGTTAAAAGGTTGAAACCCACAACCCACTCCATCACTCCTGTGAATGACTAGTGTGGTATCCAGCCACATAAATTACAACCAATATTATGGTTTTTTGTTGGTGTGGTAGGTGTACCTTGATCTACCTATAAATTCAACCTGACATTGTTGATATGTTTTGACACTTTGGGATGTAATTCCTCAGAACTCACACTTTGTTACTGTTGTTCTCTTGTCTGCTGTTGTGTAAATCCATTTATGATGAACTTATTGAATAATAGTGAAATGCTAAATGATATAAATCAACTTTAGCTGCACTTTGTGTTTATCAGGGTCCTTTAGGTCAAAGGGGCATTCAGGGGATTCCTGGAGCTCCAGGGCCACAGGTAGGACATCTGTTACACTGTATTGCTCTTACTGTGTCTTTATTCTCCTTACTGAAATGTCTCACTGTGTTCACTTGTGCTTTTTAATCAGGGATACTCTGGAGATGATGGATTGCAGGGTCCTCCAGGACCAGTGGTCAGCATGCATTAGTGTTTCTAATTACCTCACAATGTTAATTTATTTGCTACCTGCTGCTGATGAGCTATTTTTGGTAAAATATAAAACTAATTTTTAGTCTGAATCCTCTAGGGTGCACCAGGGGCCACAGGAGGTATAGGACCACCTGGAATTAATGGGTCTGAGGTGAATTCATACGGGGACACATCACCATATTCCTTGAAATCATTTAGCTTGATGATAAAATTATTGTCTACTGTGTTTTTCTTTGTCCCGTACAGGGGGATCAAGGTCCAACTGGTCCACAAGGTCGTAAAGGCCCATCAGTATGTCATCAAATTCACCTATTAGGCTTTACATGTAGTACAGATGGACCCGTATAAGTGTTTAATCTAATTGCATCTCTAACAGGGACCGTCAGGATTAACAGGAGAAACGGGCTCACCTGGACCTCGAGGGACTGAGGTAACTGATATAAGAGAATGACATTCTATGTACACTGTTCAGCCATAACATTGTGAGCATGTGAGCACCTGTGCACCCTGCGGTCACAAAGTTCTGCAGTTTGAGCTACAGTAGCTCGTCTGTTGGATCGGACCACACAGGCCAGCCTTCACTCCCCACGTGCATCAATGAGCCTTGGCCCCCCATGACCCTGTCTCTGGTTCTTTTTCTTCCTTGGAGCACTTTTGATAGATACTGACCTCTGCAGACCGGGAACACCCCACAAGAGCTGCAGGTTTGGAGATGCTCTGACCCAGTCGTCTAGCCATCACAATGTGGCCCTTGTTAAAGTCGCTCAAATCCTCATGCTGCCCATTTTTCCTGCTTCTAACACATCAACTCTGAGGACAAAATGTTCACTTGCTGTCTGATATATCCCACCCACTGACAGGAGCCATGATAACCAGATAATCAGTGTTATTCACTTCACCAGTCAGTGCTCACAATGTTATGGCTGATCGGTGTATATAGACACACACATTTAAATCAATCGAGCAAAAACAATGTTATGATGCAGTAAGTTAGTTTGTAGGTTATATTGGTTATAGGAAAATGTTAGGCCCAACTGTAAAAAGAAATATAGACTAACTGTGTTTTTTAAGCAGAAAAGAGTGGTGGTAGATATAACTGCAATAACAGATTGCAGGTATAACTTTCAGGCCACACTGAGCCCAACAACCCCCACTAATAAGGTAAGACAGCCTGCATGAGAGCCAAAACCCAGGGCAACAAAGGACTAGCTGCTCCACTCTCTGCAGCTTGCCAAGCTCTTTGCTTTAAGTGCACAGTCAGAACTGAAGGTGACACCGATGAGTGATCTTATCTAATTTTAACTGGACACAGTAGAGTAAAACAAATGTTTAAAGAGACTTTGGTAAGAAAAGCAACCTGAAATGATAAAAGTGAGGGGTACCTCCCCAACATGCTTCACATTGCTCAATGTCTTTCTGCATTATTGATTGTTTTGTTTTTGTCAGGGTCAACCAGGCAGTAATGGCCCTGCTGGTCCAAAAGGAGATGTGGTAGGTTTTACTGGAATAATCAGTGCTGTTGTCTTTACTCAGTGGCCTAACTGAATCCATATTCCACTGTACTGATACTGACACCTTTTCTTTCTCTGACAGGGTGAAATAGGGCCTATGGGAACAAAAGGATTTCCTGGCAGTGAAGGGCCCATGGTAAATAATATGAAATCATTCCCTCTAATGTTAAATGGCAAATTTCAGTTACTAAACTGTATGTCATATAGACAGTATACTGCTCACACACTCTTCTGTAATGTACTTGCATGTGTTCTGCTGTTAAAAAAAGAAGAAAAGTGGCCAGGCTTTAATGTTTAAAACTAAACTTGTCTAGAGTACTAGAAGAGTAATAATGAACAAAATGGGGACAGTCCTTGCATAGTGTCAGACCAATATTTCCTTATGAGATCTATGCATTGAAGGGATGTGGTCTCAAAACTTTAAAAATTAATGTAATTTTAGCATTCAGAGACCCAAAAGAGCTTTACTTGCAAGTTTCTTAAGAAGACTTGTACTTCTCGCAACTGACTTGAGCTAATTTGAGACTTATTGTAATTAATATAATTTGACTTGACTTAAGACTTGAGGCTGGACTTGGGCGTGTCTCATGTGACTTGAAATTTGCTTTGATGTGAATTTAGACTTGACTCGGTGTTTTATTGATTGACTTGAGACTTGTTTTGCCAAGACCTGAGACTTGACTCGGACTAGTTTTGATTTACTTGAAATAACCTGAGACTTCATTTGACTTTATAATGGCAGTTTTTAAGAACCTACATGATAAATGAGTGATAATTTAATTTTCTACTGTTGAATGTATTTCAATTTATCTACTATATTTTGATAATCTGAATGCTCCATAGAGAGCTGTCTGAACTTTTAATTGAGAAGGGTTACTGGAGACAGTCTCGCTCTCATGTGGCTCACATCAGATTTAGCCACTCCCTATTTTCCCCCATTTTATTTTATTTTATTTTTTTATTTTTTTTGTTCTCCAAAGAACCGGATTATTCTTAAGCTAAAAATAGCAACGGAAAGAAGCCTCAGTTTGAATTCCAACACGGTAAATGTGAGCAAGTTACGGTGATGTTAAAGATAGCAAACATTTTCCATCTGTGATTTGCTGCGATAGAAGCATCAGGATTTCTCCTTGCTCTGTTGCTCTTTTAGGGGATGTCTGGAAGTCCTGGTCCAAAAGGATTCGCCGGTGGCACAGTAAGCAAGATGGTCTTCTGTTTTCAATAAAATGTCAACATTAATATTGAGGTTGTGGTCAGATTATTAAAGCTGTATTCATCAATTTTTTTTTTTTGCCACAACGGGCAAAAGAAATCAGCCCAAAAACAATCAAACGCATCTAGCATCCTACATTTACTCAAATACTGTACTTAAGTACAAAGCTGAGGTACTTGAACTTTACTTGAGTATTTACATTTTATGCAACTTTATACTTCTACTCCACTGTATCTCTGAGGGACTTATTCTGTTTCTTACTCCACAACGTTTGTCTGACAGCTTTAGTTACTAGTTGCTTGTCAGATTACAATGTGTTATACCATCCTGTCCAGCAGTAACTGTAACACATTAATACAGCAGTAAATTAATCCAAAAACATCATATAACCATTTTCCTGCATTATGAGTACTTTTATTTTTCATACTTACATTTTGCTCATAATACTTGCATACTTTTACTTTAAGTAAGCTGTTGAATGAAGAACTTTTACTTGCAGTGGAGTATTTTCACAGTATGGTTAGCACTTTAACTTAAGTAGAGGATCTGAATGCTTCCACTCCTCCTTACGCCTTGCAGAAAATGTATGTATTAGCCAATTTTTGGAGAAAACTGTGCTGGGTTAAAAGATAAGTTGAACTGAATTGACCTGAAAGTGATGCGAGTCAAACTTAGCCAGCCTAAAGGAGGAAAACAGTGCTTAAAGTTAAAATGTAATGTTTATGTTCAGGGCTCTAGAGGACTGGATGGTGACAAAGGAGAGGCTGGACCCAAAGGACACAGGGTAAGAGGAAGTTGGTTGTGTTAGTTGGTGTTTAAATATAAAATTATCTGGGTTAAGCTGAACTATATTATATTGTGTCATTTGTTTATTATTGTGTCATAAAGATAAAAGATTGCTCTGGAGAATTCAGATTGTCAGAGCTGGTGTAAACTTGGATCACCCCTACACTGTTTTGACCTGTTTTGAATTACAATTCAATGCTGAATTTAATGGAAGGCGATGGACATCGTGAGAGATGTCAAAACATATTCAAATAAAATCACTTTACTGTAAATTAACATCTAAACATTGCACAGCACATTGTCATGTGAAACCTTCAAAATCTAGTATCAATATTTCTTGGTATAATGACAGTAAACAAATGAGATCACAAACAGAACTCCATGCAACAGTATTTTAAGGGCTTATTGTTCTTTTAGGGCCCACCAGGTGCTGCAGGGATCCTAGGCCGTCAGGGAGAGAGAGGTGAACGTGGAAACACAGGTCTTCAGGGGACGAGAGGTCAACCTGGGCACCAAGGAAAAGAGGTACAAATCATGATATGATCGGAGATCTCCTGTGTTTTGGTATGCAACAAGACCCCAATGCTGCACAGGTTGTGTTGTTTGTTTGGTAGCTAAACATCTACTTCACTGATGTGATTTATATTAGTTACTCAAAAGAATATGAGCTTCCTAAACTTAAGTTCAATAGATTTCTTGACCCCATAAAAGCCATTCTGGTAGCGATGGAATTTCTGATCACATTTTGAAAAGCTATGACTTTAATCAATTTTGCAATGAATTAACTTTTAATATTTAATTTTGATCTTACTTCTAACAAAATGTTACATAACCATCCTGGGTTGCCTTGAATTTAAAATCCCCAAAACACTGCCAGCCTAGTTTAACTTAACTTACTGTCAACAACTTAGTCGTAGCCACATCTTATAATCACCAGACTCCATCCACCAATGAGGACCGTGAGACGTAGCTGAAAGCTTTGGAAGAAATTTAGCAAGTGGTTAGCTTTTTAGCTATGAGTTAAAAAAATTAAAATTTCAAATGCTCAATAGAGCTTTTTCAATTATGCTGAAGAACACTTGTAATAACATTGAAATATTTTTGGATTGTATACATATATATGTATTTATAGTGTTGTTTTATGAACATGTTATGTGCCATTATTTTAATGACTATTTCATGTCTCCTCAGGGTGAAGATGGGGAGGCTGGTCTTCAGGGAGTGGTTGGTAAACAGGGGCCAAAGGTTAGAGGCTTTTATTGCTGTCTGGTCAATTAAAACTAATAAAGCAGAGTCATATCAGTCACAGCTTATTGTCCACAGGGACATTTGTTACATCGCACTGCACTCTGAAAACTGCAAACTGACAAAGCTTTTGAACCAAGTGATGAGAAGTTTGAAGAGATAAGGACAGATGACAACTGCTCCTGTAATTTTGATTGCCTCTATTACTTAACAATGATAAGAAAATGTGTGTAATAGCTAGTGTAAAATCAAAGCTATATGAATCAAGTGAATAATGTTAATTCATTAGTACATTTTGTTACCTGGATTGATTCTTTTAAATAATCAATTTTATCAATGATATTTTGTAAAATCAGAAGATTTTAGTTTTATATTTTATTTGTATGAAATCTTTAACATCCCTAGAAACAATTGACACATGCAATTGACAAGAATCTCTTGTATTTATATTTAAAGCCAAATTAATTGATTATTTTGTGCAAACAGTTACCTATTTATATTTAAATATAAACAATTAAAATCAATTAATTAATTAAAATCTAGTCAGCACTAGATAAGCCATTAAATAATTATCCCACTTTTATTTATTTATTTATTTATTTATTTATGAAATGCTGGTGAAAAAAGTTGAAAGTCTGTTTTTATTCACATTGCAGGGCATCAGAGGCACCCCAGGCCAAAATGGAAATTTAGGGCTAAAAGGACCAAGGGTAACTATTATCTAGACAGTATAAACTCAAATAAACCAGATTCAGTTTTTATTTTATTGTCTTTTTGGCGTCTACATTTACAGGGTCGCACAGGACTCCCTGGCCTGTTTGGTCTACCTGGCATGCCGGTAAGAACAAAGTAAACAAGTTAAAAGCAGCTCATCATGTCTGATAGTTTACTGCAAACACTAAACCATATTTGTGTGTTTATGTGTGTGGACTGTTGCAGGGTTTTAGAGGCAGAGTTGGGATTGAGGGACCAGAAGGAAAGCCTGGTACACAGGTTCCCATTTTATAAATTTTCATCTCATATGATTGTGTTTTTGCTGCATTCCTTACTCCATTAAGCCATCTCAACATGTTGCTTTTAACATGGTGGTACATCTGTATGTCTAATATGTCTTACATGCAGGGTGTTCCTGGTTCTGCTGGCTCTCCTGGCCCTGAAGGAGACAGAGTGAGTTGTTAAGTTATTTTTAACCCACTGGTGAGGAAAGGTTTGGTCTACAAGCAATTCAGTGTGGTGCAACTGATGAGGATACAGGCACACAATATTAGAGAGTCTGTATGTGAGTGCACTGATTACAAGAAAATGCTAAATACAACTGCAACAAACGATTATTTTCATTGCAACTATTTTGTCAACAGTTTCTATGATTAATGGGTTAGTCTATAAAAATGACCAAAAATCAGCCCTCATCAGTTTCAGAGTTGTAGATTTGGTAAGTATCTTCTTGATGGACAGTAATGGCGCAACTTTTTCTCTGTACCAAACCTTTTCAGTACATTTCATCAGGGCTTTTCAGTGTCTGGACCAAACTTTGACTTCCTCCCAAAACTTGGTAGCAATCAGAGACAACCTAAGGACCCTGCTGTTTCTATGCATTTACACCCCAAAGTTCCAAACATATATGTATTTATTTGAAAAGTAGTCTCTCTTGCTTTTGAGACCATCTTGGAAACTCAAATTCACCATTTTCTGAAACTGTAAATGGTAATTGGACTGTATAGCACCTTTCTAATCTTCCAAAGCGCTTTTACACAACATGCCACATTCACATTCATTGAGGTTTCATTTGGGATTCAGTATCTTGCTCAAGGACACTTTGAGGAGTCAGAGATCTAACCACCAATTAGTGGACTACCCGCTTTGCCTCCTGAGCCGCAACTTCCCGTACACATGGCTATAATGCCTTTTGGTGCCTATTCTTTGAACATTGGATCATACACACCTGGCTTAAGTCACATGCCAAGCACCTCAGTGTGCAAACCGCTCTCTTTAATTATTATTTTCCTACGATAACACTGTGGTGTCTTACCATGTTATCATCAAGGTCAGTACTGAATGTACAGTATGTACAGTGCTGTGAAAAAGTATTTGCCCCCTTCCTGATTTCTTATTTTTTTGCATATTTGTCACACTTAAATGTTTCAGATCATCAAACAAATTTTAATATTTGACAAAGATAACCCGAGTAAATACAAAATGCAGTTTTTAAATGATGATTTTATTTATTAAATCATGAATTAACTGTGATTAACCAATCTTTTTAGAAAGCTGAGTTCAATTTCATTAGCTAAAACCAGGCCTGATTACTGCCAGACATGTTAAATCAAGAAATCACTTAAATAGAACCTGTCTGACAAAGTGAAGTAGGCTAAAAGATCTCAAAAAGCAACACATCATGCCACGATGTAAAGAAATTTGAGAACAGATGAGAAACAAAATCATTGACGTCTATCAGTCTGAAAAGGGTTACAAAGCCATTTCTAAGGCAAAGCCATTTCTAAGGACTACGAACCACGGTGAGAGCCGTTATCCACAAATGGAGAAAACTTGGAACAGTGGTGAACCTTCCCAGGGGTTGCCGGCCTATCAAAATTACTCCAAGAGTGCATCGATGACTCATCCAGGAGGTCACAAAAGAACCCAGAACAACATCTAAAGAACTGCAGGCCTCAATTGCCTCAGTTAAGGTCAGTGTTCATGATTCAACAATGAGAAAGAGACTGGGCAAAAATGGCATCCATGGGAGAGGTCCAAGGCGAAAACCACTGCTGACCAAAAAGAACACAAAGACTTGCTCACAAAAACATCTTGATGATCCCCCAAAACTTTTGGGATAATATTCTGGACTGACAAGACAAAAGTTTAACTTTTTGGGAGGTGTGCATCCCGTTACATCTGGCGTAAAACTAATGCAGCATTTCATAAAAAGAACATCATACCAACAGTCAAACATGGTGGTGGTATTGTGTTAGTCTGGGGCTGCTTCAGGACCTCGACGACTTGCCGTAATTAATGGAACCATGAATTCTGCTCTCTACCAGAAAATCCTGAAGGAGAATGTCCAACCATCAGTTTCTGACCTCAAGCTCAAGCACACTTGGGTTATGCAGCAGGACAATGATCCGAAACACACCAGCAGGTCCACCTCTGAATGGCTTAAAAAAACCAAAATGAAGGTTTTGGAGTGGCCTAGTCAATGTTCTGACTTAAATCCGATTGAGATGCTGTGGCATGACCTTAAACAGGCTGTTCATGCTCGAAAACCCTCCAATGTGGCTGAATTAAAACAATTCTGCAAAGAAGAGTGGGGCAACATTCCTCCATAGTGATGTGAAAGACTCATTGCCAGTTATCGCAAACGCTTGATTGCAGTTGTTATGGCCGAGGGTGGCACAACCAGTTTTTAGGTTTAGGGGGCAATTACTTTTTCACATAGGGCCAGGTAGGCTTGGATAGCTTCTTTCCCTTTAATAATAATTCATTGATGATCTGAAACATTTAAGTGTGACAAATATGCAAAAAAATAAGAAATCAGGAAGGGGACAAATACTTTTTCACAGCACTGTATGTCTGTGTTCTCTACACATGAATCAGTAAGTTCACTCTAAGAGGTGACACATGTTGGGCAACAGTTGTCATGCAGTATTATAGAAATTGGATACATTTAAATAGACACAGAGGTGGAGTCTCATACTTCTACAGATTAGTAATCCTTATGTTTATACAACATCACTTAAAGATTGAACAAATAGGGAAAACTATTTTGTACTGTAGTGGTGGTAAAGTGATAAATTATGTTGAACACAGCTGACCTGGTTGAAGATAAAGGAAAAAAAGTTTTGCAAAAAAGTCAAAGTGATGTGGTTATCTGTACGTCTAATAATAAACAGGGAGAACTAATGAGCCATTGTGTGGAAACCCTTTGCACTGTGTCTTCAACCATATTTTGTGTGTAAAGGTACAAAACTTGAAACTGTTGGGGAAACTGCAATCCCTGCACTCCCCAATGGCAAAATCTAGAAAGCTTCATATATGTGTGCCATTAGTACCATCGCCGTGAACCAAAGAAATCCTGTTGCTGTGCATTGTTAAAAGTAGCTCTGATCTCTGTTCACATGAAGGGGTTTCCCGGTGTGGCTGGTGATCCAGGGCAGGCAGGTTCTCTAGGAGCTCCGGTAGGCCATCACATCTCCTACATTTACCATGTTCCCAAACTAATAAGCTAATTTCAGGTTTGTAACATACTGAAAGTACTCATTTGTGAGTTCAACAGGGTCCTCCAGGAAAGCCAGGTCAGGACGGGATCCCTGGACCAGCTGGGGAGAAGGTGAGTAGATTGGAATTTTTTCAGTACACGTTGCATTACATGTTTCTGGTTGTGTGTGAGGAGTATTGCTTATTTTTACTGACTTCCATTATTGGCTTTTTTTGTTTTTTTTACGATAAACATGAACATTGTATGTTAATGTCTTTCTTTAGGGCTTCACAGGGAAACCAGGGTTGATGGGCCCTCAAGGACCTGTGGGCATGTATGTAAGTGACCATTATGAACTGTTAAACTACGTAAAATGATAATAAATGACTAATTTAGCCCCCACAACGGCTGTGCCCAGAGGCATTATGTTTTAGGTTGTCCATCCCATTGTTATGAACATAGCTTAGGAACATCCAGTGAGGGCACTGTGACCTCACAAACATGTTTTTGCCCATAACTCAAGAATTCATCAACAACATTTCACAAAAATGTCTAATGGGATAAAATAATGAAGAGATGGAAAGGTAACTGTATATGTTTCACTGTGACATCATAATGTTCTGCAGAATTATTCAACACCATAAGTCTGGAACAAAAGGGGAGATTGTGACTATATTTCACAATTGGTCTGTTCACTGAATTGGTGTCACTAATCTTGGGTGCCCAGCTTGAAACTGTGCTAGTTGTATAGATCTTCTGTGATGCCAAATATCAGGATTTATAGTTCCTTTGAAACAACACCCATATTTTAAGCATTGTAGTCCACCATTGTCCACTGCTGATATTGAGTGCTCTATCAGTCTCTCTGTAAAAACAGTCTCTGAGTGAAGACAGCATGTTTTTCACTGGAAATTATTCACTGCAATCAGATGTCATACAGCGATGTACTTGAGTGTAGCCCAAAAATAAATTTTGTATATTCTTCAAAGTCTTCACCACATATATTATGAGTGTGGACAGACATGGATGTAAACTGCAACTTGACTGTGTGGATGAAGCCAACAACTGCAGTGCAGTAATTCTAGTTGTCCTTTAATTGAACATGTTTTTCTTTTTTTACTTTACTGTGAAAATGTTGAATCTTGTTGGGATTTATTGAAGTAGGTCTATACTCAGTATTGGAGGTTTAGCCAAGCAGAAGTTTTTTATTTTTGTTGTGGGTGGAGGTAGAGCGGGTCGTCCCCTAATTGGAAGGTTGGCGGTTCGATCCCCGGCTCCTCTCACTGCATGTCGAAGTGTCCTTGAGCAAGACACTGAAACCAAAATTGCTATGAGTGTGTATGAATGATTTGTTTCCGTTCCGTTCCGTCTGGTGAGCAGTTGGCACCTTGCATTCAGTGTTTGAATGTGCGTGGACGGGGTGAGTGTGACATGTAGTGTACAGCACATTGAGTGGTCAAAAGACTAGAAAGGCGCTATATAAGTACAGTCCATTTACCATTTGGTATATGATGGTATTTGATGATTCTTTTTTTTTTACATAAACAAAATCTAAACCCTATAACGTTTAAGCCTAAATTGTTTTAGTGTGTTTAGGTTTGCAACAAAAAAAAGAAAATCTAGTTTCAATTATTAAATGCTTTCAAAATAGTCAATGAAATCCACCAATATTACACGTCAAAGTCTGTTTCCAGGTGTGTGAAGTCTGATAAATGTCCTCTAGTGCTGTCACTTGAGTCAGCGTTGAAGACTACCAGTTGAAAATTGGTCTGGAGTTTAAAACAGTGAGTCACCAGACCTTTCTAGACCTCTTCTGAAGCTGGCAGCCACTAGCCTACTAGCATTACACACCCTATTCTGATACACCAAGTTGTATTGTAGGTAATGTAGGCAGCAGGTTTTGACAAAGAAAAATAATGAAAGACAATAGCAGAGTCTCCAATCCATACTACATTCAAATTCAATACAGTATGAACCACATACTATTCATCATAGTGCACTATTTCATCAGTTAGTATATGAAATTACCAAATAACAGATGATACAAACTGCAACTTTGGAATGTCATTAAACCCCGCAAAGACACATCAATTTTAAATATTTTCCTTAGATTTCCATCTCATTTTTTATTTTATAAACCTTTTCTGGAGCTGTCAGAGCTAACCCACAGTTTTTTCCAAATGCAGCAGCTCCTCCATTTCTTTTGTACATTGAATTGTGGGACAAGAGCGTTTGAGTACCCTTTATTTTTTCGAGTGTGAGCACAGTACATACTGGAAACCTGATTAGTATGTGGTATGGGGCTGGGACACAGCAGATGAATTGATTTTGATAGTGAATATTATGATTTTGATATTTTAAAATGTGGACCAGAACCACAGTAAGTGTAGTAAGTGGTGACACTTGAATGTAAACCTTAAATCTTGACTTCTCCACAGGGTTACCCTGGAGCTGTGGGTCTGACTGGGAGACCAGGCCACATCGGGCAAAGGGTAAGGCGTGATTCCTGCCAAAGTGTTACAGAACATAATCTGTATCAGAATTAGAACATTTTTCAAATGTGTCCAGGCTTTAGTCTTGACACAACAAGTTGACACAGCACCATTTCTCACATACTGCATCAACAGTGCAGTAACACACTTACTCTACTCTACGTTATGTGGTATACACCGATCAGACATAACATTCTGAGCACTGACAGGTGAAGTGAATACAGTAATTATATATGGCTGGCCCGTGTGGTCCGATCCAACAGACGAGCTACTGTAGCTCAAACTGCTGAAACAGTTAATGCTGGTTCTGATAGAAAGGGGTCAGAACACACAGTACAGAGCAGTTTGTTGGTATGGGTCTGCAGAACATTCTGACAACCAGGGTGCACAGGTGCTCACAATGTCATTGCTGATCGGTGTAGATTCTCATCAAAATCACATACACAGTACTGATTAGTTTGTGAATTAGGCTTAGCCAACCTAAAACTAAATTGAATTTGGCTTTTTCAGACAGCTCTAAAATGTTTGCTGCTATTGGGATTCTATATTGGTCAGCCATGCAGTGATTAAGTTCATGTCCAAAGTAATTTGTGGGTTTTCTGAAATGTGATTGCAATGTTTTCTGTTGTTGTGCAGGGAGATGCTGGTGTCAGAGGCCCTCCTGGCATCCCAGGAAAGACTGGACCTCTAGTAAGTGTGTTTAGTGAAATTTGATTTGAATCTAGTTGATGTCCACACCGATACACATGCATGCACATTTTTCACTTTCCACTGAATACTATGGTGGGTAGAAGTGCCTACATATTGCTTGATCTTGGTTGTAGTTTGTATGTGACGTTGTCTTCTCAGGGTCAGCAGGGCCCTCCTGGTGAGAGAGGACCTCTGGGACCACAGGTGAGAACATGACCCTAACAACATTGTCAGCAGCTATAATGCGAGAGGATTACCTGACCCTATTGTTGCTTGTTTCATCTCCTTCTTTCAGGGCCGTCAAGGAGAGTTGGGGCCCAAAGGCGTTCTGGGACTGCCAGTGAGTAGTGAACATAGGACTGTTTCAGGCAACATGACTGATCATTTCTCTTCTCTCTGCAAATCAGATAGTTTCAAACGTTTTCATATGTCTCCCAGTACACCTGCATGCTTCCAAATGTTGGCAGTAATTTCAAGAAAATTTAACTTAAGTCTAATCAAAATGGGCATAGACACCTAAAGCTACCCCCTATTCCACTGTCAAACAGAAAATAAAAACTTCTTATAATAAATTACGTAATAAAGCTGCATATAAGATCAGACATGATGGGTACTGAGACTTTCCAGCTAAAAAAGCTCTAGATATTTTCAACTTCTGATATAGGACCTGCCCATTTCTAGCAAATATAAATACACATATTCTAGTGAGATAAAGAAATGTCGATGCAGATTAGGGATCAAGGAATCAAGGAGATGTATTCATCATTATACAACACAAGGTTGTATAACAAAATTAATGTTTGCAGTTCCTTAATGCTACACACACAGAAAAATATAATCAAATGCATAGAATAACATAAAGGATTAATAAAATAGAATGGCATAAAATAAATCAATATATACAGTTATTTATATACATATATACAGGAAATAATTCAGCAGTGCATTAATTGAATTTGAGTCTTGTTGAATTTAACGGCAGCAACAAGGTCGTGATGATAATATCGTTTCATCTGCACATAAAAAGAAACAGCTTCGTCTCATCCTGCACTCTGTCTGCTCCGTACATGGTCTGTCTGTCGATTGCTTGATCCAGGATGTTGATGGAGCAGGTCTCTTTTAAAGATGTGGGCACAACAGTCTCTGATTTCCTGTTATTTGGCCAGCCTGAGTACTATTTCATCCAAAACTGTACATTAGCCATGATAGTCCGAGCTGGGCCAGCATGGCTCTTATGCGGCTGTCCTTTCCCTCTCCTCCTGGGGCGAAAGCACCCGCTGTTGGTGAGCTGGTCCCGTCCGTTTGATCTGGCTGGGTGGATCATCCTCAAGGTCTGCTGCTCTTTAATCCAAAGCCAATGCTTTTCTTTTCTGACAGCAGACCATTTCTGTCTAAGGCTAAAAACGGAGAGGTTTGAATCCTTCTGATCGCAGCATCTGAACGTGCAGCCGTTGTAGCCATCGTAATTAACATTGGTTTAAACAATTTGGTGCAGCCCCTTAAAATCAAACCCAATCCGAAATCATTCAGGGGAAATGCAGATTAAAACAAAAATGTCTGCAACAATTAGCAGCCATTTTGCAGACACCTCTGCAGGTGTTGCTGCTGGGGAACGATGTTAGCGCTTCCCCTTGTGAGTTTTGGGAACGTGTTAGTTTGGAGCCCTGTAGTATAACTCTCATACATCATGCTGTAAATGTTTGCCTAAACCAGCCATTGTTTTTAACACATTTATTGCCATCCTAAATGACAATGAGCAAATCTAATCTAAAACCATTAATGGCTAACATTACCATTGTAATGTTCATGGAATAATAGAATTCAACATAAGTTCTCTTTGTTTTAATGTCGGCATTATATATTGGCCACCCTGCATCGGCTATTGAAAAACCTGTCCACCACTAATGCTACCATCTGGATAGCTCTGTGTTATACCCCTTTCAGGTTCATTCCTCTTCTTTGATAGGAAATCATAAACATGAGAGAGATTTTTGGTAAACATTGTTATTAACTCCTGTTAAGTTCTTTTTAATTTTCATTCTAAATGGTTCCAGGGCCCTTCAGGGCAGCCAGGAGCAGAGGGTGGCAAGGGGCGCCCTGGTCCCCCAGGGAGCCAGGGGCCCCTGGGGCCACAGGGGTTGGCCGGACCTAGAGGGTTTCCAGTGAGTGGGTACTTTGCACCTTCCTCTCCATTAAATAGTGATGTAAAACTTTGCGATGCTGCTCTCAATAAAGCATGTATATGATCACGTTGTCATGTAGTGTATCTTTGTTTTGATATATGCTTTTTTTCCGATCAGGGAACACCTGGGATAACTGGACTGATGGGTCAGACTGGAGAGAAAGGAGAGCAGGTAACTGATTTCAGGATGTTTTTTTAAGTTTGAAGACATTGAATATTGGCATAAAATCCTGTCTAACAAGAGCTCCAGTTGCAAGAATCCTGTTATCAGTGTTCAAGAGCTGAAATGAGTCCAATCATTCAAGCACTTTAAGTAATATTAGCGCATGTTATGTGTTGCTTTCAGGGAGCAGTGGGTCCGACTGGTGATATTGGTGCTCCAGTTCTGGATGGGCAGCAGGTCAGTTAACTCACTGATCACACTGCACTGATCAGAGAGAACCATATAAAGCATTCAGACGCAGATAAAAAATGTATATACTAATTGCTTGCTAAATATTTTTTAATAATGACAAATACATTTCATTGATGCCTTAATATTTCAGAAATGTAGTTTATCTAGTTTAGTCTATAATACTGAATTGCTATAAATTGCAATATTTTATTGATAAATATGACTGTGCTTGTCATGTCAGGGTCTTCCAGGACCAGCTGGTGAAGAAGGGTCTCCTGGAACAAAAGGTGACCAGGTCTGTGGCACTATTACTGACTTTTATTCAAAAACACATACTGTATGTAGTAATGTTTGTTGAGTATCTTAATAAAAGGCTGAAGCACCTGTGACAACACTAGGGTTGGACAATGGTTTGTATGTTCAGATTGATTATACTGTATTATTGTGTTGGGTTCTCATAGTACTACCAGCCACAGCTCAACTGTTACTGACGCAACTACACATGTAGGGATGTCACAAGAACCGATAATTTGCTACCAAGAGCAATTTAGTACCAAATGAAGGAATTGTCTCGTTTTCATTACATTAGGATGAGCCTTTTTATCTACATACGCCGTTGGTTGCTTTCCATGGTGGCCGCCATGTTTCTTCAGTAGCCCAGAAGGGCCAGACCAAACATTGGCTATAGATAGGGGTGTTCACACTTTTTGCAGCCACCATAGTTTCAACTTTGTGCTTGGAAGTGGAGTGTAAAGCAAGGGAGTTGCCATCTGCAACTACACTGCTAGTTGACACTAAATCCTACACACTGGACCTTTTTTAAGTTGCTCTTTAGTGTCAGCTGGTGTTCAGTCACTGAGCTAATGTGTGATGTAGCTTGACGGAAGACATTTTAGCCCCTGTATTGACTTGATACTAAGGCCGCGTTCAGTCACTCCAAGCATGAGAAAACATGACGTGATCACTTACAGGGTTTTCAGGTTGAAAAAGGAAAAAAAAGACATTCAGCAACAGATGAAATAACTTCTGACAATAACTGACAATCACAGCAGACATTGAACAACAACTGTCAAACTCTGTACTATCCTGAAATAGGGAGCTGTGGGCCCCCAGGGACAACCAGGGCGCTCGGGACCAAAGGGAACGCTAGGACCTCAGGGCTCCCAAGGGCTGCAGGGTGAGCCTGGACAGAGGGGCAAAGAGGTTAGATGTATTGTCATTTTACGCAAAATATCTCATGTGACTTTAACACATTTGATTTGTCAAATCAACTTTCCAAACCCCAAAATAATGTGTAAGAAAAGCAGCAAATTCTCACATTTGAGAACTTTGAACTGTCCCTTATTGGCATTTTGGCATGAAATATTACCTACAATTAATCGATTATCAAAATAGTTGCAGATTAAATTTCTGTTGATCGGCGAATAGATGAACTGTTGCAGCTCTGATTTCATTCAGCCGCTGGTTGCTGCGCTGCTGGTCCTTTGCTTCATTTTGTTTCTTTGTGCAGGGAGATTTTGGAGAGCCTGGCATTCCTGGGGATCCAGGTGCTAAAGGAACAAAGGTAATTTTCATCTCAACATTGTATTGTTAGCTGATGTAGCATTTCAGACATAAAGATGCTACTGCCGACTTTTGTCATTTTAACCAGTGAAAGCAATAGTAAGTTCAGACTGAAATAATTATTAAAAGCATGTGTTTTTCACAGGGAGATATGGGAAATCGTGGCCTATCTGGACCTGAGGGGCCTCCAGGAGTCCCAGGAACACAAGGACCAAGGGGGTCAAAAGGAGAAAAGGGTTATGCAGGCTTGATGGTAAATGATAATACTTTTGAATCCATCAGTCTTCCCGCCCTGTATCGTTATTTGTTAATTTACTGTACAATACCTGTCCTCTTCACCATGTATTTTTATTTTCAGGGTCAAGGTGGCCTAACGGGGAAGGTTGGACCATTAGGCTTATTAGGACTACAAGTAAGTTACCTTCAGCCCTTCAGAAAGTAACTTTATTATTATGTTAAGGCTGATCCTTTTTAAATGTGTTGAATTGGTATAATTTTTCATCACTGTTTATCTGTCCAACTGAAATTAAATTAATCAGAAACCAAAAAGGATACATATATACAAGAGCACAAGAGCCACAGATTGTGAACAACAACCTAACCTTGCTAAATGAACCACCACCACATGACTAAATGAGATTTTAAGTGGACTAAATATCAGTTGCTGTTGCAGTAGCTGTTGTTAACTGCTGTTAATGTGCATTTTCTTTTCAGGGTTTGCCAGGTATTTTTGGGATTCCAGGACCTGATGGGCCACCAGGACAGAAGGTTGACAATCTCTCAGCATATTCTGTAGTTCTATTGTTTAAAGAAACATGCTCAGGACCAATGTGGTGTTTTTAAAGGATATGTTTGGATGTTAGTAAGTGGAAGAGTTGAAGCGTACATGATCAGTTATCATTATTTGACAGTTATATGAATAGCGGTATTTACCTGAGGCTCATTTCTCCACTGTTTAAAATCAAATTCTTGCTCAAACATGTGCAGTTATGAAGTTTTCAGTTTAGAGTAAGTTGTGGTAATAGAAGTGCAGATAAAGTTGGTTACAGTGGTTACCTGGCTGCAAAGATGCAGGTGGAACAGATGCAGAAGACCATCTGTGTTTGGAGTTGGTGGGCAGTGCCTGTACAGATCTGTGTGAGCTAACCAATCAGGACAGACTATTGGCTTTTTCAGAGGGGGGCGCTTAAAGAGACAGGCACCAAAACACACTGTTTAAGACAGAGTGAATAGAGGTGCTGCAGCAATGGACAGTATGAGAGATAAATAATGTGTTTTTTTAACATTAAAGCATTAAAACATTTTCTAGACTTCTCTAAAGTATAATCCTGAAAATGAGCATAATAACATGTAACATTTAAACCCAAGGGGGATGTGCACTATCACAGTAGGTAGTCTTGGAATATTTCAAAAGTTCACCCTTTGAAGAATCCAAAACAATCTCTGTAACTGAAAAGAGATGTATGAAATGTATGTGATGATATACAGTTACTTTTTGAACTTGAATTGTCCTCTACAGGGAGACAAAGGTCCTGCTGGTTTGAGTGGGGAGCCAGGGATTCCAGGTCCTAAGGTAGGGAGCACTGCTGCCCAATAGTCATAGCTGTAACAAGAAGCAACAGCCTATCTATTAACAGCTGTGTTTACCTTCTCTGTCTAACTGCAGGGGGTGGCAGGAAGCCCAGGTGTGAAAGGTGACATGGGAAAGCCTGGAGCAGTGGTAAGTGGAGTACAGTATGACAAACCAGTACTGTGTTGCTAATGAGATTGCCCCAAAACATTTTGGCTTTGAATTTTCCAACTGGCATTCATACAATCCACAAAGCCATCTTTGATTTTGAGGTTGGAGTCAGTGAGGTTCCTTCGACTTTCCTAATCGTAAATCCGACTTCAGGAGGCGTTCCAGTTGAAATTTCTGACTGAACACACCAACAGTATCCTGGATCATGTATCCTGGAACATTCCTGGCAGCTACAAAGCCCTCCCCACCCAGAGCCCTACTTTGGGCAATCAAACCAAAGACAACAAACAAACAAAAAAACATCCCTGCCAGCCTGGACCCTCACCAGTTTGTATTCTGAGCCAACAGATCCACTGCCTTCCATTCAGTCTTCACACACCTCGAGAAAAACACCTACAAAGGCTCTGGACATTGTTGGTTTGTCTTGGCTGACACGCTGCATTGTCACATGGAGGTTGGGGACAATACCTGTGAATTGGCAGGCCTGAGTGATGGTTCTCATTTTCAGAAAGGGGAACCAGACGGTGTGCTCCAGTTATTGAAAAGGATGCTTCAACCTAGTCAGGAGGAGCAAAGCGATTCCATGCTGGCCATGGAACGGTCGACTAGCCTTTACCCTTGCATGGGAGTTTGACCATCCAGTCTACATGTGTTTTGTAGACTTTGGGGAGGGTAACGACTGTGTCCACCAGGTAGTCATGTGCGGAGTGCTACGAGCCATCTGCTCCTTGTATAACCAAAGTGAGAGCTGTGTCTGTATTCTCAGGACAAATTCAAACCCCTTGTCTCTGATCCTATTTGTGATATTCATGGACAGGATCTCAAGCGCAGCCGGGGTGGGGAGAGTGTCCAGTTTGGGAACCTCAGAATTGTATCTCTGCTTTTTGCAGATAACATGGTTCTGTTGCCTTTATTAGACCGTGAACTTCATCACACACTTGGTTTTTCGGAGTGTGAAGTAGCCAGGGTGAGAATCAGCACCTCCAGTTCTATGGTTGTTGGTCAGAAAACGGTCACTCCTTCTAGGCTGGGAGTGAGATACTGTCCCAAGCAAAGGGGTTCAAATATCAGTCTTGTTCATGAGTGATAGTAAATGTAGTAAAATGGAGCGTGAGATAAACAGGCTGATTGGTGCAGCTTCAGCAGGGTGTGATGCGGGCATTGTACTGGACGGTGGTGAAGAAGAAGCTGGTAAATTGAAAGCTTTGAAAGTTCTAACCCTCACCTATGACCATGAACTTTGGGTAGTGGCCAAAAGAATGAGATCGTGGATACAAGTGGCCAAAATGAGTTTCCTCCCTAGGGTGGCTGGGCTCAGCCTTACAAATGGGGCAAGGAGCACGGACTTGCCGAGGGAGCTCCAAGTAGAGCCACTTTGGAGGTTTTGCCAACTTGGGAGGAGATCCTGGGGTAGACTGAGAACTTTCTGGAGGATTTATATATCTCATCTGGCTTGGGAACTGCTCGGGATGGTAAATGGACCTGTACTTGTATAGCGCCTTTCTAGTCTTACTACGTGCCACATTCGCCCTTTCACACACATTCACACACCAATGCACACCATCGGGAGCAATTCGGGGGTTCAGTATCTTGCTCAAGGACACTTTGACATGTGGCGGGAGGATCGAACCAACAACCTTCCGATTAGTGGACAACCCGCTCTGCCTCTGAGCCACAGCCGCCTTGTCCTAGGGAATCACCTAGGAGGAGCTAGAAGGCGTTGCTGGGAAGAGGGATGTCTCGAGTACCCTGCTGGACCTGCTGCCACCACGACCAACCCCCAGATAAGCAGATAATAATCAATGGAAAGATGAATATTCCTATGCCATTGACATGGCAGAAACCCTCAAGGCAGTTGACATTGAGGTCATCCCTGTCAAAATATACTTTAAAAAGTTACTTAAGAGGCAAACGTTTTGGATTTCAACCCTTAAAAACATTCTTAAGGCTTAATCAATCCACAGATTTTACTACTAACACTAGATGTGATGTAATAAATATATATATAGGTGTAGGGGAGGTCTTTTCTGAGACCAACAAGTTAACTTCTTCCTTTTATTAATAAAGAATTTGCACTCAATGTTATAGCATCATGACTCAATACAACTGGTGATATTTTCGTGCTTCAGGGGTCTGCAAGAGCCACAGGAAGACCAGGCGGCCCTGGTCCAAAGGGCTTTTCTGGACCTGAGGGGCTAAGAGGAGAGCCTGGACAGAAAGGGGAGCCAGCAGAGGCGGTGAGAATCCAAACTGTTCTGACTACGTTATCTCAGATTGTAGTTCTGTGCACAGAATCACTTTGTTATTAAAAACACCTATACTTTATGAATGACTGGTGATAATGGTCCACCTGTTTACAGGGTCCTGATGGCCTACCTGGAAATAAAGGACTTCCAGGATTAGCAGGACCAGAGGTAAGACCAGGACCCATTGCTGGAGGTGCACAGATTTGCAACATCCAGAAGATGCTGCACTGAGACGACATGGGCATTTAGGGACAAAAGGGATGTTTTGAATACATTGGATACAAATTAAAGGCTACATGACATGCCAGTGTCATCTAAAGATACAGTTGGTGTGTCCCAATACGGGGTGAATATTTCATTTACAACTAAACTGAGCTCTTAACGTTTTGTGGGGGGAAAAAAAAGGAAACAGCAGTTAGAGTGGATCTTCTCTTGCTGACAGTACTTTCCATGAATGAGTTGGTTAACCTTATTTTTTATTGAACTTTGCTTTACACAGGGACACAAATAGAGCATTTAATAACATAAAAAAATTATCACTAATTTCAGGCAGAAATTAAATGGCCTCACTGCTGCCCACTGATGCTTTCTGCCAGAAAGGCTTTCTAGCGTGGTTAATTTATAGGGTCTATTTTAACCAAATCATAATCTTTTCCTACACCCCATCCATGTAGTTTTGTTGTCTAAACCTAACCAAACTGCAACTGTAAACTTAAGATAATTTTTAAAAAAGTCTAAAATAAGTCTAAAAAATTGTCACACGGGAGTCAAACCTCAGTCTTCCAGGTTCAGGTCCTGTGATTAACACATTCATCCACGACTACTTCTATTTATACTGTGTGTAAAGCCTTGTCATGAGCTTTCTGTACATTACCTGATGAGCATGAGCGCCTCGACAATCCTAGTGCTTGAATGCTACACAGGACCTGTCTTGCCAAGAAAAGCAGCTGTATTCATAATTAGGTTAGGTTATTCATATGCGAATGGGCGTTACTCAGACATTGTCTATGAGAGGCTTGTTAAATAACATGTACAAGAATATTCTATAGCAGGACTCTGCAGTCTTCGGATCAGACATTAGGTTGGTCAGCAATGACAATGTTTTTAAATGTTATCTGAGAACCCAATTAAAGACTGAGAGCTGCTTTATTGAATCCACTAGCTTCACAGATGAACTGTCAATCAGAGAAACATTCATATTTGTTGATTATTTCAAAATTCTAATTACTAAAACACTATTTCAACATTTATATAGTTTAATGTGAATTCCCTATAAAGTAACCGAGAGGTCATGGAGCTTGGTCTAGTACAGTAGTTCCCACCTTTTTACGTAGGGGAGCCCTTTTCTATCATTGAGTAAATGTGACATGTGACTATGTGGTATACACTTAATCAGCCATAAGATTGTGAGCACTGACATGTGAAATGAATAACACTGATTATCTGGTTATCATGGCTCCTGTCAGTGGGTGGGATATATTAGGCAGCAAGTGAACATTTTGTCCTCAAAGTTGATGTGTTAGAAGCAGGAAAAATGGGCAGTGTGAGGATTTGAGCGACTGACCAAGGGCCACATTGTGATGGATAGACGACTGGGTCAGAGCATCTCCAAACCTGCAGCTCTTGTGGGGTGTTCCCGGTCTGCAGAGGTCAGTATCTATCAAAAGTGCTCCAAGGAAGGAAAAGAACCAGAGACAGGGTCATGGGGGGCCAAGGCTCATTGATGCACGTGGGGAGTGAAGGCCGGCCCGTGTGGTCCGATCCAACAGACCAGCTACTGTAGCTCAAACTGCTGAAACAGTTAATGCTGGTTCTGATAGAAAGGGGTCAGAACACACAGTGCATCATAGTTTGTTGGTATGGGGCTGTGTAGCTGCAGACCAGTCAGGGTGCCCATGCTGAATCCTGCCTATTGCAGAAAGTGCCTACAATGGGCACGTGAGCATCAGAACTGGCCCACAGAGCAATGGAAGAAGGTGGCAGGGTCGGATGAATCCTGTTGTCTTTGACATCTTGTGGATGGCCGGGTGCATATGTGTCATATACCTGGGGAACACATGGCACCAGGATGCACTAGGGGAAGAAGGCAAGCCAGCGGAGCCAGTGTGATGCTTTGGGTAATGTTCTGCTGGGAAACCTTGTGTCCTGCCATTCATGTGGATGATACTTTGCGTTGTAGCTACCTAAGCATTGTTGCAGACCATGTACACTCTTTCATTGAACGGTATTCCCTAGTGACAGTGGCCTCTTCCAGTAGGAAAATGTGCAGCAGCAGCAGCAGCAGCAGCAGCAGCAGCAGCAGCAGCAGTGGTGTATTGAAGTTTCCTTACACCCCTTAAAATCAACCCCCAGGTTGTGAACCACACAGTGTTTCAGACTGTGCTCCACAGGCATGAAGCCAACCCTCCTTCACTGAATATGTTTATCAGAGAGAGATGGAACTGAACACAGCAGGGTTTATGGGAAATGTAGTCATAAGCACCAACACTAACATTACCATAAACCTCGTAAAAACCCTTGTTGTGTTTCCACTTTCCAGGGTGTTATGGGCGACATGGGACTTCAGGGTCCTGTTGGCCTTCCAGGACATCAGGTCAGCCCCCCACACACACACACACACACACACACACACACACACACACACACACACATTATATGTCACACAAGTATGTATAGTAATCGGAATACTCTTACAGTAAGATTCACCACCTTCATCTGTATTGCCTTCAGGGACCAATGGGTAGACCTGGGCTGGAGGGAAGAAAAGGACAAAAAGGTCAAAAGGTCAGCTCAAACTTCTTTGTGTGCATGCTGTATGTATATTGACAGATTCTTTTCTCACATCACATTGCATCTCAAATTAGAAACATCTTCAGTAATTAAAAGATAAGTTACAGATAATTTAAGATTAAACAAAACTGCTAATATTATTCTTGTAAGCAAAGCCCATGTGCAAACCTAAAACAACAATAAATACTACTATACTATTGATCTTGTATCACAGCTTAAGATCTCTTATTCCTTTGTGCCATAGACTTTCCTTGTTGTCCAAAAACATTAGAAAAAAATACAGTAAGCCACACTGTTACTCTGGTAACATGTTAGGAAATGACTGGGCTGTTTTGAAATCATGTGTTTGTGATCTGTTTTGAGATTTATGTCTTTAATTAATTAGAATATATGGACTTGGAGCAGACGGGTAGGGTTGTCAGAAAGTATTATGAGACGGATTAAAACATTTTTTTCGTTGACAACTGCAAATATATAGAATAGTGTAAGCCTTATCCTTTAAGTATGAGGGCTTTTTTGAGAAACATCTTGAATTATGATGCTGTTACGTCTCTAAGTCACAAAAAATATTTTTTTAAGAGAAAAAATAAGCACAAACTTGGGTGTTATATTTTTACTTGTTTCAGATCAAGCTTGCCAAATTTCTATTCAAATAATTGTTCTCGAACTAATTATTGTGATATCCATGTAAAAGCAAAAAAACAACAAAAAACATTTCAAGCAAATTCTCTGTAAATATGAAACTGTAAATGGAAATATGTATTTCATTTATTAAAATTAATTATTAATTAAATTATATTCACTGTAAAAAAGGAGTTTCACACTTACTATTAGAGTAAATTACATAATGAGATGGATATTTTTTGTAATGCAGTTAATAAACAGGGTGTCCACGTGGTCTTAAAAACGAAACACTTAAAATCTGAATTTAAGGCCCTTTTTAAAATATCTCAAATGTCTTAAATATGATTTTGACAGGTCTTAAAAATGTATTGGAATAATGAAGTTAAAATTACTTCAATAAAGTTTAAATGCTGTAACAACTACAAAACATTCATACATTTATACAACATTGCATTCATAAACCCTGAATAAAACTGCTTAAATACGGCATTATTATTATGATTATTCGTATCATATTGATATAAGGAGCACGTAAACCTTAAGGTAAAGATGAGACTAAACCAGAATTCGGCTTAATGTGACATATTGCTACTTCTCATGAGTTGCACTTAAAATATGCCTTGAATCTGACATGAAACAAATCGGTGGATTTTATTTCAGGGAGATGGTGGAAAAAGTGGACGTCCAGGAAAGGATGGACGCACTGGGAGGAAGGTAAGATGACACATCTGACATCTAACGTGTATAAACTTGAATCACATTCTAAAATCTATTGTTATTTCTTCTTAAAGGGAAAAAAAGGGAAAGCTGGAAATAGAGGGATAAGAGGAAGGCTGGGAGAAAAGGTCAGTTGTAGCTTTTGATTGTGACAATCTGTATCAGCTGTTACCTGCACCAGTCATAACTTTGACTTCAAAGGTCCAGTGTGTACCATTAATGGGGGATCTATTGTCAGATGGAATATAATATTCATAGGTATGTTTTTACTTTAGTGTATAATTACCTGAAAATAATCCTTGAGTCCACCATGTTTCTACAGTAGCCCAGAATGGACAAACCAAACACTGGCTCTAGATAGGGCCTTTCACATTTTCACGGGTTTTGCGGCCACCATAGTTTCTCATACAAGCTTGGAAGTAATCTTCGCCGCTAGATGCCACAATATTCTACACACTGGACCTTTTTAATGATTTTGTTTTCAACTCTAAAAATGACTTTCAAATGGTCGGGGTATTGTGTTGAATCAAGCCTTTCTTTGGCCCTGCAGGGGAAGATGGGCGATTTGGGTACACTTGGTCCTCCAGGGCGACACGGTGCATATGTAAGTTTTTAACATCATCAGATTATTTTGAAGTGTGTTATGAATCATTATTTTATTTTATTTGATCATGAATGTTCCTCACAATCCCCTCTTCATGTATGTTTGGACAGTGTCAGTGTAATTGTCGCGCTTTATCTTTGTTTTCTTCTTCATTTTTATAAAAGCAAACTGTTGAGTAAAAATCGAATTATTAACATTCATCTTTTCTCTTACAATCTTTCCAAAAAGGGTGACACTGGTCCACGTGGAGGAAAAGGTGAAATAGGTAGACCAGGCTTTAAGGTAGGTATTTAGACTTCACTTTAGACTATTTGTTTAATTTGATAGTTTATTTGTATTTATGTTTGTCAACAGAGACCAAAAGTGCTGTACCCAGAGCCATAGAAATGTCTACTGCGGAATTCTAAAAAGGCTACATAAAAATACAAATAAAAGTAGTATTATTATGGTTATTACCTCTCCTAGGGGTCGGACTGTGCATTGCATTTTTGAGAAGAACATTTCTTTGTAATATGGCTCACTGCATTACAAAGTTAAAAGGCAGCTGGCTGTTTTGTGCAAGCATGGACATATATCACTGTTTCATCAGCATAAAGCTGGACATAAGGCTGAACACTAATATACATACTAAATAAAAGTAGATTGATTCTAGTCTTCCACCTGCATGGGCTGTTGTACGCAGTATGATTTTTTTAAAGAGAATATGCTCTGTATTTCCCTCTATGCAGGGAGAACCTGGGGCTATAGGACCAACTGGCCCCCCTGGTGGAGAAGGGTTGAAGGTGAGTGATATCATTGTAGTATTCCATGTATTTCATCTAAGGTTTATTAAACAAAAGACATTGCTATTTAATGCTCTTTCAAGTGTGCTGAGTTATGTGCAGTTGAGTTGCTCAAAAGTTTGGATAGAGCTAAAAAAATGTAGATGAATTTATAGCTTTCCCCTGAAATATTGACTCTTCTCGCGGTCCTCTGACATGTATTTTTCTCTCGCTATGATTGGTCTGTATGGGTTAACTTTGTTAAGACTAACCTGACCTGGTTTGATCTGTTTCTTTCACTTTTTCCCTAAAGATCTCTCATTTCATCGGTTAATTTAGCCATCAATTTTGTGCCACCTGATTGTACTGACCTGCTAGTTTTAGGCAAAGCAGCTCAGGGTTTACTAACTTTTGCCCCTACAAAGGTTTAGTCTTGTCACTACAAAATTGATTTGCTAAAAACCAAAGTATATGGAATTGATAAACATACACCTGTTATTTCATATAAAAATACTGGTTCTGATTAAATTAAAAAAAGAATGGTAAAACAATAGAAAACTCTTAATTTGCATACTTTGAAGCAGCACTGTGCTTATTGTATTTGGGCTTTCACAATATCAGATTTTCAGTGCATGATTATCATGATCAAGTATTTGTTTTGTTGTTTCTTTAAATAATGTGTTTTGTTATTTATGTGAAACAGTGTATGTCTTCAAGACAATTTACAGAAAATAGTTCTGATAATAATGTATCATCAAATCAAATATTGTTGTTTCAGGGAATGCTAGGCCCTGTTGGAGAGCCAGGAAGAGCTGGTCAAAAGGGAGAGCAGGTGAAGTAACCCTGTTACATCATACACATCACACCAGCCCATTAGATTTTACCATTCCCCTCACCCTTTCTCATGTCAGAATACATAAGCCAGTGTAAGGAATTATGTATTTACTACAAATCCTGTTTGCTGAGTATATACTGTATATATGAAACAGTGGCAGCTTTGTTGTTCGATCCCCAGATCCCCCAACTGCAAGTCGAAGTGTGAGTGTGTGTGAATGAATTAGTTTCTGTTTGTGATGAGCTGTTGGCACCTTTCTTGGCAGCCTCTTCCATCAGTGTATGAAAATGTGTGAATGTAAAATGTAGTGTAAAGTGCTTTGGGTGGTCAGAAGAAATAACCACCCACTTCGTTCAGTAATTATACAATTTTATAATTATTTAAAATATCATTTGAAGATGCAGATGCATTCTATTGTCCTACAACTGTGTTTCCCAAGGTGAGGTCACAGAGTCCCCCAAAAGATTGGATCAGATGTTCAGATCAATTTATTGCAACTTGTAATCATTCCATTCACTACAACATGCACATAATTATATTCATGACAGTACACACAACAAGTTACTGATGACCATGATTCAAAAGAATACCGGGCTGTTTTCAATGTGTTTTTCTTACCTCTCGGTTTCCAATCATCAACACAGCATGAATGAAACTTGTTTAGATAGGTCATTCATTAGAGTAAACATCATTCCCAGTTTTGTTACCATATGATTGCATGATCATTTAAACATGAACTAATTTTCAAATCAATACATTTATGCACTGTACTGCTATAGATTAGAAAACAACTGTTTCCATTTGTGGATGTTAGCCAGACTGACCAATTTAAATATCACAGTTATTGTCAATACTGGAATATCGCAACACCCCTAGTCTGGAGTAATGTGAAGAATACATTACACTGGTATAGTTTGATTTAATATTTCTGTGACCAAGGAATGGTGTCAGCATTGTAGAAACTTATCTGCTTCTGCACAGCCCAGCATTCAATTGACTGTCAATATTGAGTCAAAGTTATTGGAAGTTGAATGCACCATAAAAGCTTTCAATAAACCATTACACTAATACAGCAATAGTCAATAATGCTGTATGATTGTTTCCCAGGGGGATATTGGTCCATCTGGTAGACGAGGTGCTCCTGGCCTGCCTGGGCTCCCTGTAAGTCCTTCTCTACTAACTCACATTTTGACCAACAATAATGAGTTCTTTAATTATGGAAATAATTAACATAACTCAAAATCTTTTTTTTGGTTTTTAGGGTTTGTTTGGACATAAGGTGGGTAAAACCAAAACCAGATTGCTTGAAGTTGTTTCCTAAGAAATCTTGAAAAAATGCAGATTCCTAATTAGATACTATTTGTGATCACCAGGGTTTGAAAGGATTTACTGGACCACCAGGCAATGTTGGAGAAAAAGGCTTACCTGTGAGTATATGTGCAATGAACAAGAGAATAATGCAGTTTAGTTGTGTAACGTAATGTTTTTTAGTACAGTATGAAACAGATTTTACTGCCAATGTGTAACACCACACATAAGGGCCATTTATTTAGTATTCAGGGGTTACGTTTCTGTTTGTTAGGGTCCACCTGGCCCACCCGGACCCCGAGGAACCTCCCTGAACCTCACACTGACTCAGCTGAAGGTAAGTGTGACTGGTGATTGCATGGCTTAGAGTCATTGTGTGTTTGTGTGCATAATGGTGGCTGTCAGCAACAGACTCTGAAAGAACCCCAGCAATATTGGCACAGAATGTTCTGAGAAGAAATCATTAGAGCTTGTCCCCTTTTTGCTCTGTGCTCCAATCACAGTTGAGCAAGCCTCTGTCAGAACTTTGGCCAACCTCCTCCCTTCCTGTACTTAGATATATAGAAATATATAGTTACATCTACTAGCTACCTAATGTAAGTAAGCTAGTTAGCTATAGTTTTGCTAACATTAGCAAAATGTGGTTGTCATTTCAACACAAGGTGATAGCCTAGCATATAGGAAATGAGAACGTTGACGGAGGGTCTGATTGTGGCTTGTTTAACTGTTGGAGCAAAGAGCAACAAAGGGGCGGGGCTTAAGAAGGGTGAGTTAGCTGCATTTATCCGATTATTTAAATGCCACTAAATATAGCAACCTTCTGCGTCACCATGTTTAGATATGTTTATGTTGTGCATAATGTCAGGCTCTCATGGAACTTGTCCCTTTGTTTGCCAGCCCTCAGCAGATTTATTACGTACATTCTGCAGTAGACACAAAGTACACAGGCATTGCAATGTTGCATTATTTATAATACACACACCATGGCTGCCTTTTTTCTAATCCACTATGACTCACACTATGAGTTGCACCCATGGATTATTCTTGCACATGTCACTTCTATAGTCTCAGGTGTAATAGCCTTTTCAATGTCATCTCTCAAATCTCTTTAATTTCTCATTTATTTTTTATTTTTTTGACTCCATTGTTGTATCTGGTGTTAATATTTTCTTAGCTTTTATTAAAATGTCTATATTTTTGGAATGATTAGTAGGTCTTACTTCAGTAATTTAGTATTGCACTTCCACGAAGTTGGGGCACTAGTGAGACACTATACAACTTCTTTTTATAGGTAGGATTCCAAATGGCAAGTAAACTAATCTTCATCTGTAAAATCTGTTTTGTCATTTCATCCATGCTTATGGCATATCCCTCCTTATTTTTTCAATGAATATCTCAGGAGCTCACGTACATGTCCGACAAGCCCAACTACATCCTGGTCCAGACTCTGTTGGACTCCCTTCAGAGAGATCTTCACTGGTTCATAAACCCACCAGATGGCAGCAAACAACATCCGGCTACTACATGTCTTGAGCTGTGGCTCGCTCAGCCCAACTCCACTAACGGTGAGACTTGACATTCACTGATGCTCGGAATAATTACACGGAGGGAAAATATAAACTGAAATAACCATACGTGTCTGTAGGTTGGAATGGCTTTCATGTTTACCAGCAGGTAATGCAGATGTGCTGTGAATATGCAGAGGAGATGTTTGTACTGTGTTGTAATATTGAAAATTAATCTTATAACTATTTCAGGGATGTATTACATTGATCCTAACCAGGGGAGCCCAGCTGATGCTTTTCAAGTGTACTGTGACTTCACAGCAGAGCCAAAGACCTGCCTGTCTCCACTGCAGCCTCAGGTACTTACACACACACACACACACACACACTAAAACATAAGATAATTTTGATATTATGTAACTGAATACATACATACATAAGTCATCCCATGGGATTGACGTTGGGATCATGTCTAAAAATTGATTGCTTTCTGCTCATATTAATGTAATAACATGAATGACTAACCAGGTTCCAGTAAAAGCTTGGCTGAAGGATTCTGGCACCAATATGTCATTTCACTGGCTCAGTACAGTTGAAGACGGCTTCCAGGTGAGTGTCTGATCCAGGTATTGCTTTATTTTTCTGAGATGTATTTCACTCATTTTCTTTCTTTGTCTGAATCATACCTTGTGCAAACCCCTCACCTCCAGTTTGAGTATCCGGGAGCAACAGATGTGGTGCAGATGAGGTTTCTGCGACTGAACAGTAGATTCTCCACTCAGACCATCACTTACTCCTGTCAGCCAGGACATGGACAAAGCCACAGAGAGAGGGAAGTCAAGTTCCTGGCTGACACTCGTAGGCAGAGTTACTTGGCAGCACTGCAAGACTGTGTGGTAAGTGACATTGATGATGATGGAGGTTCATGAATCCAGTCCAACTCAACAGTGAGGACATTTTAACCCCAACCCATATGCACCTCCATTAAGCCTCATTTTAAAAATGTACAAAACTTAACTTGTGTTGAAATGTTAACACTATAACCTTTCTCTACTATAAACGTGTGTGTGTGTGTGTGTGTGTGTGTTTGTGTGTGTGTGTGTGTGTGCGTGTGCGCGTGCGTGTGTGTATCTCTTGAGTACTTTCATACACTGTTTCCTGTTTCACAGCTGGAGATGGGGGCCCAGGATTCAGTTTTTCAATTTGAAAGTGAAGATCTCCAAATGCTGCCTCTCAGGGACTTGGCAGTATTTGGAAACAACAAACTAACCCAGGAGTTTGGCTTCACCATAGGACCAGCCTGCTTCAGCTAGGGGACCCCACCTCTTTGCATCATTGCATCTGTGTGGTGGTCTGCAGTTATACAGATCTGAACAGGAAAACCATTTGTTTCTGGCACTTTTGTACTTTATAGAATTACATCATTGCTTTATAGTTCAGAGTTGTCTAATTCTTTTTAAAGTGTGCTGACCAGCCAATTTATTCTGGACATCTTGAGCAATTTTTTTAATTACAACGTTTTTTTTTTTTTTTTTTTTAACAAAGCTGTGAGGACAAAAGACACAAAGTGAACTGAAGATCCTCCAGGAGAGAGAGTTTCCTCTGTACAGACTGCTGGCTTGCCCACATTTCAGAGCAGGGATATTTTGAACCTGAAATTCTTGACAGTTACCATGTTTTGTACATTTGTTTGTGTGTTTTTGAAACATGCCTATTTATGTAAATGCTTGACATTCATTTAATTTCAAATCATTTTAATTTGAATTCGGGTACATTTTTACTTGATCATTGTGTTCAAATTACTATATAGGTGGTGCTGGAAGCTTTCAGTGACAACTCATGGTTCAGCAAAGCTAATATGATTGCTTCCTCTATTGTGGGCTCCAATTCTTTCTATGTTGTCCGAGATCAGCAATGTTGACATGGTCTGCAAATGGTCAGAGTCAATTGTCAGTAAAGTAATCCTCATACATTTTTGCAACTTGCCGCCCCTACAGCTTTGAAGTCCTATTCGCAAACATCAAGCATGTCCAACAACACAAGACATAGGAACCCAGCTAATATTACTCACTAGTCCAACAGAAGGCCAGCTTACGGTCTGTCTGCAGCTCTCACCATCAACTAAAAGCTCAATGTGATTTTATGGTGTACAAGAGCTTTGTCCAAATTGTCACCTATTTGAACCTAAATGTTAAATGTAACTATTGTAAATACATCATGTAGGTGTTGTAGATATTTTTGAACCTAGTTTTTTGGTCATCGCCTGTATTAGTGCCTCAGTCATCTCCATCTTTTGTCATGAGCTGTTTTCTGAGTTTGTGATTTTTTTTAATTTATGTTGTGTTTTTTAGGTTTTTGGTTTGATTTGCTGCACAAAAATTAAAGTTACATTAATTGATTATTTTTTTGGCCACTTGGGGGCTGCAGAACAAGCTGAACACACAATAACATATATAACCTTATAAAGAAGTCAAGGGGAAGTAAACATTTGCTTATTGCAAAAATAGTGTTTATTTGGAGTGGTACTTGGTTCACCTGATGAATGCTGTCCAATATTTACTCTATATTTAGCTCTGTTATGTTCTCCACCAACTCTTGAGAAAAATGTTGCTCTTTAGCGGCTAAAAGCTCCACTATGTTCACCAGCTAGTCTCTAACCTTGTATGTCTGCTGTTTGCTGCTGAGCAGGTAGTGTACAGTGGGTTTATTCTAGCTTTTTTTTCCTCTTCGGTTTTTTGCTAAAAAACATCTGTCTGAAAATGCAGTTCATGGGAGCAGAGTTGCAGGCAAGAAAACAATGTGCTAAAAGGGAACTGCAGTCTGGTGATGACTCTCTGTGGGTTTGTCAGTGTTGGACACATGTATTCATTCATCACTTGGTTATATAAAAAAAAAAACCTATTAGTGCAGCTTTAACCAATAAATGAAGGGATTTTGCTGTTTTAGTTGTGTATATACTCATGCATGGCTCAGTAGGTATCCTGCAGGGTTAGAGTGTATTCCCTCGAAGCTACCTGTGCTAAAACTGTATAATGTATACAGTTACATTTAATACTGTATGGTGCTTCATCATAAATTCATTGAAATGGATTTTTTTTGTATGTTGTTTCACTCAGGCAATTTTGTGTTGATTCTGGCGGCCCCTGTGGACAAAAGCGGCAGTGTTTCATTGATTTCAATGAGTGATAGCCATTAACAACTACATAGAAATAGCAATTTTTTTTTTTTTTTTTTTTTTTTTATAACTTCCTTAATTTTAAAAGTTAAGAATTCTCTTGAACTAATACAAAAATAATCTAAAGATGGTAACCATTGCTGATGGGCTTTAGACCTGATCAAAAATATCTATTAATTATCTAAAAATCCTCACTGGCCCACCCAACACTGGTAGTCTTTCTGGTGGAGGGAGGGAGTGCCACAGTCAGCATCCTAACTTAACTTCAGTAACTGTACCTGTATGCTCAGGCTGAACGGGAACAAATTTATGCCAAAATACCAAACTATTAGACATTGGTCCCACAGTGAATCAACAGGTGTGCATCTTGTGACATGAGAGCCTATTGTGTGCCTGTTAATGTTTATATTGTTACCTTTCAGTACAATACATCTTCTATGCCTCTATTTGTTTAGTGTGTGTGCGTGGGTGTGTGTGCGTGTGTGTGTGTGTGTGTGTGTGTGGAGTCCACTGGGACGATGAGGAAACTTCCACGCAACCTAATGTTGGGTCGGAATCATACAGTTACTGCTTTAAAGGCATCACCGCTTGTATTAATAGTCATGTTACTGAATAAAAATCTGTGTTAATATTTAAGACTTATTATTATTATTATTATTATTATTATTATTAACAATATAAAACCCTGCACTGGGTTGGCCTACAAAAATACGACCATTATGAACTTTTTGAGGTCAGATTGAGGAAGTGCAATGCTACATTAATCTCGGGGCAGATGCAGTTTTAATATATTATTAAAATAATAATATATATAATCATATATTTCTTAGTACACGTGTACAAATCACCGTTAATGTATATTAGAAATAACTTAAGTTACATATCTTACATCAGTATTACAAATGGCACTACCCCCTTTCATAATATGTGGACCTAAAGAATCAGAATCGGGTTTATTGCCAAGTAGGTTTTCACATACAAGGAATTTGCCTTGTTACATTGGTGCATAACAATTAAACATAGAAAAATATAAAGATAAAAATAGAGACAATATGGCAGAATACTTTAATAAATGAGTGAAGAGCTGTACAGGAATGTGCAAAAACGTGTCTGGGGAATCTGCAAGTTAACAGTGTGACACATAATGAAATTTACAATGTGCACAGATAAAATCCCAGAAAAGTGAATAAAAATAACTCATAGATTCAGGGTTGGGAGGGTGGGTTTGGGAGTCAGTTTGTTCTGTAATAATTTAACATAGTATAGTAAAAAAGAATGTAATTATGTAGAGAATGAAGTGCACAAGTGTTGACATTTACGATGTTTCGGGGAAGTCATTAGAGGCAGCATGACTGCACCTGAATCACATTGTTGTTGACCGTGTCATTCTGAGCTACAAGTGGAGGACAGTTAGAGTTTGATCGTCTTTGTGGTAGTTATTCAGTGAGAACTACCGACTGCGTGGCTTTCGGTATGTGAAGTGTTTGAAACATGAAGAGACCCCAGAGGCTGTTTCAGTAACGCTGAGCTAACCGCGGTGGAAACGTTAACGCCTGCTAGTGATTAGACTGGTTGCACAGCTGACGCCAACGCTGGATACTTCACAAGGTAATGTCCATTTATTTTTTACTTTTACTAGCACCCATTGAATCCTGTGCAAAACAAGTTGTTTTTGTTTTCCCAAGAAATGTTTTAGCTGCTCTAATAAAGCGCTCTACTTTACACATGGTATCGGCTGTGGTAGGCCTCAAGCCATGCCTCGGACCATAGTTGTACTGTGAATCCGCCAAAACGTTACCTCGAGCCAGGGGAGCGTAGGAGAAGCAGCCGTTGCAGCGGGGTTGACCTCTTGTGTGAGAGGTAAGAGAACCATGAGTATGAATTTACTGTAGGCTGCAATATTTGGTGTGTATTTCCTGCTGTTAAAGTTATATCTACTGGAGACACACAGCTTGTGTGTGTGTGTGTGTGTGTGTGTGTGTGTGTGTGTGTGTGTCAAAATTCAGTTAACATTTAATGCTAGGTTAACACTATTTACTTTAATGACATTAGCCTGTTGATTAACACTGGCGGTCGTACGCACGGTGGCGTTTGTAGATGTGATGCCAGCTATGTAACTAAGCTAGCTGTGCTACAACATGTATGCTTACATTTCCCCTGAAATAAAACAGCACGACTGTTACTTATGTTACTGAACACTACTGTGCTGTGGACTTGGGGCAAGTTGTGCGAACGTGAAAACCCCAAAATAAGCTCTTCTCTGCAAAGGCAATAATAGTGTCGGTTTGTATTCATCACAACCACTCCTATATGTACCAGCCAGCCTCACATGCTAGCTGCATCTTATCTGGGTTAATATCACCACACCTGCCTCACTCCTCATACTCTTCACTGTGTCTCTTCCTCCAGGGCTGGGTTACAGACATGCACCCACCATCTCGACAGGACTATGTCTCTATAAGCTTTGCTGGACAAGGAAGTGAAGGTTACAATAACAGTAAGCAGTGGAGGAGACAGTCCTGCTGGAGGGTGAGTGACTCCTATCTGTGAGCTGCTCATAAAGGCATTTCCCTTTCTCCTCCGGTCTTCACAGTGCTCTGGTTTCCCACCACTCCTACTGTCCTACTTTTCCCAGCCATACTTGCCAACATATCTGTGGAAAAAAAGATATTGTGGATGTGAAGAATGCATGGTCCTCTCCTTTTCTGTGCTGTAGTGTAGAGTTGGATGTTGTCCCTGTGATGAAATATTCAGAGTTTACTATCAATTGTAAGGGCTCTCCAAGTATCATTGTTGAGGCTGTCATTGCAAGTTTGTTAATTTGTCATTCCATCTAATAAACAAATGGGTGAAATGAGATTGCATATTTGAGACAGTCCTCCTGTGATCCTCCCAGTGGTAGTGGGAAGCTGACCTGAGTGATGAGACCTGTCAGTTGCTTGTGTTTCAGAAAAAACCTTCACAATTGTAACCATAGAAATTGTCCAGGAACTGGGTAGAAGTTGGCATTGTATTATATTCTCCATCTTCCTGTCTTCTGTGTGCCTGCAGAAATGGAACCAGCTGTCCAGGCTGCAGCGGAGCCTCATCATCTTCGTCCTCATCCTCCTCCTTATTTGTGGAATTGCTTCCTATCCTGCTGTTACTGAACACCTCAATGGTAAGGCTCCTATACATTAAACATATCCCATGAGTCTGAGCTGCTGGCGTGCTGTCAGAGCTGGAGTTGTGGAATGCCAACAGAAGGTGTTTTGTCTTTAAGAGTGCAGTTTAAATAAGTAAGAGTATTAATAATTCATCAGCCTGCCACCCTTGAGCCATCCAGTACTTTAATACAGCGTTTGTGTCTGTGTGTCTTGAGGCCTTAAAGAGAGAGAGCAAGACACAAACCATAACAGCGTTTTGAGGCCTGTCATTCCACATGTGCTGCCTGAGCCTGCTAAACCGGCCCAACCACTACTGCCAAAACCAACCTCCCAGGTTTGTATATCTCTGTCTGTTCTTTGAAGGGTAGCATAGGGTTACTAAAGAGCACTTTGATTTTAGTAAAGTGTGGAAATTGTTTCCTTTCCTAAGTGTTTTTACATTTGGTGTCTATGTTAATGAGGATAGACTGATTGTGAAATCCTCATCCTATCAGGTGACTGTGTCTCTAAAAAGTACAAAATATTAGGTGATTATTGAAGTACAACTATATTGTAGACATTAAAGTTTGTGTTAAATGTGTTCAGAGTTGGAGTTGGACCAGAGGATAAGAAAGTTAACATTACTTGTATAAAGTTGCCTTCTTAAATGCAGATTTGTCTTCATATTCATTTATAATGGTCTTAAAGACTTAATTTAACTTGTTGCAACCTGAAAACCTGTTATATTTCTCATATCATATGCAGCTAATTCATCATGTACTTTCTCAGTAAAAATAACATTACCTCACTCACTTCTAGTGGTATCTCCCCACACAGATAAGTTTGGTTTTATGTGATCTTTTTAAAATATTTGTCTGTTGGATTACTGCCTCGCCCCAATACATTGAAGGTGATTGGACTTGTGTTTGTGGTTGTCAGAGCATTGTTTTCCACACAACCTGCTGTGAGTAATTAAAAAAAGAATAAAAAATGTGTGTTTAGTATGGAGTATTTTAAATCCCCAGCTGTAATGGATGTTTGTAAAATATGCCCTTCTCTACTCAAAAATTAGTTTTTCTTATTACCTCCCTTGCTGATGTTTAGGGACTGGTTACTCTTTTTAATTGAAATAATTATATTTCTAAACTTTAGATTCAATGAGAGAGAAGGAGTATATTTAGAATTTTTTGGGGGCACCTGGTTAGCTCAGTCGGTAGAGCTGGCGACCCATATATGGAGTTGCTGCAGCGGCCCGGGTGCGAATCCTACCTGCAGCCCTTTGCTGCGTATCATCCCCTCTCTCTCCACCCACCTTTCCTGTCGTTCTTCAGCTGTCTCTATCAAATGAAGTCATGAAAAGGCCAAAAAAAATAACTTTTTAAAAAATTAAGTTATTTTGAATATCTGGTCACACCAAAGTCGCTGTAGCATTTTTTAAAGGGATGCTTGTAAATCAATGACTTTGTGTAAATCATTATTTAAATTGTAAGAGCTCAGTTTAATGAAGTTAGGTTAATAGTGACTTGACTGGTCACACACACAGTGCGTGTTGGTGTTGCCATGCTTACTCCCAGTTTAATATCCCTGATACAGTGATTTAAAATGTTGACAGTAACTCCTAATATACAGACACCTGTCAACCAATCAGAACCAAGTACTTCTTAATAGTTATTGTATCAGTTTTCCCCTAGATGGCTGCATAAAAGTCATTTGTAGGGTCATTTATTTATTTTTTTAAAGTTTTTTTTGGGGGGGCTTTTATTGCCTTTTATTACAGTGAGCTCAGCCTCGGTACATGGGTCGCCAGCTCTACCCACTGAGCTATCCAGGTGCCCCCATTTGTAGGGTCATCTTGCAAATATAACTAACACAGTTAGTCTGTCATTCATTCACAAACTGAAGCAGATGGGAGGTTTCACACTGTGTGTAATATATATTGGCTTAAATGATATGTTATATGTACATTACATTTACATGAAGATGCATGTTTTACATGTTTTAGTTTTTGTCACTACTTGCTACAGAGGAAATTATTCAATAAGAGAGGGCCGCCAGTCCTTCAGAATCGTCTTCAGAAGAAAGGGAATGCTTCAGATACAGCAGCTGAGGACAAGGCAGCTGATGGCAAGAAAAAAGGAGAGGAGGAGGGAGTCATCAGGTGAGAGTTGGAGTGTTGTCACAAGTTAGTTTTGATTATGTATCTATTTATATTATTTATTTCTTAATCCTCTGGTGATTTTCAGCTGGCGTGGGGCGGTGATCGACACTGAGCGGGCCACAGAAGGCATCAAGGATGAGGAAAACAATGACCAAAAAGCCAAATCATCTAAAGAGTCAGGTATCTGCTGTCTTACTTACCACTTTAACAGAATATAAACAGTTCCATTACAGTTTTTAGAGTCTTGACTGTGTTCGAGTGTGACCCTGAAAGCAAGTATCCAAATATATAATATATATAATATAATTGCAGCTGAAATAAGTGGAATATTTCAGTCACTTGTTTCTGAATCACTCTGTAGAGTTGGATGGGGTAATAAACGGACATCTTGTATTTATTGTGTGTTCCAGAAACCAGCAGGCTGGAGGCAGTGCAGGCAGCTTTCAGACATGCATGGAAGGGTTATAAAAACTTTGCTTGGGGCCACGATGAGCTCAGGCCCCTTTCCAAGTCCTACAGCGAGTGGTTTGGCCTGGGTTTGACGCTTATCGATGCCCTGGACACTATGTGGATCCTGGGACTTAAAGAAGGTAGACTGACGTTGGTGCTTTCCAACTTTGAATTTCTGAATCTTTACTGGGTCATTTCTGCAAACTTTGTTCATACAGTCTAAAAAGTCTGGAAAATGCTTCATTTTATTTTGTTTTCAAGCTTAGGAATATGCTTGAATTCAACTATACTACTAAAAAATGCTCGAAGTCCAACATTACCTGGTGTTTAATCTACACAATCATTCAAGTAAACCAAAATTCTTTGAATATTTGGAAAAAAATATACCCTGTCATATTTGAAGTTAGTAATAAATAATCACGATCAAAACAAAAAACAGCTCCTAAAATAAAGTGATAAAATACATTGATTGCTGATTGAAAAATCAATGTAGTAACAATTTACATACTTATTACTGATAAAAGCTTTGAGGGTCTGGAAATGTTTGGATACTTATACCTTGAAAGAGCTTGAATTTTACTCTGAATCCTGTGTAACAACAAAATGTGGTATTAGAAAAACCAAACAATAATACACAAAAAATCTGTCTTCTAACATATAGTCACCTCCAGTGTGCTTGAAAAATTGGGAGCTTCTAGAGAATGGCAGCTGTAGTCAGAAGCAGTGTCACAGTACAAAAGATTGTCTCAAAATGTATCAAATCTTCTATAAAAAACCTTCTCAAACCACTCCTGCAACATAAAGCACTTCTCCACAGCTGATCAGTATGTTCAGAATGCTCCAAACACTCATTGTTTCTCCACAACAGAGGTAAATGGATGACTCTGTCACAATCTCCACTCTGGATAGCTCCAAAGTTCATTCAGAAGTAGCATATTTAGTCATTTATCAGTATATTGAGTGGCGTCAATTAAAATGAAAGGGATGAAACATTTCATCATAATAAGACGAGTTTCAGTTTAATCTCAATTTAAACCAGTTAAATTTATATAATTTCAGATTATATTGGTTGGTTTATTATTTTGGGGAAAATTTATTTTATAAATATATAATATTAAATACATTTAAAATGTATTGTGAAAATATTGTTGCAGAATTTGAAGAGGCAAAGGCGTGGGTCGCCACAGAGCTCACATTCAATAAGAATGTAGATGTCAACCTGTTTGAAAGCACCATCCGCATCCTGGGAGGCCTGCTGAGTACCCACCATCTGACTGGAGACACCATGTTCTTAGACAAAGCTGTGAGTCAACATGCATGCACTTCAAACTTCACTCCAAAAATCTAATGATGCAAGCACGTTGTAGAATGCAGAGAACAGCACCTTGTCCACATTCTTCAACTGCCAGTAATTATGCAGACAGAGCTGTATCTTGTTTTTAGCGTCCCTAACACCTCAGACTCCTTACCACCAAAGCTGTGAGACACAAGGGTTGCTACTTTAACTTTAAACTACACATACATAAACATGGAAGTGTCTGAAATGCTTGCAGCTGTTTCTGATCCTCCTAGTTGCTCAAATAAATGTACACATTTTCTCATGGAGCACTCATTGAAATAGTTGTGAATAAGTGTGTCATTGCCAAATCTCTAAGTATTTACTCCACACTTGTGGTGTTTATTCTCACAAACCCAGTTGCTTCCTGTCCCAGCTTTTAAAACCTATTGTACAAACCATAGCCTGAAAACGGCATATTGGGGAGCATCCAGTGTAAAATGTAGTGTAGAGGGTTCAACAGTCTGGTAATGTTATTTGTTTACTGAATGTAAGGCTGGAACTGGATTTTATATTTTCAGTATTCATTAATTTTTTTTTGTGATTTAATAACTGGGTGTAAGTTATTGTACATTAATCTTATTTTAACTGACTGGTCTTAATGGTTTGAGCAGTAGAAAAGCTACATAAAGAACCTTTTGCAACCTACAGTCACTTGAGTAAAATGTCCCTCTAATCATATCTGCTGATTTTTCTGGCTGAAACAAGCTGTAAACCGCAAATCAAAGCTTTCAGCCCTCAGTGACACACAAGAGCAAACAATATGAGCCCTACCACAAACAACAACACGACTCAAAGTGGCTGAGAACACAATGCAAAACTTCACACCATCCATGATAAGAATCAAATGCAAGTCAGTAAAGTTTTGCTTGTGGTTTTCATGCCTTTCAGCTGCAAACGCATGCATGTAATCTGCAGTCTTCCTCTGCAGAAAGACATCGGCTCCAGGCTGATGTCAGCCTTCAACACCCCGTCCAAGATCCCCTACTCCGATGTGAACATTGGGAAGGGCACAGCCCACCCTCCTCGTTGGACCTCAGACAGCACTGTGGCGGAGGTTACAAGCATCCAGCTGGAATTCAGAGAGCTTGCCCGCCTCACACAGGAACCACATTACCAGGTAATTGACCAAAAGATACAACCATGCTGATCCAGGGTCTACGCAGAGTTAAGAGTGGCACATAGCAGGGCTCCAGAGTGCGACCAAAATTTTTAAGTGCGACTTATAATTTTTCTTGGTCGCACTGGTGCACCTGACGCTGCCCGGGTGAAAACATAAATTTATTTCGCAAGCGCTTCATCTCTGTGTTCTCCTGTGACCAAACTCACACACTCATGGTAGGATCATATCTTGTTCTAAACCAATAAGAGACAGAGCTCGGGCGGGTCTTTGCCTCTGATTGGCTGTGGTCCTGTTCACTGCGCTAAGTTGCATGTGTTTAAAAATTGCACGCGACCTGAGCGCCAGAATAGCTGACTAACTGAAACGGAAAAATAAAATAAACGCGACAAAACGAGGGAAAATGAAGAGAGGCATATTGAAAGATTTTTTTTAATAAGAAAACCAAGCCTACAACCAGCCCTACTACTATAATCCCGTCCATCCCGTCAAGACACGGAGCCCTCGGTCCCTGGTGAGATACCAAGCCCCGGTCCTTCAGTCTCGGAACCAGAGGAGGAGACAACCAAGTCTGGGATAGAGCCCGGCTCCGAGACCCAAATTAAAAAGGTCAAAATATATTCCTTCAGACAGGACTGGCTGAAACAATTTCCCTGGCTGAGGTACAACAAAGGACGTAACGCAATGCACTGCGTGTACTGTCAGCAGTGCGGTCAGAATATGGCCGGAAATAGTGCATTTGTGAGCGGGTCAACAACGTTTCGTATCGAAACTTTAAAAAAACATAACATGTCTAAAAAACACACGATATGCCGTGACAAGTGTGTGTAGAGAAAGTGGCCCCTCTGCCAGCTGCATTTCAGCGGCAGGTAGTAGTAATCATTATTGTTATCATTAATAATTATTTTACTTGAAATGTTTGAGTTTGAAATGTTCAATTTCAGCTCAGTGAAGCACTTTAAACACTTTATTTTTCTTTTTATATATAATTGTGCTTCAAGTAAAGACAAGCATTTCTCTACACCTTATTCTTGTTTAAAAATCATTCACATTATATGAAAGTTAGAGAGAGAGCAATAAAAAGGTGACCTTATGGCGTTAAAGGCAACGCAATGAAAAATTTGGGTGCACCTACATTTTGTGCTGGTGCACCAAAAAAAAAAAAGTTATGCGCACCAGTGCAACCAATGCAAAAAGTTAGTCTGGAGCCCTGCATAGGTTCAGCATTCCATTTGTAATGTGGCTAAAACAACTTGATGTCATTATGTTGTTCCAACATTACATTATGACCCTTCTAAACAGCACTGACAGATACCACTTCCCATCTGCAGGTGCCGTTTTAAAACTGGTTTGTAGTGTCCTGAAGATTTTACTCAATTATTTCAGTCCTACAATAAGTTGAAAGCACAGTTGAGGCTGACAAAGAACCATAGAACCAAGTGTGGTTGAGCCTAACAAGATGAGATAACCTTTTTATAGGATTTGTTTTGCTCACTTTTGTGGTGAGGATCTAGGAGTAGTTAAATTATCTGGCCATTGTTTTATCCATCCAGTAATATTGTGTGACTTTTTGGTGTGTCATTAGCATTACAGCCTCACTGGGCTGCTAGCGTGGCTATAGATGGTCAACATTGAGAACTACGACAGAGAACTCTTTATGTAGACTGGGTACGTTAGCTTTTACTAGTGTGATCTTGTATGCATTGATACCTATTGGGTTTGATATCAGCTGCTGCTTTCGTTGCCTTGCAGCAGCCATTTCATCTCTCCCATCGGACTGTGGTTAGCTGTCAACTACAGGCTAATAATTTCGAGAGATGGGCCACATTCGAAACCCCAGAAGTCTTGTTAACATGGTACGTGCCTTAGCCTGAGCTGCAAGGATTACCCTTAAAAGCAAGTTTTGAGAAGACCTAGGAAAAAAAAACACACTGATTTTGTTAGCATGAGAATGTACTTGAAATGCTAAATGCCCAGTCAACTATACTCTTGGTTACTGGAACAGTCAAAACCCAGTCAGCTTCCATCTTTAATCTGCAGCAGCGCCTAAAACCCAGTCATGTTTAGTCATATGTTGGGTTACAGAAACAAAACGCATGAACCTTGTAGCCCCATTTTGGTGTTGACTGACTGAATGTCCTGCAGCTTTTCTGAAAACCTGTTAGGTTTTTTGCAGTAAATTGTAATATTTTTGCACATCAGGAGATTGTTTCGAGAATTCACTGATAATCATATGATTCTGTAAGTGTAATATGTAATTGTTGTTAAAAGAAACAGTAAAACTTTATAAGTACTTATTGGGGTTGGTAAATGTCATAGAAGTAGTTGGTGAGCAGTCCTGTAGTTTCAGACTATGTGCTATCAACATTTTCAGATCTGTGTTGGAAAGGGCCGTGATTGATACAATGTATTACTAGTTGCTTCTTTTCACCTTATAGTTAGGAGTGTCACCACAAGGGTGTAATATGATCAGGGTTTCACACTCGAACCTCCCCTGAAACACAGCCACATCAATGCAGAAACATTGACTAATTGGTAGATGTTTTTGAATGGGAAGCCAGTGAGGGATGATCTCCTTGTTAATTCCCTAAGACTAACTTTTTTCCCCTTTAACCACCTGATGCTGCTACCATGATTTGTTTTTGCCCACTGCCAGCCATTCTTCTGACTTGGTCCGTCCCTTTTTCCAGAAATACTGCAAGGATTAATACAAATTACAAGCTTATGTAAATAATGCTGGGATTGGTTACATTTGTCCTGATTCTTGCAACTGAGTGGAGTATATAAAAAAGGGAAGGTGAATCATTTTCTCAGACAATTTTATTTCTCTATATAGAGTAAGCAGCTGTGTCAAATTCTGTGGCACACGCCAAGGTTTGCTAGTTTTAGTGGAGAGGAGAATCTAGACGGGCTATTCTAGTAGGGAAGTACTACTGTTGTTGTGGAGGATACACAGTACATGGTTTTTTTTTTTTTTAGATAAACATGCACTTAGATCGCAACATATTTCTGCTCTCTGTCACCTATCAATTAATTCAAGCATATTTTCTGTTGGTGTTGAGGGTGGGGTGCTAATTGTCGAAGTGTATTGTTTTGTGGTGTTTTGTGACCAAATTGGTTTTGATTGAAATTGGTGCTGAAGCACCATTAGCTAAATGTCAGGTACTCATTCTTATAATATTCACACCTATTTAAATACTTGAGAGCCTGACATTTTTTTTATTTGTAGCTGCTATGAGTAATTGATTAAGTTGATATGTGAAACTCCAAATGTGCGCTGGAATATTTGAAACTATATTACAGAAAGAGAATTTGTTAAAACTGTTGGCATGGTTTGAAATGAGTTTCCCTGTAATCTAGGATTAGTTACTTCAGTCAGCATATGAATGTAAAACCTAAATCCCCACATCTTAACTCATCTGACGTCTGACCTTGGTGTTCCAGGATGCGGTGGCTGAGGTTATGAAACAGGTCCATAAGCTGGATGGCAAGCTGGATGGTCTTGTGCCCATGTTTATCAACACAAACAATGGACAGTTCACCCATCAAGGCATCTACACACTGGGAGCCAGAGCAGACAGTTACTACGAATACCTGCTGAAGCAATGGATCCAGGGAGGCAAGAAGGAGAACCAGTAAGACGCACTAAAGATACCCAGTATTCACTTTCACAAGTCTAAGTCAAAGTTACATTACTGTCATATTGACGTGAAACAAATTGTAAAAACTCCATTAGCCGGCTTGGGTCGAGCTGAGACAGGCCATTTGCCACGATACAACTTTTCCATGCAAAACTCTAAAAGTGAAGCTCAGTTCAGACCAAAGATTCACAACGAGATAAAACCGTTTTAAATACTATTTCTGAACAAACAGCCCCGGCTTATGAACCTTCTAGAACAATAGTTAAAATCTGCACAGGCCTAAAAAGAATGATGGTGTATAAACAGTTTAGGGACACACTACAGAAAATCCTCATTAAAAAAAAAAAAGCTGGAACCTTTTTGTTTGGAAAATAACTAAGATAATGCATCCTTTTTAGAAAATCATTCATTAATGTCAGTTGACTAAAGTGTTATAGCTCTAGGCGTATGCCTACCACATAGTATTGATTTTAAAATGAAGCAATATTAACTTTAAATTAAAACACTATAAACTCAGTCTGAGTCATATGTAGAGATGGAAGTGTTGATGCTATTCTGGCAGCACTGGCAGCATTTGGTGACTTTGGCTGTGTCAGTGGGACTGATGAAAGATTAATAAAGTGAAACAATCCCCTCCAGACACAGGCTTAGATTAAGCAGCTTTGAATGTCTGCGTTATTTGTTGGAAGTGTGTGTTTGTGTCACTGGGGTTTGGCCTACATTAGTTGACATGTATGCTGGGTCCAAAGGACGATGGAAAAAGCTACATTTCACTCTACTGGCTGTTGTAACTGTGTTTAAGTTACTTCCCCATTCACTGTTAAACATAGAACGTTGTTCCTGAAGTGTCATTCTCTGTGTGTGATTTTAGGCTCTTGGAGGACTATCTGCAGGCAATAGAGGGTGTAAAGAAGAACCTGTTGCAGAAGTCTTCACCAAATGGTCTCACCTTTGTTGGAGAGCTCTCACATGGACAGTTCAGCCCTAAAATGGTCAGTGATCATCAAACACCACCCCCACGGTTCTCCTGCTGGTCTGTCTTAATCTTAGTTCATCTACCTTATCAAATGCAGATTCATTTTAATACATTTTTTTTTATTTCTAAGGTTCTCTCCTGTTGACCAAATTGGTCCAAGTCTGTTCCAGTCTTGGTCAGTTGGTCGGCAGATAAATTCATGTGTGTGATGTTAAAAGTGTTAAAAACACAACTGGCCTTAAAAGCGAGTAAAAGGAAAACTAGTGTGATGTTCAGTATATTGTCTGGTCTTTTCTTTTGTGCCTAAACGGATAGCAAAAACGAATAATTTTCTAAATAAGTCATAACTAAATATGGACAAACCTTCTGAGCTGACTGTATGTAATTTGGTTTAAGTGAAGATTGCTAATATTAATTATTAATTTTGTTGTTTATCTAAGAGATGAACATAACTGATCAACTAGGAAGCTGCAGAGATTAGGGATGGGCATCGATTTTCCAATATTCGAATAGTCATTAAATCATAAAAAATCGAATAGTTCATCGTATCTGGAAAAAAAATATGTTGTATTACCGGCGCCCTCGCACGGGGGCAGCGTAGCACTTGATGATACACAGTGTGGCGGGCTAGATGCCAAGCTGTAGAAGGAAACAAACAGAAGAAGATATGATGGAGAGATTACTGAAGCAACCGTCAAAAAGTTCCATGTGGAGCTATTTCAAAAAAAGAAGTGACACAGAGGTACAATGTAAACTCTGCGAGGAAAAGCTTTTGTATAGCTTTTATAGCTTTTCGTACTGGTGGAAAACTAACGAAAACAAATATGCCCAACTGGCAAAATTAGCGAGTGCATCCTTGTGTGTGCCCGCCACATCTGTGCCGTCGGAGAGGGCGTTTTCCAAGGCGGGACTTATTGTAAATAGACTTCGCTCCCGTTTAAAAAAAAATAGGCTGCAGTCGTAAACTATTGCTCGGATTATGAAGACGGGCGGGCATTTTAAAAATGTTCACGTCAGCGATGCTGTCTCTCAGGTATGTTCAGTTGTTCAGTAAAATATTATTATTGCTTGAAGTCACCGCACTATGTGTTCAGTGTAACAGTTCTATAATGTTGTGCTGTGAATTGCATCACTGTCAAAATAAAAAGACAGAGTTCTGAAAAATCGCGGCGGATCTCTTTCTGAGCAAAGGGGGGGATATTATTAGATTAATATTCGAATATTAATCGATTAGTACCCCACGTTTATCGAATAGTACTTTTGCCTGAAATGCACATCCCTAGCAGAGATGAAACTTCATTCAAATTAATTTATGAATTTATAAACTAATAAATCTTGCTACTGTTCTCTCTTCTTGTGGATTTTTAGGACCATCTAGTGTGTTTCCTGCCAGGCACTCTGGCCCTTGGTGCTCACAACGGCCTGCCTGCTGATCACATGGATCTGGCCAAACAGCTGATGGAGACCTGCTACCAAATGTACGTCCAGATGGAGACTGGCCTCAGTCCAGAGATCGTCCACTTCAACATGCATCAGGGCAGCACCCGAGACATCGACGTAAAGGTAGGTACAGATAGTGCTGTAAAAGTGTTCACTCCTAATTCTGCTACTGTCCTTTCAGACCTAAACTGTCATTCTTGATTAGGGCATTGCCTAAAGTGAGTGAAATGTGACCCAAACTTCCCAACATGAAAATGTTCTGCAGTAGAAATGCAGCAAATGCGACCTGCAAAGGTTTAGGAAGAGATTCTAAGTTAAGCAGATGTAAATACTATCAGATGTGGCTCATAATTTAGTATTTGTCTTCTTTGTACTCTCTGTGATAGCTTGCAGACAGACACAACCTCCTGAGACCAGAGACAGTGGAGAGTCTCTTCTACCTGTACAGGTTCACCAAGGACCGCAAGTACCAAGACTGGGGCTATGAGATTTTCCAAAACTTTAACAAGTACACCAAGGTCAGTAAAATGAAGTATACACTGCTCTGTCTGTATCAAATGATGTAAGGAACAGTGTGTTAGGTGGTCTTCTGTAGGACAAAATCATGTCAAATGCAGGTCTGTTGTCTAATGCACAGCTGGTACCTCACAGGATAAAGCTTGGTAACATCTGTCATCATCATCAGTTTATACCACATGGAAAGTACACTACAGGGCCTAAAGTCAGTGGGCAAACATATGTATTACTGAGTTCAGGTGTTTGAGCTACACCCATTGCTAACAGGTGCATAACTCACCTCTCAGTGCTATTAAGTGGTTGGAGCATCAGCAGCTCAGTGGTAGTAGTGTTGGTAGACCACGCAAACTCAGAGTGAGGCTGAAGCATGTAGCACATAAAAATGGGTTCAATCACTACAGAGTTAACTGCCTCTGGAAGCAACATCAGCAAACAAACTGTGCACCAAGAGCTTCATGAAATACGTTTCCATGGTCAAGCAGCTGCATGCAAGCCTCACATCAGCAGCTGGAGTGGTATAAAGAATGTGCTTTTTACAGTTTGGGCTTGGCCCCTTAGGTCCAGTGAAGAGTCTTTTTAAGGCTACAGGACACGAAGACATTGTAGCCAATTGGGTGCTTCCAACTCTGTGGGGACAGGTTCGGGAAGGCCCTTTGCTATTCCAGTTTGGCTCTGACCCTGTGCACAAGGCAAGGTCTATGACGACATGGTTTGGTGTGGAGGAACTGGCTTGGGCTGCCACAGCCTGTGTGACCTGTTTATAGTAATGGACATTTTGTTGTAATCCTCTCGGACTGGAATTTTCTACTGTGACCTGCATTTATAATCTTGCCATCTTATCGCGGATGGCATTTTTACAAGCTTCTTGAATGGGGGTTGGGGGTTGGGGATTGGGGGTAAAAACACTTCAGTAGGACATCACTCCCCCCGACATCCCTACTCACTTGGGTGGCAATATTTTCTTGAGCCCCTACTATTGACCTGCCTGCCCAGCCTAAACCAAACAGGTCCTGACAAAGTATTTGGTTGCAGATTGCAGAACATTCTGTTGCATAGAGTGTAGGGTGCCTGGTTAGCTCAGTGGGTAGAGCTGGCGACCCATGTACTGAGGCTGCAGCGGCCCACCGTTCGAATTCGACCTGCGGCCATTTGCTGCGTGTCATCCCCTCTCTCTCTGCCCCCCTTTCCTGTCTGTCTTCAGCTGTCTCTATCAAATGAAGGCAATAATGGCTAAAAAAAAAAAACTGTTCAGGCTGGGAAAAGAGAGCTTGCCAGTCTATTGCAAAACAGTTCCTTCACTCATGCGTAAAAAAAAATTGGGTAAAACAATTATTGCATCCTCTGGTTTGGTATCTGGTTCAGGTTTCAGATTTGGCAGAACCAGTTGGGTTCATCCAGGTTGGGTCATGGTTGTGAATCAGGCTGCGTTTCAGTTTCAGTGCAGAGCTCTCTAACCGTATCGTATTTTTACTGCACTGATTGCCTCAGTGTCTTTCTGCTTGAGTCTTTATTTTTCCTGTTTTTTTAATAGCTCACAGAAAGTCTAGTCCAGTGTGTTATTATATAAGCAGCCAGTCATACATTTGTTAAATATACCTTCTGAAAAACTTCTTTACTTTAATCATCTTGTCAAGGGAAAAGCTTTAAAACTACCAAACCCCAATGTATTTCCTTACAAATATCCTTCTCTCTTGAAGAATGTGTAAAGGCATTTTATTCTAACTACTACTGCTGCGGCTGTTCATTCACATCTTCTGTGTTAGTAGTTAAACATTTTGCAACCCTGATGTAGGGTAAGCAAAAAACTCCTTTTGTGTTCTAAAATATTGCGAGTGGATTGTGTTAATGCTGACAATGTGTGTGTTTGGCCTCAGGTTTCCTCCGGTGGCTACACCTCCATCAATAATGTACGTGACCCAGACTACCCAAGCCCCCGAGACAAGATGGAGAGCTTCTTCCTGGGAGAGACCCTGAAATATCTGTACCTGCTCTTCTCAGACGACCCCAACCTCATCAGCCTAGACCAGTATGTCTTCAACACTGAAGCTCATCCTCTGCCTATATGGCCTTCCACTGCATGACACACACAAGAATGCAAATGGCAGGTAAAACTGCATGAACACACAGCAAACATCTCAGGGTTGGTCTAATACCAAGATAATTCCTTTGTCTGCGGTCTCAGTAACTGAATGTTAATCTGAACACAGAGGGAAAAATCCTCCTTTTTTACTGATTGAATCAACTGTTTGCTGTGTGCTAATAGCCATGGGAAAATGACAGCCTTGCTGAGTTTGTGGATACGCCTTGTTTATTTATTGGACTGTTTTCATGTTTTCACTGGTACAGTGTATGCTGGAGAAGCAGAGGAAGGTTTCTGTCATCCGCATTAAAGAAAAACCTGATTGTAACTTGAATCAAAGATGTCTTAATCACATTATGTGAATGAGGAGGAGTTGGGCTGATACAGGTGTTTGAAAGCTGCTTGTAGCTTATTTTGGTTACAGTTGTGCTCACTGTATTTCTTATCATCTCCCTTTCAAGTCTCATCCCTGCATTGTATTCCTATTACAGTAAAACAGCATTTAACCCATTATGAAACAAAGCCTGTGTCTGCCCTGGTGGCCTGACCCTGGGAGTGACAGCTGGCTGGTAGCCTTTTTGTAGCAAAATGTTGACAGCAGCCACCAGCTGCCTGAACTGAACCCAACTCCTGCCTACTGCGCCTACAACCTGAGCACTCTGCACAGGGGTTTGACTCTTGCAGGGATACAAGGAAAGCTTATTCCTAACCACACTGTGTGTAATATAGTGGAAGTGCTCTAGCTAGATCTATTCTCAGATGGCGCCTCTCCTCTGCTTGAAACCAGGAAATAAAGCTTTTGCAATTGTTTACCTTCCTGATGGGGCAAGAGCCCTCAGTCTCTATATTTGCTGTCCCACGCAGCATTCATGTCATACTGGAAATGTGAAACAAGGCAGTAGGAGCACTACTGCTGCTGTCCACAGGGGCCGCTAACATCAACACAAAAAGACTTTGAGTTGGCTTTCAGTAAAAGTAATAGGCATCATCTGTATAGCTAGACCGATGATGATAGTGAAAACTCATGGCTCCATATGAAGGAGGGTACCGTACTGAATGGATTTTTTGCAAACTGGTAACCAAAAGTTGTCCCAGTGGCCTATGATTGTCTTCGTAAAATATGCCCGATACCACAAATTTTACTCTTTAAGACATACCTTTAAGTAGGGATAGACCGATTCATCAAATTTGATATTAAGCACTTTTTCAAGTATCGGTATCTTTTAGTTATGTGATTGCAGGTAAATTATTAAAGTTCTACTTTGGCTGAAGAACTTGTACTTTACTTGAGTATTTCCATTTTATGCCAAAGTCGTACTTGCATACTTCCATGCCACCGCTGGTTATTCTAAATTATGCCATGGTAATTTGAATTTTTACTGCAAATGTAGTATTAGTTCCAATTAGTTCAAAGTATCCTTGATTATTAATAATCTGTATTGGCTCTGAAAAAAACCTATTAATCAATCCCTACTTTTAAGTGATTTATGTGGTTGGTGGAACTGGCTCTCCTTTCAACCCGTTTATCCCCATATGACATGAATGCAGCATTAGTGTGTACTTGGGACTCAGATGACCTTGGTCTGCTTCCAGTTGTTGCCCAGCAGCAGATTTACTAATGAACTGTGAAGCTTTTGTTAAATGAGAACAGTAATGGGTTCTTTGCGTCTTTGATGTTTTTGTTTTTGAGCAGCTGATTGTTTCAGAATGTTCTATTTCTTTCACATTTTCCTTGGTAAGGTGTAGAGTACATTAGTTTTCAAGTGAGAAATTAATAGTGAGATTTGAAATATACATTTAGCATAATATATTGATTTGTAGTGTATATTTAAAGGTCTAATTGCAGCCATCTTAATGCAGTGAGCTCTCCTTGTGCATTTGTTTAGTTTCTGTAGTAGCAGGAGCTTCAGAGCAGCCATTCCTGTAAATATTACTAGTTTACATCATAGCTCCACTACCTTTTTGTTTTTAAGAACTTTATCAATTTGTATTGAGACCATTGAAACTTGTATGGTTTTTTTTCTTCCTTGGTGTTTGTCTCACGTGTGCCTTCAACATTCAAAACTGTTAACTGTCTGTTACTTTCCATTCAAGCTAACTCTCCATGTATATGTTGCTGATTTGCTACAGCATACGGTCATTGTGATCATTTCAGTGTTTACACTGTTTTTACAGTAGGTAGTACAATGAAATAAGGGTTAATATTTCATGCAGTCCCTCAAAGCAACTTTACATAGTGTGTGTGCGTGCGTCTGTCTCTGTCCTGCCTTTAAGGGCTCTGTGGGATCCCTCCCTGGATGCATTTCAGCAGAATTCCTAAGCCAAAGATGTACTGAACATGTAATCAACCCTGGTGTTCCAATTTGTTTGGGGTTTTAACGATGAAAAGCCATTTCTCCAAAGCCACTCTTTCAGGAAAAACAAAAAAAAGGATATTGAGTGCTTTTGATGAGTTTCACCAGTGTGGGTTTTAAAGACTGATTTCCTTCTATTTTAGCTGCAACCACTGAGCCGACTGCACACACACAGCTGTGACAATAAGGAACCAGAGTTTTTTCATTCTGTTGGCATACATTTATTTGCAGTGACACCACCAGAATTTTAAGTGTACTTGGTGTACTATAAACCTTATTTAGACTACAGTGCAAGACAAATACAGCTGTAATTATCATGTATTTGAGGAGTTCAGAGCCTGGAGCTCTATCTTGGAGCAGCTGTTGTAATTGGGGATGGGAGGCCCCATTACTTATTATTATGGGATACTGAGTTAGTTTTTCCAGGGATTTAAAAGTTTGCAACATACTGCCATTTTATATAATTTTTTTGGGCAAAATGATCTTTGTTAATAGTCATACTACAAATGGTTGAAACATTTTGGAATTTCAGAGTACATCTATTACAGAAACTGTTGCAATTACATATGAACTCTGGTTGTAGACCCACATTGTGTTAGATTTGCTGTAATTAGAAGATAGCTGTAAAAGTTTGTAGGTTTCTATCTGAACGATCATCTTGAATTCATTTCTACTCAAAACCAGCCATGTTAGTGGGTGGTGGGCATTTATTCAATTTGTTTGCTTTTTAATTTATGTCACACACTTTCTCAAACATACAAAATGTATTGTTGATGTCACCTGGTGTATGATAAACGCTGGATCGGCTTTAATTTTGTAAATGTAGACATTAAAGAGATTTTATTGAACAAACACATTTTTGTTGATCATTGAGTCATAAAACAAAGCAAGTCTAGATGGTGGTGGTACGTAAATGGTTTTGCTTTTGATGTCCTAGGAATACAGTGAGGTCAGTGAAGCCCTTGCAAGGAGCGCCATGGCATAGCTGGCAGCGTGAGGCAGACGGGTAGTGTAGACAGTAGAATTCAAATACATACAAGTGGTCTGTGAGGATTGGAAAACAGTGGTACAGTAACCATTGTGAGTAAATGTAATTTTCTATTTTATATTATACTGTTGAAATAATACTCTATAGTATTTGGACTCCATGGCTCTTCTAACCAAAGGCCAAGTGTGGGAGGTTTTGGTTTCTGGGGCCCTCACCACATTCTGTGTGTTTCTACATGATTTGACATACTATTGTTACTTTTATTTAAATATTCCTTTGACCCAAATCCACACTGTACCAATACTAAAAAGCTCTACACCGTAGAGCTGGAATTGCAATTCACTTGCCAAAAATGACTTGAGCCAAGATTATAGACCTTTATCATTTCATGTCATTTTGACATGAAATAGCAGGGTACACACAGGTGTTACCAATGATGCTAATTAAGACTCCATTCCATTTAGTGTAGCAGAGCCTTTACAGTGAGCCAACATGCACAATAGCAGCACCCTCACTCTGTTTGACCTGAGTGGAACTGAACCTTAATCTGTATCACTGGTAACACCTGTATGTACCCTACTATCAAAATGGCGGCTGTGGACAGATATTCCACGATTGTAATGGGAACATCTTTCTGATCTGCTGGTTGGACAATGCAAGGCTTTTTAAATACTTTCAAAAAATCCTTATAGCGCACTTTTTCCATTTTTAGCCAAACTGTTTGAGGTGAAAAGTGATAAACACATTCTATACCCACTGACTACAGCTGGTGTGCAGAGTGGAATACAATATCGACTCCAATATTTCCTGTACAACTTTGAAGTAGGGCTGTCACAATATACCGATATTGATGATAATCATGGTATAAAATTAAATAATGACTTTGTAAATAATTTAAATTCTGTTCTCACATTGTGGTTCAAACTCCAACATAGTAGGTGGCAGTAATGTATCTTAACACAGTGAGAGTACACCGATCAGCCATAACATTGTTAGCACCTGGTGGTCAGAATGTTCTGCAGCCCCATACCAACAAACTGCTCTGCACTGTGTTCTGACCCCTTTCTGTCCGAACCAGCATTAACTGTTTCAGCAGTTTGAGCTACAGTAGCTCGTCTGTTGGATCGGACCACACGGGCCGACCTTCACTGTCTAATATATCCCACCCACTGACAGGAGCCATGATAACCAGATAATCAGTGCTCACAATCTTATGGCTGATCGGTGTAATTCATTTGCCAAAATAATGTCGTTACTGTGAATTATTGTTGTGTAGAGTAAATCGATCGTGACAGCCCTTGTTTGAAGTGAACCTGAATTGTGCTACAGTGGTGTCAAACTATTTGATTTATGATCTGACAGGAAATAACTAGATTTATGCATTTCCAGTCCTGAAACAAAGTGCTTTAAGATGACTGCCTTAATCTGGTCCTCTCCATCTTCACCCACTGTGCGATGAGGTCTGCTTCTGTCTTCCTGGCCCTGACTACTGACACTGGATCAGCATCATTAGATCCTCTGCAGAAAATGACAAATGTCAGCTTACATGTTTGCTTTGGGAGTTCAGGAAAAAAAAAGAAATGAATGGGTCTCCAGGGGCCAACATTTCACTGTACCTCAGGTCCAGGTGATGGGCTCCTCCAGAAATGTTGATCGCTATCAGTGATGAGCTCAAGGACTTGCGCACCTAAATGGCAGAGATTGAGTGAGACTGAAAGCAGCGACTTCAGTTTACTGAAGTGTACTCACTTGGTTTAATCTTACCCCTCCATTTGCCCATGGGTCCAGATCTCCATTGGAGAAAATGATGTTGCTGGCTGTGGAGAGGGCTGATCACAAGGGGAGTGCTTATTAGATACAAAAACACGTGGAGATATATGGGAATATTCAGGAAAGAACCAATAACAAAGCATTCATTGCAGAGGGCCTACAGTGCCTAACACTGGAAATATCTGTAAGCTAAAAAAAAAATACATTCTAATATTACTGTACAGTTACCAAACTTCCCCACAGTAAGTGTCTGTCCAAATCCCTACACCTATTGTCTGGAGCAATTGTGTACCTGGTCTGGTATAGGCCAACCAGGCACTTAAGTTTGCAGTTTGTGTGCTAACTCAGGAAACTCAACGAGAGCTCACCGTCTCCCCAGAACTGGATTTTGAGCCAGTCTGGTCGTGGAACCACAGCCCAGCGCTTGGAGCAGTAAAGCTCGCGGTCTTTCTCAGTGAAGGGCATGGGAGGAAACATGTCTGTCACATTGTTGCTCTCATAGCACAGATCGATCTCTGTGCACGCCTGCAAACACAACAGAGGCAGGGTAAGTGTTAGTATGACAGTTTGTATGTCCAAGTTGACAGAAAATGCCTGTATTGTAACTTTTTTTTTCTTAAACAAGTAGTGTACTATGTATACAATGTACATATCCATTAAATGTCTGCCTGTATGAATGCACATTGGTATTGGTATAGAGGTGGGAAAACATTTTTACATTACTATCAGCACCAAATCCATGCATAAAACTCAAACTGTACACACAGACAAACATGCATACACATTATTTTGGTCCAATTTATTAAACTTCAGTTTGCATATCGATACTCGTGCCTGTAGCACCACTCATTAGACCTCTCAGTAAGAAGACAGCAAATAAACAGTAAACTGATTATATTGCACAGGGCTGTGGCTAATTGTAGCACCCATACCACTAACTCATCACATGTACCTGTAAACCATCATCGCACTGATATCTCAGTCATCATCAAACATCAGATGGAATGATAAAGAATGTTGTGTATGTTGCACAATTATAAATACTAATGCATAAACAATGCTTTATTAGGATTCATCTCTCAACTTACTTCATGTCTATCTTATCATTTCATCTGTAGCTATCTCTTACATTGGGTGTATGATGGTCTGAAGTATGTGTGAGGTTTTAATGTGTGTTTACACATCTGGCCCCTGAAGTCACTGTCGTTACTAATCCGCAGTCCTAAAATCTAAGACTTGACAACCTGAAATGATTATACACTGACAATTTGATCAGGTTACATACAAATACTAGTCTCTGACGTGTAGTGGTGGTTAGTGGGGTACCTGGTAGTCCCAGGCCAGGCTGTCAAAGCCCAGTCCGCAGCCGGTGGGATCAGCACACTCCAAATACAGATTGTACAGGTCAAAACAAGTCAGCAGCCCAGTAGAGTTGTACACGATCCCTGCAGGATAGCATTGTGTTAACATCAGCGGAGGTTACTGAAGTTTCTTGATATGGAAGTTTCTTACGTGTCTATCAGCTGTAACAGAGATCAGGTAGACAGTGTGTTGTATTTCAGTTCCATTCACTCCCATTATGAGTTTATTTCTTTTTAGGGCCATAAATATTCTGGATTCTTTCAAATGAACTTTTTACACTTCAGTCACCAGGAGAACACAGGCAGAGCACCCTGGGTTCACACAGACACCACCAAACAATTGCTCGCCATTGTATACTCAAAGAACAAGGACTTAGAAGTAAATCTAAAGCTGGCCACTGCCCTCTAGTGTCTGCTGACATGAAATACATCTGAGCACTATGTCCACACAACTTTATTCACTAATCTCTCAAATAATATGAAATCCAGTCTGAAACAAAGTGGCAAGGGTTTTAGATTCCACTTACCAGGCTGCTTTAAATAAGAGTTCATATCCAGTACCTGCTGTGTTCCTGAGGTTAGTGAGCAGGTCCGATCCACTCAGCATGGTTTCACAGGCCACCTGAAAACAAAGTTATACATCTCTCGTTCAAACAAATCTGGACTCACATCTGCTCATTTATAACCATGGCTGCATTTCTATTTACAGATATTTATGTTTTATTTCTATGAATATAATCTATGTTTTTCTTTGGCATACCATGCAGACTTGTCGCTCATATTTTATTTCCATGACTTCTTTTAAAACCACTGCTCATCCTTTATCACACTTAACTGAGGAGCTATAGACTAACAAAGTCAATGCAGAAGAGCATCTGCACACTCAAATCTGTGCAAAGAATATTATTTATTATGCAAGCCTCAATGCAGAACACCTGTGTCAGTTAGTTGTACTTGTGTGGGTAGACAACAAGGGGATTGCAGTCCTACCTACAATGGACTACAAATTACAGACAGGTAAGGTAACATGTACTGCATGTGGGAACTCCCTCTACTGATTTTTCTTCTAGTCTTCGGATGTGTAAAGTTATTGGTTCTCTAAGTGTTACGCCATCATGCCAAAATGAACATGAATAATTTCCTTGTTTAAGGGGAGTCAGGAGAGTCCGTTTAGGGTTAGGTCCTCTTTTATGAATTAAGAGAAGTGGGTTCTTAAAATGTTAGGTGAGGACTGGATCTGGGGTCCAGATATGCCAATATTTCAGGATAGTGTTCTTAATGTGAGTCTGTTGAAATGCCCATGTGATTACTCCTCACAGAGGGGGTGGTTTTTTTTACACAGTAGTTGGACATTTTTTATGACAAAAGCCAGAAACAGAGAATGGAGAAATAGAGACTCTCTTTATGAAGAAAAGACTTCATAAAGTGTTTTTCCAAAGTTGAAGTTTGCTACTACTGGTAGAGCAGCTAATAACTGCACAGGTTCTACCCGGTTTCCTAGAAATAGTTTTCAAATGTATTATTACACAGAAAGGGAAAAGTAGAACTGAAATGTGCACACATTGCAGGGTGACACCAGCGCAGTAATGGTGACTTGTTCACTTCCCCGGATTCATGCATAGACACATGCCGGTTTGTAGTCCATTATACCTGGCTATTTTACCACTACTGACTTCCTGTTTAAAAGAAACAGGGTTCCCACATCTTCTTAAACATCAAATTCAAGGATCCAGTGCAACATAGTTTGAGACACAGATCAAGGCTAATACCTGTTACAACACTGAGAATGAAAACACTGGGAGAGACACATGCAGACAGCGGTACGCAGTCTATTTACTGAAGTTAAGTAAAAGAAATATCAATAACTATCAATGCTACTGTCAACACTTTCAATGATCCATGTCTCTTTTCAAACGCTTTCTAAGTTGAACTTTTTTCCTTCATATTCAAAAACCTTCGAAAGACCTGTGGGAACCATGAAAAGAAGGTGTAAATCCTCCCTCCAGCTGTGTGTACCTTTACGGGGTTGGCAGGCATGTTGCCCATGAAGTGAGTGCTGTAGGGGTAATCCAGCATGGCCATCAGAGTGAAGGCGTTCCTCAGCAGGCCGTTCAGCTGGTGGATATCCTGAGCAGATGATGGTGGCTTACACAGGGAGAACTCTGACTGGATGCAGCTATAATCTGGTAAGAGCAATAGCAGTGAGTTCATCTTCATGTAATATTTATTAGTTTTCTTCCAGATTTCAACACGAGGCCAGGAGAATTTCTTGACATTAAACAAAAAAAATCCAAGTCGGGCGCCCGGTTAGCTCAGTGAGTAGAGACCCATATACCGAGGCTGAGTCCTTGCTACAGCGGCCCAGGGTTCGAGTCCGACCTGCGGCCCTTTGCAGCGTGTCATCCCCTCTCTCTACTCCCCTTTCCTGTTTACCTTCGGCTGTCTCTATCAATTAAAGGCAATAAAAGCCCCCCAAAAAATATACTTTAAAAATGAAATAATATATAATAAAAAAAAATCCAAGTGTTATTACTGCCTTAGCAACATAATAGTGTCCAATATTTCTTTTGGCCATCTTGTCTTTAGAGGATTTACCTTCCCGTTCAGCTAATTCTTTCAGCTGGTGGAAAGCTCCTCTTACTGCATCTCTGCATTCAGGGGCAACATTCTCAAAATCCTGAGAAAGACAGACAAAGATCATAAGCCAACCTGCACAAATGTGTAAAATGACTAATTATTTGCTATAGTGTACCGGTTAAACTAAACTTCTAACACTTTCAGGACGAAAAAGTACCTGGAATATAACAGCTGCCACATTTTCAGATATTCTGGAATCTTTTTTTTAGGTTTATGTAGAGTCTGAATAACAAGGTGGGTGACAAAAAGTAGATCTGTGCACTTACAGCTGTAACATCTCTGAAAAACTGCCTGGAGTCTCCCAGACCAGCAGTGGACAGTATGGGGGCGCTGGCAGCCAGAGCTCCAGCCACAATGTTTGGATACTTGAGTCTCATATAGACCGACAGCATTCCACCATAACTGCAGGGAGATGAGATAGCACAACAGGACATAATATAAAGACATAATACTAATAATGTGCATCTTCTATTTTAGAACAAATCTGCTGAGGAATAACTGGATTAGTTATCAACAATAATACAGAGAAACTTGTCATGGAGTCATTCAGTACATCATAAAAGTGAAAGCATACTGTAAGTACAAAACGACTCAGATAACCTTCTGAAACCTGACAATGGAGCTCCTGTTAGATGTGGCATCTGATTTCCAACTAGAATTCACCCTGGAGGGGTTTTCAGGATTATACTACATTCAGTGTCAGAATAGCTGTCAGACGCCACAAAATCAAACCAGTTCCAAACAACCGACGACACTGTGCCTTTTTTGGGGACGAGCTCATCCTGGCTTGCTGCCGTGTTGTGTGTATCTGTGGAGAGGCGGGGGGAGGGGTCAGCACACTCTGACCTACGGGAGCCCAAAGGGAGCACCAGTGTTGTGGAAGTTCAAGAGAAAACCGATTTTAACTAAAAATAAATCGTGTTTAACTACGAATTCGAATTAATCGATAAAATCGATTTATCGCCCGGCCCTACTCCATACTGTGGTCTGTTGGACTTGAACCGGCGACCCTCCGCCAAGTCCCTACACACTGAGCTACTGAAGCCCACAAGTTAGGCCTAGGCAATAAAATAATAGCAATATATATCTGCAATAGAACCTTAAGAAAATTGTTCAATAGAATATTGATAGTCTAACTTAAATACAAACCGCCTTGAAAGCACATATCGAATATGGCCGAGCTCATAAACACCCTATCATGTCCGTTGATAACGGAGCATGCTATGAGTGAGTCACCCTTTGGGGTACACAACGTCGTCAGTCCCCTGGGCCACTACAGCAAGACCTCGGTACATGGGCCGTACATTAGCTCTCCGGGGCGCCCTGTGCATCTTCTTTAAAATTCATTTGAGCACCATGGACAAAAAATATCAAGAAACTGAAGAAAGCAGAAGGTTCAATGGACTCAAAGAATCGGGGGGGAGTGTAAACTTGCATATTACAATGATTTCTTTTGGTGTATGTGGAAAATTCAATACCAAATTAGTGAGAGATCTAAACTCTGCCACTAACAATCCACTCTTGTTATGTTATCACTTATGAAGAGATCACTTTTTCAAGGGCACTCAAAAAGTAAGTTATATTTTCAAGCTTCAGGTAAACAACCACTGTCAGAGCGATTACTTATGTAAGAAATAAAAACTTCTGAGGAGCCTAACAACACTAACAGCAGTGTGGATCCTACCTGCCACCAAACACGATGACGGGACAGTCAGTGGCTGCCAGCTGCTGTTTCAGCTCAGTGATCATGACAGCGTAGTCAGCGAGGGCCTGCTCCACCGTCAGCAGGCCGATCTGAGGGATGTTGAAGGAGTCTTTGCCAAACGGCAGAGATTTGCCATAGTACCTCTGGAAGAGGGAGAGGAGGACAAGAAGACATTCAAAACAAAATGCAGGCAATGTCAGAGCTGCAGTAAACCCCCGCTCCACATCGGGACATCATGCTCTTGTATGTGGATGTGATCCAACCTGTCATCTTTATTATGTGACTCGCTGTTAGGGCACTAAAACTACTGTCTGGCTTCTGGCTAGATAAGCTGATGGAGAATGTTTCATTATTAAATTTAAAATCATTTCAACTCTGGAACTACATTTAAAAAGGTCCAGTGTGTAACATTCAGGAGGATCTATTGTCAGAAATGGAATATAATATTTATAGCTATGTTTTCATTAGTATAATCAGCTGAATATAAGAATCATTGTGTTTTCATTATCTTCGAATGAGCTCTTTCTATCTATAGACGCCACGGGTCGCTTTCATTATATTAAAATTGGATATCTGCAAAGTAACTGGTAACTAAAGATATCAAATAAATGTAGTGGAGCAAAAAGTACGATACTTGCCTCCAAAATGTAATTGAGTGGAGTACAAGTAACTTTAAAATTGTACTTTCATACAATACTTGAGTGGATGTTCTTATTCTAAATTCTGACACTGAGATTGTAACTTATTATTATTATTGCAGAAATATAGTCGGTACCAGGGTGCGAGAGTCCTTGCTACAGCAGCCTTGGGTTTGAATCTGACCTGTAGTAATCAAACTCAATTCAATCTCAGATGTTAAATGTTGAATGTTGAAGAACTTGGTATAAATAAATGCAGTCTTAATTTGCCAAAATGTATTTAATTGACCCACTATCTGGTCAAAGAATGAGTAAACAAGATCTGAGCAGACATTTGATGTCAGCTTTCAGTTCTTTGAGTCCTCGGTGCTACAGACACATTTTGGTTGGTAGGTGACTAGAATAGCAGTGAGATGCAATACCCAGCCATATGTTTCACATATTTCAATATCAGAAGGTCCCATCTTGCTGCTCTTTTTCCCTCAAATATTGACATTAAATACATTTAATGATAAATCTGCCTAAGACTTTTTACTTTTCTTAGTGCTGCATTTCATTCACTCCCAGCCTCCAATCAAACGCTTTCTCTTGAGGTTAACATAAAATAGGTCTTAAATTGCTTTCATAATGAGGGAAAATATGTACTGGTTCCATATTTCATTTTGTAGTTGTTACAGCATAATCAACACTTTTTTTTTTCTCCAAAAAACACATTTAAAAGAGATACAATAACATTAACTCCATTAATCCAATCAAATTTAATACAGTTTTTAACGCCTGAAATCCTGATTATTGGATTTAGACTTTTTAAAGACTTGGGGAGACTTTATTTCACAGTATCATTGGAATGCTTGATATACACCTGCGTAAAAATGATAAATATATTTAAATAAATTCTAAGGCCTCTATTTTAACCTTAAAAAAGCAAGAGTTTCCATAGTCATACCAACTGATTACATTTGCAGTGGTGGTTGGTTGGGAGAGTGAAAATCAGCTGATTGTATGAGTCAAACTTTAACCAACCATTTCCCATTTTCCTCTGTCACATGATCTGCAAACTGTACCCAGTCATAACTGTTTGAGCGACAAACATGTAGTCATAAATGGCAATACTGTATGCATTAGCCTGCACTGTGAGATGATTTGCACCAGTGTTCTCTTACATGTTCAGCAAATATGACCAAGGCTCTCTGCTGAGCAGCTAACTCTGTGATGAAACCAGAGTTGAGCGCAAACTCCAGAATGTTTCCCTCATTGCCGGTGTAGAAGAAAATAGGACCATAACCTTTCTTCCAGTACTCATCTTAAAGGAGAGGAAAAACCGGAACACAATAAGTTATTTGCTCATGTATTTGTTCCATTTAAAGTGGGAAATAGGTCTCACCTGTGATCAGGTATCGCTGACTGAATGTCCCGTTCCCCATGCTGTTAAAGTTGAAGTGGTCCATAGTCTGAGTGAAATACTTCTCTTTGAACTGGGGTTCTGTCTTGGATCCATGATGTTTTCCTGACTATATAAATGACAGTAATTATTCTGTTCTTCATAAAGCTCTTCAAAAGCTCAAACAATACACACCAGAAGTTAAAAGGGGAGAATAAAACAGGGATATCATCTCAAGTATCATAGAGCAGTGCTGCTTTAAACTGGGTTCCTCGAAATGATCACTTTAAGTTCAGGTTTCGTAGGTAATGTCAAACCAAACTCTATTCAAGAAACAAGACATTCATTAATGTCTTATAAGAAAAACATACATACAACAATAGAATTTACTTTTGAAGACCTGTGGATAACATTATATCTCCACTCTTCGATTCGGCTTACATCTGACACCATTTAACAGTATTTATATTATTAATAACATACACTTTAACGTGGTTAACCCTTAGCACCCAATCCATTTTACGAGAAATTTCCTCAAGTTTTATTTGAATAAACTAAAAGTACTCCTTCGGTCGTCACAAATGTGTCAGAGTTTAAGTGACTTTGTGTCAGGTGTGTAACGTTAGACAATGACGAGCAGTCGAGCAAGAGACGTTTGAATTAAGTTTTGTCTAAAGCGGAACTGAGGTTTCAGAAGAACAATAGCAAACACTGAAAACTAAAATATTAACATTACCTCACAGTAACCGGACGGCAAGCCACGGAGCCCCTCGACAGAAAACACGGTTACCGTTACCGCCAGAACAGCTAATATCTTCCTCATGTTGCAGAGAGGACAGAGCTACAAAACACACAGCTGCACACATTACTGTATTACTCTCCACCGCGCCTGCGCATACCCCACGTGTCACATGACTTGACATGCTGTTGTGATCTGTGCTGCGTTTAAGTGCGTCTCGTAAAAACTACCATTCTTTGACAGGTAAAGTTAATATCACTGATTATCTGGTTGTCATGGCTCCTGTCAGTGGGTGGGATAAATTAGGCAGCAAGTGAACATTTTGTCCTCAAAGTTGATGTGTTAGAAGCAGGAAAAATGGGACCGGAGAGAGGGTCATGGGGGGCCAAGGCTCACTGATGCACGTGGGGAGTGATGGCTGGCCCGTGCGGTCTGATCCAACAGATGAGCTACTGCAACACCAACTCAATCAGACCATACCAAATTATCAACAAGCAAAAAGGAAAATATATTGAATACTGGAAAGAAACGACCAAAACTCAAAGTAAATTTCATGTTATCTGACCCTAAAAAGAGAATTCACACTGGCAAATTACCTGATCACAATAAAATGTCCTAAACTAAGAAAAATGTTGACAGTGTACAGACCGAGTGAGCACAGCCTGGCCATAGAAAAGGGTCGCCACAGACACAACTGGCTACCAGAAGAGGAGAGACTCTGCTCCCAGTGTGACAGAGGACAGGTAGAGACAGAGCTGCACTCTCTAACCTCATGCCCTAGATATAAAACATTAAGAGAAAAACAATTCGCAAACATTTCCCAAATATACCCCGAGCAAAATGTGTCTCCTCATGCCACGAACTGAGGACAACCAGTGGAAACTCAAATTAAACAATTTTTTTTCATGGGGTCATGGGGGGCCAAGGCTCACTGATGCACGTGGGGAGTGAAGGCTGGCCTGTGTGGTCTGATCCAACAGACGAGCTACTTTACTTTATTCGCAAGGAGTATTCCATTATTATACTGCTCCTTTTACTTGAATAACCAAATGGAATCCTTTTTTTCACTGCTGGCAGTCTGGCTGTTATGTGTTTCTCTGGTGTTTCCACAGTGGGTGGGGCCACACTGTGGCTGTAGTACCTGCTGCACAGGTTGAACCAGTAGGTTGAGCATCAGAAAGATACATTGATCCAACTGCATCACTTTGGAAGAAGAGGTGAAAGAAGTACTCAGATCCTTTACAAAAGGGCCATTACAGAATTATATATATTACTTTATTGGACTATAATTATCCATGCATTACCGTCACTTCAATGATGTAGCTGGTAAAGGTGGAGCTTTATACACTGCTGCGTAGCTTGTGAATTTCCCCTGAGGACCAATTAAAGTTTTATCTGTAACTGTAAAAATACATCATCATTTATTTGTTGAATTTTAATCTACAAAGCAACATCAAAAAATTATAATATTTTCCTCTGAGATGGAGTAGAAGCAAAACAAATTGTACTGAAGTACAGTCCTTACTTTCCACCTCTAACATTATGTTTGAAAAGCTGTGACTTCTGGAAAGCAGAGTCATTTATTTGTGGACTTCCTTCTCTGAAAGATTCCTTGTAAAGTGAGGTCAATGGTCAGTCTGAAAAGATCCCATTCCAAACTTGGCAGTAATTCTATTAGAGGGTAAATAACTTCCTACAGCACAGTATGATGTTACTGTAACTATACCTGGTACAGAAATCTTAACCTCTATTGTTACCACACAAATAATACAGGATTTCACAGTCATGGAGTGCTAGAATATGCTTCATTTCCAGTCAAGGAACAGGACAAGGACAATAGAGGGCCAGAAATTTGGGGCAAAGTTTTCCAAATTCTTCTGTAATTCACAGTTTACCTATCCTAAATCAAGATAAACCAGTTATTAATAATAATAATAATAATAATAATAATGAATAATAATGAATAATAATGACTGAGAATGAGATAAAATCTATCCTGATGGGGCTATCAGGTCAAACGGGCTGAATTAAATCACCTGTGACTGTATGTTGTAATTGTCCTGCGTACGTGCCACATGGACAGGTGAATTCCTGTGTGAGTCCTGTGTGGGGAGTGTGGATGGAGGACTTCCTTGTAGCAGCAGGGTGGAGACTCATGTAAGAGGCTGGTTTTACTCACTGTCACTTCCCCGTTGGCACAGTGTGGACGGCAGCAGCAATCACAGAGTCAGACTCTGACTGAACTCTCAACAGCTTTTCATTCAGGAGCAAAAGGTAAGCAGTGTGAATGTTGAGGATTTATAAAGCTCCTCTGATAAAGTGTTTGAACTGAGCTGATGCTGGTGCAGATAGGCACTGGGTAAGGTACAAGGAAGTATTCCAGTAAAATTGTGCAGGATGTTACTGATTAACATCAGTGCAATTTCTCTGTAGGTTTCTCATGTCTTTTTCCTTATAATTGCATTCTAATTTTTGAAATGATTTTTCTATTCATTTTAGATAGTTAACAGGTAAGCTTTGGTGTAAGACTGAGTGTATTTGTCTTTGATCAAGATTATATAGCCTGCTCTCTACCTCACTTTCCTTTGTCCCCCCATCTCTTACATCTTTCTTTGAGGGATTTTTCCACCTTCTCTGTCAAACTGTTTAATTTTCTGGACATGTATTAAGACATAGACACAAAAAGTAATTCAGTGGACCTTTTGTCACCACTTGGTGGTGTAACCGCATGGTTGCAAGATACAATTGACACAAAGAACCTGGAAAAACTAGTTGGAACAAGCACATTTTTTTAAGTAGCCTAATCAAATTAAAAAGTTGTGTTTATGCTACCAATAATTAAGTAAGTAGTATGTACGTATCAATGTAGTATATTTGATGAACATTATTTTATTAGAAGTTGCCATAACTCCAAAAGGTTGATGCAAACTGCTGCATTATTATTATTTTTTAGACATTTGTTTTTGAGTGTATATACAATAATATGCTTGACAACAATAATGTGTGTCTGATATGTGTTCTCCACAAAAAAGTACAATTTCCATATAATAATCCTTAAACTCCACATGCAAGGAAATCACAGTGTTATTTGCTTCCGCAGATATACATATTTCCTGTTTAAAAACAGCCAGTTAGGGAGGGACTAGTCACGGTAGCCAATAGTGACAGTTAGCTTCTTCTAGCAAGTGATCCATCTCCATAAATCACCTCGGTACCGCTGTCGTCAAACTGGCCTCCATTTGTCTCTGAGGTTGTGTTCACTGGGAGGCTGCTGAGCCCCGTTCCATGGCACACTAACAGCACGCTAACACCAGCTTTAGCAGCTACTTCTGACATTTTACTTTTACAAAAGTAAGATTATGAATGCTTGACTTTTATCTATACTGGAGATAATTATTGTTATGTTTTAATTCTGGTACTTTTACTCCAGTAATGCGTGCAGAATACCTCCAATTCCACCATGCAAGCACTGATACATGAGATAGAATATAACTGTATATCTAACATCTTTTTCTGATTTGGTGTCTAATACATTTCTTAGAAGTGCCAGACAAAGTCAGTAATGCATATATATATATAACAAACCAGCCCATATTCATCAACCATCTAAGAATTACTTATGAAAGGTCTATAGAGCCAATGTCCATGAAGAAAGTTTGAAAAATACAATTAAAAAACTTTTACTAAAAAAATGTTGTAAAAGATCAGCTTTACATTTGTTGTTTCACCCTTGATAATATAAAAAAAGTGGTGTTTCATCTTATCAAATGTTCAAATCAAATGCAAAAAATAGGCTAAACGATATTGCTTCAGGTATTTATGTGGATATTTTGTGCACTAAAACTTTTGCCAGAAGGAAGAAGAACGTTTATCTAGGATCTACTGTAAAACGTTTGGAGCTAAAATCTGATAAATAGCTTTTACTCTTAAGGTTGTGAATAAAGGTGAAGGATTATAATTGTATCTTTCACAAAAATCCACTGTTAGCAGTTATACAATTACATAAATACAGGCCCAGATATGAAAAACATTTCAACAACCCTTAAAAAAGCCAAAGCAAAGAGCATCCTCCTCTGCTGTATATTGATGGCTGTTATCCTTCACTTTGCCCTCCTCTTGTCTCAGCGGTCCAGGATGCTTTACACTGAGTTACTACAGTTGTGGAATGAGGCGGTGAAGGCTTTGGATGCCAGGGACTGGGAAGGAGCTCTGGCCAAACTGGAGCAGATCAGTGAACCCACGTCTCGCACTCTGTTCAACACTGCCTCGGCTCACCTGGCTCTGGGACAGCTGGACCAGGCCCTGAAGGTCTGTGTGTTGTGGGTTGATGGGAGACACTGTCAATACTTGTGAAGTGAAGTCATCACTATTTTTTTGTAGTAAAGTAAAGTAAACCAAGACTCTTCTTTTGAGCAATATATTAAAACTGTACTTTCTATTTTCCACTGTACATCAGTCTGGATGTCAGTGCTGCTGAATACAAAAAAAGGGAAGCATATAGTAATACTTCTATCTGTTTGTGTCCAACCTGAACTTGTCTTTTCCCCTCTGTGATGTCCAGGCTTTGGACTTTACCATTGCCAAGGATGAACGTCTCGCTGTTGGCTTCTTCCAGAGAGCAGCAGTGATGATGCAGATTGACAGGTAGGGGGCAGCGTTATTAGAGGTTCTTATTTAGTTGTTTTTATTTTATTTTTCAAATTAAGTTATGTAGACATCCCAGTCTCATTAAACATACTTACTGATGCCTTCTTGTGCCCGTTGACAAATTTAACCAATTTGACAAAAACTAAAGATATTATTCCCATAAACTAAAACGTTATCAGCTTGGGTATGGGACAGCACATACATTACATACCTACATTAAAGACAACCTATGTAACTTTTGAAACAGATAATGATGTTGTCTTTAAAACAACTGAATCTTTGGAGATGAATGAATAATCAGTGCTGAATCATCCTGAAATTGCCACTTGTGGCCACAGTGGACGCAATTCAGTAAAGGGTGCATAGTTTTGCTCTATATGTCACATAAAATGGTATTGTTGCTTCCTTAAAGGTCCAGTGTGTAACATGTAGGAGGATCTATTGTCAGAAATGGAATATAATATTGATAGATATATTATTTTCATTAGTGTATAATCACCTGAATAAAGGAATCGTTTTTTTTTGTTTGTTTGTTTCCTTAAAATTAGCCTTTTTTTATCTATAGAGGGTGAAGGTCTCCTTCCATGGGGTCTGCCATGTTGAACCACAATGTTGTTCCCGTAGCCCAGAAGGGACATACCAAACACTCATGTGTTTCTGTGAGTTTCATGGCCACCATAGTTTCTCCTTCACACTTGGAAAGGGACAGTAAAGTGAGATAGTTCTGCAACTAAACCAATAGGTTACATCAAATCCTACAAACTGGACCTTTAACAAATGGTTTAGCATTTTCAGCAATACGTTTTTGGTTTTTTTTACTTCTTGGTGAGATTAGATATGTACTGTAAATGTGAAGCTACCACCAGCAGCAGATTAGCTTAGCTTGGCATTAAGACTGGAAGCAGGGGAGAAACAGCTAGCCCAGCACCTCTAAAGCTCACAGAGCCCCACATATGGGGTATGTCTGGACTACAATCACTTCCTGGAGACTTTTCATCACTCTGCGGTTGCCAGGCAACCAGCAGAGACTCCAGGAAGTTATCGTGCCAAAAAAGAAAAAGACACAAAACATCCCTGCAAAACAACAATTTAAACTTTTTCTATAGAGCATTTGTGGCCCAGGCTGCCATTTTGAAACTATCACTATTTCTGCGTTACTGTCTCTCCAGGCTGGAAGAGGCGCTGTCAGACTGTATCTGGGCACAGAAGCACATGAGAGGAAACATGGTCATTGACTACAGACAGCTGGGATTGCAATTCAAACTCTACAGCTGGCAGGTCTGACATTCTCAGTGTACTCACACGCATACACTGCACACAGATACCTCAGCATGCTTCTTCTGACATGTTGCAATCAATTAAAACAGGAAATCCAATCCCATGAGGTCTGTCAGTAGTAAGGAATGAAAACATAGCAAACTGTGCTGTGTCACCACCTCCTGTTCAGTTCAAATGTCACATACACCTGGGAGCTAACAAAGCCTCATTGATGGAGGCAGAAGAAGAGGTTGCACAACATCACATATTTCTCACAGTACAGATAAGACACAGACAGTGCACCTGTGCTTGCAGCCAGTAACAGCTAAACTAAGGCTGAGTGCTGCTAACATGTGCAACAGCCTCATCATCAGTTTAAAGTCACATCACATCATCAGACACAGTCATCAGTGCCATCCACCTCTGATACAATGGACATGATGCAGTTTTGTCATGTAAACTACATAACAACCTCACCGCTTTTCAAGGGAAACCAGTCCAACAGCAATCCACTCAATGATGGTTATAATGATGATGATAATGAAGGGGCTCAACGGTTTGTCGATTGCAGAATTAGTGTTCACTTGTGATTGGTGGTAAAGGTGCTGCTCTGCATACATTTTATGCACTGAAAGCTTTATGGTCTCATGAAATGGATACTTAAACTACTACTTCCTGGAAAACAGTTCATCTTCAGTGGTGACCTCATCCTGGGAGTAAAGAAAAGGTGTGTTCAGACTGAGGCAAATTTTTGGTTTGGTTTTCCTTAAGGAACGCCTTTTCTATTAAGAGAACGAGGCCCCCAAAAGTTAAAGAATATGTTAGGATTATTCATATTACATAACAATAACAGTAGGACCAACTGATAAATGTACAATGAACCCAAACAGGAACAAATAAAAAAAAACCAGAGATTGTTGATGAGTTTTGATATTTATATTTTTACACAATTCCTTTCTGTATTATGTATTTTATTTTTAACAATCATATATATTTAATTGGCTTCTTTTGACAAATTCAGTGTTTGAAATATAGGCAAGATATAGGCCTACACTGTGTATCTACTGTTTTCTTACAACCCTTAAAATAAAGAAGGCTTCACAACCCCTCATGAAGTTTTGGGGATCTGACCCCCCTGATCTGACTCCCTGGTTGGGAACCACAGGAATAAAATATCAGTGTAAAGTCAGATGCAAATAGATGCTAATTGACCCTTCCTGCCCCTTTTGGAAATAAGACAAAGAACTGGTAACTTTTAGCATCTGTCAAGACTCTGAGCTGTCGCACAAACATTCCAATATGGTGCCTACATTGCAAGCTAGCCCACCGCTAATGTCTGTGGTAAAACCACTCCAAGGTGACCAAATAACTGGTTTACTATCAATTACTATTATTTTAATACATTTTTAAAACTTTTTGTCATGGGACCTTTTAATGACATGGTTCCAAATGCACAAATTTACAGAAGCCGAGAACAACCATGCTTGCAGTTATTTTTTTAATGCTGTTTTTTGGAGATCACAAGTAAATTTATCTCGTTATCACAATAAAACAAAAGGCAAATTTCTTTAGATAATGAGATAATACATCGTGAGAAAACAACTGCTTTCCTCGAGATCACAGGATAATAATGGAAAACTCTAAAATCAGTGTCTGGTTCATTTCCAGATCAGTCATGACTGTTAGGTTGGATTAATAACTGAACTGAAAAGAGTTGTTAGCCAATGTACATCTAAGAGTTCATTTAGGACATTCATTTATTAAATGAGCTCAAAGAGTCTTTTCATGTAATTTTTTCTGGCTGCTGGAAACGACCTTTTGTTTTCCTGTGATAACAGGTTGATTATTTTGTTATCTCAAGATAACGAAGCTCGTTTATCTCGATTACAAGATAAAATAACTCATGATATTAAGATAACGGCATTATAAAAAAATACTTCCAAGCATGGCCGTTCCCGGCTTCTATACAAATTCCCCCAAACAACACAATTTTAATGCACCTCAAACCTAATTTTATTTTTGGAAAGTATTAGATATTGGTGTATTCAGCACTTGTGTGCTAAGTGAACACATGATAAAGAACGCTGAGACACTTTTTTCTACAAAAGAATGACAGAGGACCCAAACATCACCAAGATAGTTTGACAATTTCTATAACACAATAAAAAAAGGATAAATAATACATCCTGCTACATTTCACCAACAATGTATTCCTCAAGGTGGAAAAAGTTGTGAAATGGGCACAGGTCTCTGGCTGTTTAAATCATAGGTCCAACAGAAGCAATACACAGACATATCACCCTGATGAATACTCGAATAATAATGCTGCTTTTTAGCCTTTGTAGCAGAAAAGTGTTTGCTGATAGCGCTATCCTCCAGGGTCTTAAAACTTTGCTGCATGGGATTTTTTTCTTAGGATGGTACTGGCTCCAATATAGATAGTTTTAAGTTTTAAAATTATTATGTAAAATGTCTATTAGTGTGTGTTTTCACATAGCAGTAAAGATAACTTGAATATAAATGAGATAGTACTGAAATGTATAATTGTGATGTATCCCCTAGGTGTTATATAATGCAGCAGCTGTGTACTGTCGGATGGGCCAGTGGGAGCAGGCCAGGGAGGTCCTGGTGTCAGCTTCCCAGGAGAAAGGAGGAGGGGGTCGAGGGGCAAGCATAGAGATGGCTATGGAAAGCGTCCTGGTGAGTGTCACAACTTTTAGAACAGACTGGGAAGATGTGATATAGTCTTTGGTCACAGATCTCCAAAGTCAATTACCCTTGCACTATTTATGTTGTCTGCATTTATGCCATTGCCTCACTCGATGTCTCAGCCAGGATAGAAATATGATGATTCTTCAAAGTTAGGAATGTCCTTACCTCTTTAAAGATGCAATAAAGTGGAAAATTTTGCTTAGTGAATCATTGACAGTGCTCCATTTGACCACGCTGCTGTGCCACTTATTAGGCAGCAGCAAGGGCAGTGAACCCATTTAAAATGAGTGCAGGTGGTGTATGCAACATCAGACATACCTGCAAAAGTAAGTCACAGCCACAGCGGGACAGACAGGACATTCAACAACATTTGACACAACATACTAATATTAAAGTAAAGTAAAATAAAGTAAAATATATACTGCTTTTCATTAATGAACTACAAATGTGCAATTATTCAACTACAATGACAAATATACGGAAGGGCCAAGTTTGATTTCAGCTGACAAGTGACCAAACTCCATCCTGTGATGGCTGTGGCTTAGGATGACATATATTCTGACTTAAAATAGTGGTTTTGTAATTCTAAAAGTCAGCATGTATGTACATGCAATCATTGTGATTTACACTGAAAAGGAACACTTTACTCTGAATTTAAAAACAGAGGCAGGAGGTCCTGGATCCCCTCCTGGTGCCGGAGGGTGTGGTGTTTCGGCCTAGGAAACAGGATGTGGAGCAGCTGCAGCAAAGAGACTTCCTGGGCAAAGCAAAGGTAGAGTGTCACCATGGTGGTAAGATGCTTGGATTACTCCAAACATTTAAAGCTCTTACTCCATGCTACTTTTATAGTATATTATATATATATTGGAAGTCACATCCCCTCTGTGGTAGCAGGGTCCTGAGGTCCCACATTGGTTTAGGAATCTTTTACCACTAAAGTATAATATCAACTAAGCCTATTTTTTTAACGTATATATAATTCTGTGGCCTTTATATATGGTGCACAATCTTAATTAAGGAATTTTTAAAACAAATGAACTCAAATCATTATCATAGAAAAAACGACTACACTTGATAGGGTGGATGTAAAATACAAATTTTTACTTCTCGGCTTCTGTATGTCTCGATAGCTAACTTCAGACACAAAATGAGGTAAATTAGTTAATAAGTAATTGACCCTTCCTAAGTCCTGCCCCTTTTTGCTCTGTGCTCCAATAACAGTTGAGCAAGCCTCTGTCAGAAAGAAGGGTGGGACTTCGGAAGGGTCAATTAATTGTTTAATGAAAAAATATTTTCTTTACAACTTTCTGATTAGAAAAAAAAGATGATAAAGATAAAGAATGAGAAGATAAAGAATAAAATTGCACCCAAGTTGTCTGATTACATCCAAAACAATATACTGTATGGGTCATTCAAACTGTCCGAAACGAAACAAAAACAAAATAACACAATAACAAATATTTTACATGGTAATTAAACTATGGTGTGTAGAAGTCAGTAATGTATGATGCTCTACTTGCAGGTGATTTCCTCCATGATTCCCAATGATGATTTTGGAGGCTTTGAACCTCTGAGGCTGCAGGTACTGTATAATGACCAGTGTCAGTATAAGATCTGGTTGTCAGTCACCCCTTATGCCGAACTCTGTCACTCTGTCTTCTCCACAGAAACCTGGTTTCTATGAGCCCAAGATGGATGGAGCTCAGTGAGTATTATCACCTGTCACATAGAGATATTATTAACCTGAGGTAAGCTAAGGTCATATTTATATTGAATAACACATTATAAAACAGTGATGTATGTTTTTCTCTTCTCACTACCTGTCAGGGATTCTCGATACATGCGCGTTCGGAGCCCTTACATGGCTCGGGGTCCAGGACAGCTGACTGTACCAGGAGGGGCCATGGTGTTTTTATTCGGCGAGGAAGACAGGGATGGGATGGCAACTGTCATATATGATGGACAGGTGAGGAGAGAGAGAAGCTGAATCTATAATCGGCAAAGATACAGTGTAAATCTTATACAGCAGACTGCCATTTAAAGGTTTAATCAATTGGAATCATATTTAATCTTTGAAACCCATCATGTGTAATTTGTATGCAATTATTCCTCTTCAGGTTATAAACCCCCAAATTAGCAGACATCAAACTGAGAATTTGGTGTCTACAACCCTGGTGAGAAAGCTGTATTTTTTAAGTGAGTGTCTGACTTTTACTTTTTATTTTTCAGAGAGGACTTCTGCCAGTGTCCCTGCTCGAACAAGCAGATGTCAAGACGTCCAAAGGCAAAAAGGAGAATGTAATGTATTTGTCAATGTAATAATCAGAGTTTTATTGGCCAAGTATGACAAGACTCTCAATGTTACACACAGCTCCAGTAGAAGTAGACAAACAGCTAAACAAAGAAAGGTCAAATAAACATTAATCTTTTTTTACAGGGCCAGTCATAAGGGGTAAAAATAAGCCCAGAAAGCTGCTCCCAGTTTACATCTATGTGTTTAAGTAGGAATGAGAGAGTACACGCATGTGTCTGTATGAGTAAAGCAGATTTGGTGAGAGCCGATTCACTAGACATTTTGTCTTTAGGTGATGAAATAAGTGTTTATATAAATATGTATAAAACGTAACAAGGACCAAAAACATACTATCTCTATATACTGGTCACATGTTTCTGTAAATTGTAAACAAATACAAATAGTGCAAAGAACCAGAGAGCCAGGCGATAATGCACCCTGTGAGAGGAAACACACACTGGGCTTCAGTTTAGAGCTTTAATGGCGACACTTCAGAGATTGCTCAAAATTAGATTCATGCTGAGCAGGGCTTTATCTCCGCTTCACCCCCGGGACCAGGCAGCAAAACTGTTGTGTCAGGAAAAATACATGAAAATGTTCTTAAAATCCCTGCTATAGTTAAAGCCCTTCAGCCAGAGTGGTTAGACGATTACTCTGCTCCTTTCAACAAAGGAAAAGTTTCCAGCTGGGTTTTTTTTTCCACCATTGAGAAAAAAAAAGTACTTTTCTATTTGTCTGACCTTCCTGTCTTGAACTCTTCCACAGAGAGTTCCCAGTGGGATTCCTCTACCACCTGGCCTCAAGCCACCCACTCGCCCAAAGGCCCAAACCAGCTCTGGAGCTCCCCCTCGGGGTAAAAATCAATCATATTCCTCCTGGTTCTCTACTTTCTCTGAAATCCTCCTGCCTCAATAGAGGAAGACCTCTCCACCTTCTTTCCTCTGATCTGCTCTCCCTCTATTATAACCAATCCAGGCTCAGAGCAATATCTCTTAAGTGTACTGTCTCGCACTGTGGATTCATCTTTAGTTGCATATTATTTTGGCGTTGCTTGAATTTGAGTTTACTGTTGAATTCAGTTTGCTTTGAAATGTTTTTGAAGTACAGTGTGGATACCTTTGGGTGCTTATTGCCTCTATGTTTGCCAAAGGGCACAAAGGCAGACATGCCCTCAAAAATGCCCAGAATGTACACTATTTTCTCCTTACAATCCCACAATGCATTGTGTAACATTTTATACATTAATAAAAGAAATTCTCAATTTTCTGCTCACTGTAGAGTAACCGACCAGGGATTATTGCAGAAAATCCAGAGGAGGTTTTTTTAAATTATGTTACAACACGTTCACACATTGACAATAAAAAGTGATTCATATGTAAAAATAATACATAGAATGCTTCAGAATCTTACTTATAGAACCTTTTGCCTGGGGTCTTAAACTGCCGGCACGCAGGCCATTTCTCGCCTTATATCAAACATATAATCCAGTCCACAAGATTATTTTATTTTAAAATGTTTTTAGTTATGTCATGTCAGTTTAAACTACACCTTCATGTACAATTAAAATAAAAATACAATTATATTTTAAAAAATTATTTCCTTTGAAAAATGGCAAAGGCCATGCGTGGCCATGCAAAGGGATGGTAAAAGGAGAGCAGGTTTCAGGCCTTAATCTGATTATATAAAATGACAATATAAAAATATTTAGCAACAGCTGTTTGCATTGTTGTGATGTTAGTAACTTAAATACCAGTACCAATACCAGCAGTGGCCCCAAACCAGTTTGACTTTGAGACCCCTGCTTTAAGCACTGCTTTTCCGGTTAAAGCTGTTAGGAATGTAATGGCAGCTGCAGCAGCTGTATTTCTATTTGCAAAGTGGAAGAGACTCGGAGAACATCTACATGTCTAACCTTCCATTAGACTTGTACTGTATGTGCTCAGACTGTACCTGTACTGTGTTTTCCCTGCAGTACATTTTACCTCAGACACTCCACCTCCATCCTACACCACTGCCACCCACGCACCGCTACCAACCTCTGAGCCTCCCGAGTACACAGCCAACGCAGCCAGCGACCAGGTAATATCCCCCTCTGAAAAAACACATTCATCTGAGTGAGCTGTAAGGAAAGGAATCATATTAAAGTTCTATTCCTCGCACATCCAGCTTACAACAAACACACACTCTCCTTCTTTTTTCTCCCTGATCTAAATATAGAAGGATTGTGCGGACTGGTAAAGAAACTGCTTTGTAAGGTTGAACTTTGCAGGGGAAATGCTGATGTGTCCCAATTAAGTCACTATGATGCTCAGGGGAGGCAGCGGTAGTCAGCGTTTGGATATAAATATTCTTTTGTGTCTCTTCATGCCACAGTGACCTGAAAAGATTCATTCTTTTGTGATATAGCTAATGGACTTCCTGTCCCACATTTGCAACGAAGTAGCTGTTTCTCTTTGTCAAGGTTACTTAAGAAGATTTCAGTTCAGACTGATGGGGATTATGCTTTTTCATATCTTCCAGCCCATAATGAGTGGACCATGGCAACCTGTTGCTCCTTAAATTAATGCAGCTTGAGACACTTCATTTAATTCTTTTAACCAATTAGTTTAATCATTGTGTAAAACATTTGTACAGCAAATAAGTCTCAATGACATTAATGAGAGTCCTGATGCAGTTTTATGGAGGGTGTCTGCAGGGTCTCAAAAGTCTAAAATCCAATAATCCGAATTTTATGCCTTAAAGTTTGAGTGTGTAACATTTAGGAGGATCTATTGTCAGAAATGGAATACAATATTCATAGGTATATTTTCAATTTGGAGCGGGTCCTCTTCTGTGGATACCTACATGTTGAACCGCCATGTTTCTACAGAACGGACAAACCAAGCGTTGGTTCTAGATAGAGCCTTGTGTGTTTGTCACGTTATTCACGGCCCCTGAAGTTTCTCTTACACATTTGGAACGGGAGGGTGAGGCGAGGAAGTTGCAATCTGCTACACCGCTGTATGCCACTGAATCCTACATGCCGGACCTTTAATTTACACAAACAGTATTTTCCCATGTAAAAACCCTCCACATTTTTCCTTTAGCATGACATAATACAACTTCATAATAAGTATCTCAAAGTACAAAGAACAACCTTTGGACACCACAGGCTCCCACAGAAAAGATACAAATGAACGGAGGTCAGCTGTCATATAGTAGGAAAGAAAATAAAGTGAAAATTTGCAGTCATACATTATTTATTTTAACAAGTGGTGTGGGAGTAAGTGTGCGTACAGATCAATAAACTGTAAGATGTTAATGGGAAAAATAAGACTTATATGGAGGTAGATTAGATAGGTAGGTAGGATTAAGGTATGTAATGGGTTATTTAATTTCTTTACCCATTAATTGAAAACACAAATTAACAATTGGCCCTGGAAAAAGTGTGAGTAAGTAATATTACATATGTCACATGCATGTCACATGTCAGACATACTAGACGTGCAGCATGTCTAGTATGTCAGAAGTCTTGCTTCCAAATTCACCCCGAACTGAAAATCAGTGTGCATGGTTTCTTAATCTGTGTATGCAGTTTATTGATGCATTAGCACCAAGTGTGTTGAGGTGGACAGACTCACAATAAGCATACCCTGCTTTATCGTCTACTCTAAATGGGACCATCATTTACTACAAGAACATCATGCTGTATGGAAGAAGACTGAAACTAGAGATTGAGACCATAAACTCATTAGGAAACTGTTCATAAATCATACAGTAATTTATTCATAAGACTTAATACACTGTTCGCCACACTGTTTTTATATTTTCACTTTACAAGAGAAGACAATTGTGGTAATTGTAGGTTTGCCCCAGTATCCAAAGTAAATCCAAGTAGCACTAAAAATCTGACCACTACTAGCAATACAATTCCTCTTAGTACTAGTATAACAAATACTAATCAGAATTGTATGTAAAATGCTAGCACTAGTAATACTATTACCAGTGTTATTATTGCCACAAAATAACCATGTAAAACTAGTTGTACTGACCAGATCAGTATTTTTAAATAAAATTTGTATTTGCATTATCTTTTAATGTGTTCCTGCTCCTTGTTCCCAGGGTGCTGGTGCTGCCCAGGGAGGAGAGGTGGGCTCTGTGGTGGTCAAGGTCCACTACAAGTACAATGTGGCTCTGTCTGTCCCTCTGGACACACCATACGATGAATTGAAGGAACAAATCGCACAGAAATTGGGCCAGCCAGCATCTCAGCTGCGCCTCAGGTAACCACAAGCCTGCCAACCCACTTCTGTCTCCTTGAATTTCAACAAGTGATGCTTCATTTCTAAAAATACGTGTTTCTTTGTCCACTCCACCCTGTGGGTCCACTATCTGTTCTGAGACACTGAGGCTGCAGCTACACACACACACACACACACACACACACACACACACACACACACACACACACACACACACACACACACACAGAGAGAGAGAGAGGAGTCCATGAAAGCAGCAAAAAGACAGCAGAATAGGATTAAAAAAGCATTATCATGGGATAAAAACACATTACAAAAACAGCACATGACATCTAAGGATTGATAACAGCATGACCAGTTAATTTGTCTAGCTGTCAAAATAAAAAAAGGAGCTGATAACAACAAATAACAAGCATCAGAGTCTGGCTTTGATGCATGTAATCATCTGTGTTGTCTCAGAATAAAGTAATTTTTCTATCAACTGCCTATCCATCTTTACCCCCATAATGCCCTCAATTTCCCATCTATTCCCCTGCTGCCACAACCCCTCACCACTCCCTCTCCCTGTCTCTCTCTCTCATCAGACACAAGCAGCATGGCTCTCAGGTGCTGATACCTCTGGGTGGGGAGGTGGGGTCAGGCCGCACAGTGCAAGAGGTGGCTGAGGCCGGCAGAGCCACCCTGTGGTGCCAGGTGAGTATTTTAACTCAAGACTACACATGCATCAAGGTTTGAAATTGGACATCAGTTCCCAGGTTGCTGGGATGTGTCTTCGGGGCGGGCACAGTCACAGCACTAAACAGATTGTTTTTGGTTTAAATGAAAGGACCTCGACATCCTCCCCCTGGATGGATGCAGGAGTCAGAGGAGACTTAGTACCGTAACCTGTTCAGTTGGTTATAGCCATCTCTTCATGCCTCTCCACACCTCCCTGGTGTTATTCTGCTGCAGTCTGGCCACCTTTTTTTCCCTGTGGGAGCTACGCTTATAGGCCTTCACTGTGCTCTTATACTTCAGACAGAAGACCCCCTGGCCAACCGTACCATCCACTACCAGATGGTGGCGCTGTATGACTACACTGCTCAGGGCCCAGAGGACCTGGAGTTCAGCGAAGGAGACACCATCGACATCCTGGGTGAAGGTGAGGCCCCACAGGTTGACCTCACACTGACCAGCTCATCAGTGGGGCCACAAAAGTCTTCTTCCTTTGATCTGAAATGTTCTCTCCTCTGCCTCTCTGCCTCTTCATGTTTCTCTTTCACGCTCTCTTGTAGTTAATGAGGAGTGGCTGGAGGGACACTGTGCAGGGAGCATCGGCATCTTCCCCAGCTGCTTTGCCTACATGGAGAACAACAACATCAACCAGAGCCTGTTATAGTTATAAAAAGCAGGCATGTTACTGTGCAGGCATCTCTAATCAACCTATCAGTCTGTGAATGGTTGTTGTTTACAGCCTAAGAACAACCAAACAACACCCTTATAGGGGCATGCAGTATTGACTATCATGCTTTGAAAATATTTCTTTCTCATATGATATCACTATAATGCTGCTGTAGTGGCTCAGAGTATGTTTATATTAAACCTGCTGTACCTTTCCTATTTTCTATATCCAATGGTATCGCTGTAATACTGTTACTATAATACTGTAATGAAGGTATATACTGACCTTATTGAACTCCGATGTGGTCAACATTATGTTTGTATTTCCCCAAGGTTATAATGACCCCGGTCTGGCAACTTTGAAGTGTGGTGAGATTGCTATATGTACCGTAGCGACTAATATTGTAAAGTATCATAGTACATTTTCTTAATAATGAAGATACTGAAGCTGTTCATTAAATCTCATTGTTTCCTTAATGATTAAATAAAAAAACATGAATTTACCACTCATGTAGTAGTAATTGTAAATCAGTAGTAAACTTTTTATTTACAATTCAGTTTAATTCAATTCAGTTTTATTTAAATAGCATCAAATCATAACAGAAGTTATCTCAGGACACTGATGTCTAGACTTTACTCCTTATGAAACTATTTACACAGACCCAACAATTCAATTATTTACAGTAGTAAATAACATTATTTACATACATTGGCTATAAAACATGATTGTTAAATTTGGTTTGTTTTACAACATGGAATCCTACTTGATTTATAGCTTTATGCTGTTGTTTGGCAAGAAAATACTCAAACAGATTGATATAGATATAGATTTCTACAGTTTGATACATATTGGTTAAACTGAAATTTATATGACACAGCTAACTAATGTCCAGTGTGTAACATTTAAAAGGATCTATTGTCAGAAATGGAATATAATATTCATAGGTATGTTTTCATTAGTGTATAATTACCTGAATATAAGAATCATTGTGTTTTGGTTACCTTACAATGAGCTGTTTCTATCTACAGAGGGAGTGGGTCCTCTTCTATGGAGTTATCTGAGGTGGGAACCAGTGGGCAGTAACTTCCGTTGTGAGTGCAGGGGCCCCTAATGATTTTGTTGCTGACTTTATGTGGGAATAATGAGCAACATGAGTTCAAATTCCTAAACTTACTTACTTCTTACCACAATTTAGAACAGACTTCTTTTTTCTTCCTTATTAGTTAGATTTTTTCAGATTTAATTATTTAGTAAACCATTATTTATTTCTTTATATTATTTCTGTTCATTTTAAACTCTTTAGTTAAGTTCTAAATACTAAATTCGGGGGAAAATACTGAATCCCTAATCCCTAATAATTTTTATATATATAATATATATAATTATATATATATATATAATTTGATATAAGGATTATGGCCTATCCCTGCACTATATGAAAAGTGTCCTCAGATAACTTCTGTAATGATTTGGCGGTACATAAATAACATTTAATTGAAAGTGTAATTGAAAAAATATATATTGGCCTTCAATTAGTGCTTTTTAATATGTTGAGTCTAAAAATGCTGGACTCAACCCATAAAATACCCACCAAGTTTCTAATTGTACAATGTAAGCACAAGACCTGAATATCCTTACGGCCTTGGTTGAAAGTCAAACTAAGATTATAACTTTTCAAAACTAAAGTATAGTTAAAGAGTTTTTAATTGCCATGTGATTATAAATAATGATTAATAGTGTACAGTTAAGGTGTGAAGAATAATTAAAAAGATATGGGAAAAACGATAGTAATATAAGGACATTTCGAAAAGTAAAGACTTTTATAAAGAGCTACTGAGAATACTGAACAACTCCTAATCTTCCTAGACCAGGCTCTCCTAAAAAACCTGGTGAGGAGGACAGCAGTGAGGGAAGCCACTAAGACGCCCACAGCGGCTTTGAAGTTGCAGTCTTATTAGACTGAGCTGGGACAAAGAGTGCACACAGGAACAGAGGGCCAGAACTTCACAGATTCTTAAGAGAGAGTTATTCAAAGAAACATGCCAATGTCTTTGCAAGAGTTTGCCACATGGCATGAAGCAGACTGAGATATCTGACTGCCTTGTGCTCTCATGAGACCAAATCTTTTTGGAGCTTTTTGGGGGGACTGTGTCCTTGCCACCACTAAAGGTCTGACAGGTAGACTGGTGCTGGAATGCTGGAAGCATTTTATACTATTACTGGGGAGGAGGAAAAATTAGGTAGAGGGATATACTCTTGCTGTTGATTCAAAAACAACTGTACTGATCTGGCCAAAATGTAGCATGCCATATGCTTAAAATATCTAGCTCCAACACGCGTTACATTTGCAGTGCAAGAAAACCTGGTGAATCTGGTTCTTTTCAATTGTCAGGGATTGTCCATCTCTCAGGTAAATATTCATCTTTGGGAAAATTGTAAAAATCCACATTTATAACATCTTTTTTCTTTTTTAAGATCATAATGGGATGCTACCCCGTGGCAGTGGTTTGCCATTACCTGTACTATTGTTTACTTAACAAAACCAATAACTGGCTAAGCTAATCAATTTGATAGTTTCATATTGCATACTTCAATTAAGTGCAAAATGCAGTATGTACTACATCATATATACTGCATTCATCTGTATATGTAGTAGATGGTTCCAAATACAGCGTATGTTTTTTCAAATTTTTTCAGCACACAGCTTGAACACAGCTTCACTATGAGGAAGCATATCTGTGGCAGTTGCAGGGCCTGGAAGGCTTCTGAAGATCAAGTGCAAAGTGAATGAAGCAAAGCTCAGGAAAATCCAGGAGATAAAACTTGCTCTGTTTCTCCATACTGCAGTGCATGAGACATTAATAAAGTTGGATCAAGCAGCTTTATTGAAAACATATGCAGTAATAATGGCTCTGTGTCTACTATAAAAATAAACCCCCAAAACAAATAATGTTCAGACGGGCAGTGTCAATTCATTAAAGCCACAGTTACGGGAAAATATGCGTCTAATATCATTAAAACCTCCAAACTAAATTCAGCTTCTGAAGACAAAGTGGAGCAATAACTGACAACTTAATTTATTCAGTCTTAGACTAAGACCAAGTTTAGCAGAGAGTCTCTGATGGGACTATAGTCTTTACTTCCACATTAAACAATGTAAACAGTTAATTTTTACATATTGACATCTGGCATTCTAATCACTTTTATAATAATAACCACAAAATCAATTTGGCACTTCCTTAGACTAAGGTATACTGAGTGTTATACCTTGCCAATACAGCATGCATTCATGCACCTTTCACATTTTTCTAATGTGTGTCTGGGTGGGAGACTAAAGATAGCAGTCAAGCCTCTGTATATTAAGCATAGTTGGACGGGAGACCTTGACTCCCTCAGAACCGTGGGAAGTTCACTGGCTTGGGCATTAATTGCCGGCAAGGGAAATGTCAGGTGCTTTTAACTGTCGTCACAAATGGTAGATGTAAAAAGCAGTATGGTGGGGGCACCGGAGCTGCTGAGAGCTCCATTCAAATGGCTTATGAAACAGAGGCCTCTAATTACTGCACTCCTCTCCCAATGCACAGAATCAACACCCACCTTCCTCTGCCACAGATGCTGGTAGTGAGGACGAATACAGTGGGAGTCCTATTAGCTTTACATACAGAGTGAAAGCAGTCCGTCAACAAATGACTGTTCTCTGCACAAAGAGGCAACATCCCCGAATGCTTTCTCCGTGGTTTGCTAGGAAGATACAGGATGCGGTGCCATTATATCCTTAGGGTGGCCATTTCCTTCACATCAAAAAGGAGGACACTTTGCATACACGGGGACATGCAAGCAGATATTTGTTTGGTATGATCCGGTTTTAAATTTTAATATGTTTTTCCACCAGATAACATAAAGGTGCATACACATACCACATAGATAATAATAAATAACAAGATACAGCTCATGACAACGTGCCTGTCCAATTCAGATTACATAGGTCTAATAAACATCATACAGAAACTGTTCTTAATGTTTTTATCTGGATAGATAAAGGGTAAAAGAAAATACAGCACCTTCTGTTTCATATGTATAGGCTTTGCGTAGGCTTTGCCTATAGGGGAGAGTGGGGTAAGTTGAGCCAAAGAGTAAGTTGAGCCACCCCTTGTTGCTAGGAAATGGTAAAAAACATTGATCATGTGACCTAATATTTAGGAGGAAGGTATAATTTCATGGAGTCTGTGAATGTAAGAACCACATGGGTAAAGTGGTTAGATATTTATTTCCAAAAAATCATTTTTCACTCTTGAAAGTGAATTTAGTCTATCATAAGAATTGTGTTTAGACCAAAATAGATCATTTTAAATTTGTTTTATACATCAATTGTGGTATCTATGAGCTACAACATGAGCTCATAAACCTAGCATAAAAGTGCACCATTTTAGCTGTGGGGACTAATAAAGTCAGAATGGTAGCTCTGGGGTAAGTTGAGCCATTTGGCCAGGGGTAAGTTGAGCCGGTGGCTACAGCCAAAATACACTCAATAAGTGTATCCAAAAACATATTCTGTGTATATTCCAAAAACACAGCTGTTGATGTTCCTAAGCGCACTTTAAGGCATTCTCATGTTAAAATGTTGTCATTTGAGTGTCCGGCTTAAGGCTGCGCCTGCAGCCGGACAGTCCAGCTTTATATATCTTACACCCTCAATATAAATGTCAATTCAAAAGCAGATGGAAAAATGGCTCTGTGAGGCTGAACTTAGGCACAGCGGTGCTTCCAAGTAAATGCTAACACATATTAGTTTATCATGTTAGCAAGCATTTGCAAATTAGCACTAAGTACAGATGAATCTGATGGTAATGTCAGTTTTGCAGCTATTTGTACATAAACCAAGATATTTAAAAATGGAACTGCTGGTGGCGAAGAAAAGTTGTCATCTGTGGACGATGAATGTCTGTATCACATTTCAATTTCAGAACAGAATAGATATTTCACTCAAAACTATATATATATATATATATATATATAGTATATATACACAGATATAAAAACTGTCATAACCTCTGTCATGTCTCAACTTACCTATGGGGAGCACATACTCTGGACCCAAATTCTTCTGTTTTTAAATTGTTTTTTAAATCTTTTGTTTTCTTTTTCACTGCTCTTCAAGCAATTGTTCTGCAGGGACAATGGTGATTGATAAATGTCAACCTCATGATGGTGCTATCAGGAAGGCAATCACCAAAATCAGTAGAATTGATCGCCTGGGAACCATGAATCTCTTTATAATTTTATGCCAGTCCATGCAATAGTTGTTGAGATGTTTCAGTGTGGACCCAAGTTGTGGACTGGCAAACAAAAAACAAAAAACATTATGAACATCCACTATTCTAACCTTGCGTGGCAGCTGGATGTGAAAGATGACAAAATCATGTGAGAATCTATCTTGACAGGCTTCAATATATGCATTTGTGGCCAAACTAACTGATACCAGACCAATCAGTGTCCTTTTAA